GACAGACAAAATGAGAAGGAAAAAAATCTAGAAAATCACATTGTAGGATTTCTAATGAATTTATTTGCAAATTATGGTGGAAAATAAGTATTTGGTCAATAACAAAAGTTTCTCAATACTTTGTTATATACCCTTTGTTGGCAATGACACAGGTCAAACATTTTCTGTAAGTCTTCACAAGGTTTTCACACACTGTTGCTGGTATTTTGGCCCATTCCTCCATGCAGATATCCTCTAGAGCAGTGATGTTTTGGGGCTGTCGCTGGGCAACACAGACTTTCAACTCCCTCCAAAGATTTTCTATGGGGTTGAGATCTGGAGACTGGCTAGGCCACTCCAGGACCTTGAAATGCTTCTTACGAAGCCACTCCTTCGTTGCCCGGGCGGTGTGTTTGGGATCATTGTCATGCTGAAAGACCCAGCCACGTTTCATCTTCAATGCCCTTGCTGATGGAAGGAGGTTTTCACTCAAAATCTCACAATACATGGCCCCATTCATTCTTTCCTTTACACGGATCAGTCGTCCTGGTCCCTTTGCAGAAAAACAGCCCCAAAGCATGATGTTTCCACCCCCATGCTTCACAGTAGGTATGGTGTTCTTTGGATGCAACTCAGCATTCTTTGTCCTCCAAACACGACGAGTTGAGATTTTACCAAAAAGTTCTATTTTGGTTTCATCTGACCATATGACATTCTCCCAATCCTCTTCTGGATCATCCAAATGCACTCTAGCAAACTTCAGACGGTCCAGGACATGTACTGGCTTAAGCAGGGGGACACGTCTGGCACTGCAGGAGTCCCTGGCGGCGTAGTGTGTTACTGATGGTAGGCTTTGTTACTTTGGTCCCAGCTCTCTGCAGGTCATTCACTAGGTCCCCCCGTGTGGTTCTGGGATTTTTGCTCACCGTTCTTGTGATCATTTTGACCCCACGGGGTGAGATCTTGCGTGGAGCCCCAGATCAAGGGAGATTATCAGTGGTCTTGTATGTCTTCCATTTCCTAATAATTGCTCCCACAGTTGATTTCTTCAAACCAAGCTGCTTACCTATTGCAGATTCAGTCTTCCCAGCCTGGTGCAGGTCTACAATTTTGTTTCTGGTGTCCTTTGACAGCTCTTTGGTCTTGGCCATAGTGGAGTTTGGAGTGTGACTGTTTGAGGTTGTGGACAGGTGTCTTTTATACTGATAACAAGTTCAAACAGGTGCCATTAATACAGGTAACGAGTGGAGGACAGAGGAGCCTCTTAAAGAAGAAGTTACAGGTCTGTGAGAGCCAGAAATCTTGCTTGTTTGTAGGTGACCAAATACTTATTTTCCACCATAATTTGCAAATAAATTCATAAAAAATCCTACAATGTGATTTTCTGGAGAGAAAAAAAATTCTCTATTTTTCTGTGGTAGTTGACATGTACCTATGATGAAAATTACAGGCCTCTTCATCTTTTTAAGGCCAGCCGTAGCAAAATGCTTGTTGAAATGTTCGATTATCGTAGATTTAACGGTAGTGACAGTGTTTCCTAGCCTCAGTGCAGTGGGCAGCTGGGAGGAGGTGCTCTTATTCTCCATGGACTTTACAGTGTCCCAAAACATTTTGGAGTTAGTGCTACAGGATGCACATTTCTGTTTGAAATGGTTAGCCTTTGCTTTCCTAACTGATTGTGTATATTGGTTCCTGACTTCCCTGAAAAGTTGAATATCGCGGGGGCTGTTCAATGCTAATGCAGTACGCCACAGGATATTTTTGTGCTGGTCAAGGGCAGTCAAGTCTGGGGTGAACCAGGGGCTATATCTGTTCTTAGTTCTGAATTTTTTGAATGGGGCATGCTTATTTAAGATGGAGAGGAAAGCACTTTTAAAGAACAACCAGGCATCCTCTACTGACGGAATGAGGTCAATATCCATCCAGGATACCCAGAAAGTACTGAGTAAAAGGTCTTAATACTTATGTAAATGTGATATTTCAATTTCTAAAAATCTATTTTTTCTTTGTCATCATGGGGTATTGTGTGTAGATGTGGGGGTTTATCTAATCAATTTTAGAGTAAGGCTGTAGCATAACAATGGGGAAAAAGTGACGGGGTCTGAATACTTTCCGAATGCATTGTATATAGTGCTATTTATAGTTTTGTTTTAAACCATTTTCATTAAACTTAGTCCTCCTGTATGTTGGTAGCCTAAGATTTTCACTGTACCCTGCAATCAGGTTGTTATCCCGACACCATAATGCCAGTTCACTTGCCTCCTCCTTATAGGCTGACTTGTTGTTGGTTACAACCGTGGTGTCGTCAGCAAACTTGATAATTGAGTTTGTGTCGCGCAAATCCTCGCAGTCGTGGTTGAACAGGAAGTACAGCTGAGGGCTGAGGACACACCCCTGGGGGGGGCCCGTGTTTTAAAAGTCCGTTTGGAGGAGGTGTTGTTGCCAATCCTCACAGCCTGTGGTCTGCCCATCAGGAAGTCCAGGATCCAGTTGCAGAGGGTACTGTCCAGACCCAGGGCTCTGAGCTTGGTGTCGTTTTCTTGGAGGGAACAATAGTGTTGAATGCCAAAACTGTAGTCAGTGAACAACATTAGGCTTGGGCGGTATACTGTATACCAAATAGCCACGGGATGGTGGTATACTGTATACCAAATAGCCACGGGATGGTGGTATACTGTATACCAAATAGCCACGGGATGGTGGTATACTGTATACCAAATAGCCACGGGATGGTTTTTCAATCCCGTAAACACCGTTGAAAATATTTAGTTGAAGTTTTTCTAAAAATATATATTTGTAGCTTTTACATTTAGTTAAATACATTCGGCGGAAAATAGCTTAATTTTCATCAGATGACAACAGAAGTGCAACGCTATTTGGCTGGCAGCCACAAATAAATGAGCTTACAATGAAAAACCAAGGTATTTTTTTGCCGAAACGATGCATGGCCATCATATCTCTTCTGTTTATCATTGAAGGAATGTAGGAAAGCTACGTTTCCTAATGTTTTTCTTCAAGTTAATCTTAGGCTTGCTACAGCGAGAAAAGTAGCTCCACGTCAGTCAGAGCGTTGTCTGTTGATAGAACGCCCGTTTCGTGAATTCTCATCCGAGTGGAGAAGTGCAACTGAAGCATAACATTTAGTCTGATTCCGAGCAGAAATTACAATAAGAAGTATTTTAGATCTGCGTTTTAAGATATTTCTTAATCGTTTTTATTTATTTTCCTGCTTGGAAAAACTCAGAATTCTGCTTTAATGCAATCCCTAAGTGTCACGAGAATTTCTATCTCTAATTCAACCTAAGCTTGAATCATTACCAGAGGTTGTAAGTCTCTGGTTTTAAACATAAATGATTCAAGGTCCACAACCAGCAAGAATGATCTGTATTTTTATTCATGGAGAGCTCTGGCGCCAAAACCCATACACTCCTGTTTTATACCTCTTGACACACAAAGGCACTTTGCTCCGCCCACCTTTAGGAGGCTTTCTTAAACAGTTTCCACCTTTCTCCTTCACCCTGGAATGTTTAGTCTCGCCCCCCCCCTCTCTGTTAGTGGGTTGACACTACATTATAATTCTAACACTGTTTACACATTTATACTGTATTTGGGGTGAAATCCTTTAGTCATTATTCTTAAAATACAAATTAATCTAACACTAAGTTTTAACTTGCTAGTTATCCAAGTAAGTGGCTGAATTAATAAAGGTGGACGGGGCATCATATTGTGTTAGCTTTCTGCCTTGTTTGAGAAGTCAAAGCCCGTTGGATGAGTTATCTGTACGGCTGCCAGTGCTATCTTGATTTCCTTGTGTTTTTCCTCTCCTCTCTGGTCTCGGCTCGTCTGCTCCTCCCCACCTCTTCTCCGAGCAGAGCAGGCTCGTTGCCCTAGCGACTCCAGACTCCACACAGACACAGCGTGTACACATGCTGCCCCAGAGCCAGTACTGTTCTTCCTTCAGACGAGCATACCTCAAAACTTTGTTCATTTGCACAATGTCTCTCGTTAACATTCGCTTGTAAATGTCCAAACTCACCAAAAATGACATTCGGTAGCTCCTACCTGTGTGTAACTTTGAGCTATATTGCCTGTCTTTGTAATTAGTTAATTTTTTATTTGTGCTCGTTAGCATATTTTAACAGCCTCCGTGGAAATTCGCTATAACTTGCGCTAATTCGATTAGCATTCCGGTGTACTAAGCCGGTAATACCGTAAATCCCGGGACGAGAGGAGGACTGTATGACGATATGAAAATCTGGATAGCGCCCAACCCCAAATAGCATTCTCACATAGGTGTTCCTCTTGTCCAGATGTGTTAGGGCCGTGTGAGTAGCGATGGAAAAATGGCATCTTCCATGGATCTGTTGGAGTGGTGAAGCAGATCGGCCATGACCAGCCTCTCCAAGCACTTCTTGAAGAGGGGGCCACGGGGGGGCGATCGTCAGTTGGGCATGTCACCTTCGTTTGGACACTAGGATGATGGTGTTCTCCTTGAAGCAAGTGTGGACTACAGCCTGGGACAGGGACAGGTTGAAGTGTGACTGTGTGTGCTAAGTCCGACTGTATTACTGGCATTTCTTCCAGTTCGCTGCCCTCTCACTCCTGAGTCTCCAGTTAGAAGTTTCCCACAGGCACAGATCTAGGATCAGCTTAATTCCCTCCAACTCTAACCTTAACCAATGAGATGAATGCTGATTTAACTGCCAGAATGACCGTAGATCAGTGTCTATGGGGGGGGGGGACATCATCCTACTTCGTTTCATAGGAGGGTTGCCCTCTTTTTTTAAAATCTCCTCTGTGTCTAGACTTGGCCGTCTGTTTGTGAGGGCCGTTGCCAAAACAGGAGCATTCACATCAGGACTCACCCACCATAACTGTGTTGGGTTGCCTAAATAAATAGAATGCCCCTGGCCCAATCCAAACCAAACTGGTTTCTAGTGTGGACTCCGCTCAATCCTCTTCTGTTGTATTGGGAGAGTTTATTTAATTAGTTTTATAATGATCTCACAGCAGACCTAAACATGGGAGGCGAAAGCCTCACCCCTCCTCACCCCTCCTCACCCCTCCTCACAGGGATGATCACTCTGTATCAGATAGAGGGGAAAGTCAAGGCTTCCATCCGCAAGCGGACGGGCGTTCGTGATACCATCTGGACACATCACGATCACACACACCGAATACTGTAGCGGGCCTGGGGGCGAGGGAGCAACAGCGCTCCAATCATTACAGGAGGCCTCTGTGTGGCTAATGCTGATTTATTCTAAAAAATATTCTGATTTAATTAAACAGTGTATTTTAAGGTCATGTGAAGGTTATCCATCCCTGTGGTCGTGGTGGCTGGCAGACAGAATGCCAGGTAGTTGCATTAGAAGAAGAGGCCACAAAGGACCTGGATGACTCCTTTTTAGATCCGGCTTCTCCAATTGGTGGACCCGCGGGTGGTTTTATTTGGCCCCCCAATTTTAAATATAATTTTCATTGTTGGACATAAGACTGTAGAAAGACCAGGAAATCAGCTCGGAGTGATTTTACACAATTGGAAGAAAGGTTTGAAATGGTTGTTTTAGTCAAATATTATATTTGCTTGGGCTTCTTGCAGGCAATTTGCGGCCTACAAATTATTTGTAATTACGTTCCTCCCCCCCCGACCATTCGCTCAATAAAAAATTGTCCCGTGGTTGAATGTAGTTTATGATCCCTGCTTTAGAAGCTACAGGTTGAAGCCAATGGGCAGTTGGGCATTCCCTATATATATATATACACAAACACACATTAGGGCCGGGACCATACCAGTATTGACATATTCGTTACTATTGTGGCAAGGAAACGAAACGCAAAGCTGATTTAACTTATTTAGGAAAACAGTCCTAATGTTGGAAACAAACATGTTGTCATCCAGAGTCACATGTATTTATTTTCCAAGCTATGGTGGACAATATTTTACATACAGCAGGTTTTTAAAGGACCATAGAGTTTATTCTGCTTCATGTTTTCATATTTGCTGTGACTCTGGTCCGGTGCCTAGTCAGGCAGCTTCTGGTGCCATGACTGCACAAATGCTGAGTTGGGGCAGTTTCGTCGGCGGTCAGGCGGCTGGCTGATCAGGCACTTCCTGCTAACTCTGCGATTAACTCCCTTGAATAAATGTTTGTTTTGTCTGCCAGCTGACTGCTGGAGAATAGAGCTCTGTCTGTGGTCTGCATCTGTATGTGTGGGGCTGTGTAGTCTGTATGTGTGGGGCAGTGTAGTATGTACAGTGGGGAAAAAAAGTATTTAGTCAGCCACCAATTGTGCAAGTTCTCCCACTTAAAAAGATGAGAGAGGCCTGTAATTTTCATCATAGGTACACGTCAACTATGACAGACAAAATGAGAAAAAAAAATTCCAGAAAATCACATTGTAGGATTTTTTATGAATTTATTTGCAAATTATGGTGGAAAATAAGTATTTGGTCAATAACAAAAGTTTCTCAATACTTTGTTATATACCCTTTGTTGGCAATGACACAGGTCAAACATTTTCTGTAAGTCTTCACAAGGATTTCACACACTGTTGCTGGTATTTTGGCCCATTCCTCCATGCAGATCTCCTCTAGAGCAGTGATGTTTTGGGGCTGTCGCTGGGCAACACAGACTTTCAACTCCCTCCAAAGATTTTCTATGGGGTTGAGATCTGGAGACTGGCTAGGCCACTCCAGGACCTTGAAATGTTTCTTACGAAGCCACTCCTTCGTTGCCCGGGCGGTGTGTTTGGGATCATTGTCATGCTGAAAGACCCAGCCACGTTTCATCTTCAATGCCCTTGCTGATGGAAGGAGGTTTTCACTCAAAATCTCACGATACATGGCCCCATTCATTCTTTCCTTTACACGGATCAGTCGTCCTGGTCCCTTTGCAGAAAAACAGCCCCAAAGCATGATGTTTCCACCCCCATGCTTCACAGTAGGTATGGTGTTCTTTGGATGCAACTCAGCATTCTTTTTCCTCCAAACACGACGAGTTGAGTTTTTACCAAAAAGTTATATTTTGGTTTCATCTGACCATATGACATTCTCCCAATCCTCTTCTGGATCATCCAAATGCACTCTAGCAAACTTCAGACGGGCCTGGACATGTACTGGCTTAAGCAGGGGGACACGTCTGGCACTGCAGGATTTGAGTCCCTGGCAGCGTAGTGTGTTACTGATGGTAGGCTTTGTTACTTTGGTCCCAGCTCTCTGCAGGTCATTCACTAGGCCCCCCCGTGTGGTTCTGGGATTTTTGCTCACCGTTCTTGTGATCATTTTGACCCCACGGGGTGAGATCTTGCGTGGAGCCCTAGATCGAGGGAGATTATCAGTGGTCTTGTATGTCTTCCATTTCCTAATAATTGCTCCCACAGTTGATTTCTTCAAACCAAGCTGCTTACCTATTGCAGATTCAGTCTTTCCAGCCTGGTGCAGGTCTACAATTTTGTTTCTGGTGTCCTTTGACAGCTCTTTGGTCTTGGCCATAGTGGAGTTTGGAGTGTGACTGCTTGAGGTTGTGGACCGGTGTCTTTTATACTGATAACAAGTTCAAACAGGTGCCATTAATACAGGTAACGAGTGGAGGACAGAGGAGCCTCTTAAAGAAGAAGTTACAGGTCTGTGAGAGCCAGAAATCTTGCTTGTTGTAGGTGACCAAATACTTATTTTCCACCATCATTTGCAAATAAATTCATTAAAAATCCTACAATGTGATTTTCTGGAATTTTTTTCCTCATTTTGTCTGTCATAGTTGACGTGTACCTATGATGAACATTACAGGCCTCTCTCATCTTTTTAAGTGGGAGAACTTGCACAATTGGTGGCTGACTAAATACTTATTTTCCCCACTGTATGTGTGTAGTCTGTGTGTGTGTGGGGCTGTGTAGTCTGTGTGTGTGTGTGGGGCAGTGTAGTCTGTATGTGTGTAGTCTGTGTGTGTGTGTGTGGGGCAGTGTAGTCTGTGTGTGTGTGTGGGGCAGTGTAGTCTGTGTGTGTGTGTGGGGCAGTTTATTTTTTTTAATTTTTTTATTTCACCTTTATTTAACCAGGTAAGCCAGTTGAGAACAGGTTCTCATTTACAACTGCGACCTGGCCAAGATAAAGCAAAGTAGTGCAATAAAAACAACACAGAGTTACATATGGGGTAAAAAAAACATAAAGTCAGAAATACAACAGAAAATATATATACAGTGTGTGCAAATGTAGCAAGTTATGGAGGTAAGGCAATAAATAGGCTATAGTGCAGAATAATTACAATAGTATTAACACTGGAATGCTAGATGTGCAAGAGATTATGTGCAAATAGAGATACTGGGGTGCAAAAGAGCAAAATAAATAACAATATAGGGATGAGGTAGTTGGGTGGGCTAATTTCAGATGGGCTGTGTACAGGTGCAGTGATCGGTAAGGTGCTCTGACAACTGATGCTTAAAGTTATTGAGGGAGATAAGAGTCTCCAGCTTCAGAGATTTTTGCAATTCGTTCCAGTCATTGGCAGCAGAGAACTGGAAGGAATGGCGGCCAAAGGAGGTGTTGGCTTTGGGAATGACCAGAGAGATATACCTGCTGGAGCGCAGACTACGGGTGGGTGCTGCTATGGTGACCAATGAGCTAAGATAAGGCGGGGATTTGCCTAGCAGTGATTTATAGATGGCCTGGAGCCAGTGGGTTTGACGACGAACATGTAGTGAGGACCAGCCAACAAGAGCGTACAGGTCACAGTGGTGGGTAGTGTATGGGGCTTTGGAGACAAAACGGATGGCACTGTGATAGACTACATCCAATTTGCTGAGTAGAGTGTTGGAGGCTATTTTGTAAATGACATCGCCGAAGTCAAGGATCGGTAGGATAGTCAGTTTTACGAGGGCATGTTTGGCAGCATGAGTGAAGGAGGCTTTGTTGCGAAATAGGAAGCCGATTCTAGATTTAACTTTGGATTGGAGATTCTTTATGTGAGTCTGGAAGTTGAGTTTACAGTCTAACCAGACACCTAGATATTTGTAGTTGTCCACATACTCTAGGTCAGACCCGTCGAGAGTGGTGATTCTAGTCGGGTGGGCGGGTGCTAGCAGCGTTCGATTGAAAAGCATGCATTTAGTTTTACTAGTGTTTAAGAGCAGTTGAAGGCTACTGAAGGATTGTTGTATGGCATTGAAGCTCGTTTGGAGGTTTGTTAACACAGTGTCCAATGAAGGGCCAGATGTATACAAAATGGTGTCGTCTGCGTAGAGGTGGATCTGAGAGTCACCAGCAGCAAGAGCAACATCATTGATATACACGGAGAAAAGTGTCGGCCCAAGAATTGAACCCTGTGGCACCCCCATAGAGACTGCCATAGGTCCAGACAACAGGCCCTCCGATTTGACACACTGAACTCTATCTGAGAAGTAGTTGGTGAACCAGGCGAGGCAGTCATTTGAGAAACCAAGGCAGTGTAGTCTGTGTGTGTGTGTGGGGCAGTGTAGTCTGTGTGGGGCAGTGTAGTGTGTGTGTGGGGCAGTGTAGTGTGTGTGTGGGGCAGTGTAGTCTGTGTGTGTGTGTGGGGCAGTGTAGTCTGTGTATGTGTGTGGGGCAGTGTAGTCTGTGTGTGTGTGGGGCAGTGTAGTCTGTGTGTGTGTGTGGGGCAGTGTAGTCTGTGTGGGGCAGTGTAGTCTGTGTGTGTGTGTGGGGCAGTGTAGTCTGTGTGTGTGGGGGGGGCAGTGTAGTCTGTGTGTGTGTTTTAGGTTTATGATAGTCAGAGAGAAGGTAACTTAGGCTACATGTAAGCCTGTATTTGCATATCTGGTGTGTGAGTGCAGGGCATGTTTATACTGCGTCATCACCAAGTGTACACCCTGGGATCTGAGACATGCACTGACTTGTTCCTTCTCTTGTCCCTGTTCTTCCTGGCGACTGTTGCTGGACTTCATTTTTTTTGTTAAAGGCCTAACCGTGCTGTGTAAGATGTGGATTGGATTAGTAGAAGTGATTGTATTAAAGATGATCTAACGTGTCTTGTTTCAGAGCCGTCAGCCAGTCCAGCGAAGGATAACCACAGGATGAACAGCTACAAGAACAAAGCCCTGAATGTGGAGGAGATGAGGCGCAGGAGAGAGGAGGAAGGAATCCAGCTTAGGAAGCAGAAACGAGAGCAACAGGTACACAACATATAGCATCTAGCACGGCTTACCACACCTAGCCTAGGCAGATGCACACACAGACACTCATCTGCTGTTTCTCTCCTATATTTGGCCAGCTCTTCAAGAGGAGAAACGTTGACATGTTGAACGAGGAGGGAGGCATGTTTGAGAGTCCACTGGTCGACTCGTATGTGGACTCCACAGCCACAGAGGAAGGAGTCCTGACTAGACACCTGGTGGAGATGCTCTTCTCAGAGGACCCAGAGCTCCAACTCACCACAACACAGACGTTCAGGAAACTACTGTCCAAAGGTACCTGGCTCTTCAGTGAATATCATCAGGATATCCTGTAGCCTGTCTGTGTATGGCCGTGCTCGTCACTCCTGGTCCTGGTGACCCTCGGGGGTGTTGTCACTCCTGGTCCTGGTGACCCTCGGGGGTGTTGTCACTCCTGGTCCTAGTGACCCTCGGGGGTGTTGTCACTCCTGGTCCTGGGGACCCTCGGGGGTGTTGTCACTCCTGGTCCTGGTGACCCTCGGGGGTGTTGTCACTCCTGGTCCTGGGGACCCTCGGGGGTGTTGTCCCTCCTGGTCCTGGGGACCCTCGGGGGTGTTGTCACTCCTGGTCCTGGGGACCCTCGGGGGTCTGCAGGCTGTTGCTCCAAGCCCAGCCCGGCGCTAACACAGCTGATTAAGCTACCTCCCTCTTGGGTGGTGAAGGTTGTGAGTCCATGGTGCTAATTGTTAGACCGTTACTCATATATTCAGTGTCTGATCTTGTTCCAGAACCCAATCCACCTATTGACGAGGTCATCAACACCCCAGGCATTGTAGAGAGGTTGGTAGAGTTCCTGAAGACGAGCGTCAACTGCACATTACAGGTGAGACCTCGGAATATTAGGAAATGTTTTTATTGGTCAAATAGAAAAGTTAACCCAGACAAGTACTGGAAACCTAGAAGGATGGTCAGGCTTTAATTGGCTGTTTATCCATTGTGGATATCATTGTAAATTATTGCTGTCTACAATAACATGTTGTCAAGTTTTATTATCAATACCAATGTGTCATTAATAAAGTCTCTGTCTGTGTAGTTTGAGGCGGCGTGGGCGCTGACCAACATAGCATCAGGTACGTCCATGCAGACTAACATAGTAATCGAGGCGGGAGCAGTACCCATCTTCATAGAACTACTCAACTCTGACGTTGAAGATGTTCAGGAACAGGTAAGACAAGGCATTCCACACTACATCTTAACAGGCATGGGAAAATAGATTACCAGACCATCTATCATTTCTACCTAGTTGTGGAATTGGAACCGCTCTCTCCCTCCCCCGCTCTCCCTCTCCCTCCCCCGCTCTCCCCCTCTCCTCTCTCTCCCTCCCCCGCTCTCTCTCTCCCTCCCCTGCGCTCTCTCTGCTCTCCCCGTCTCTCTCTCTCTCGCTCCCCCGCTCTCTCTCTCTCCCTCCCCCGCGCTCTCTCTCTCCCTCCCCCGCTCTCTCTCTCCCTCCCCTGCGCTCTCTCTGCTCTTCCCCGCTCTCTCTCGCTCCCTCTCTCTCATCGCTCCCCCCCCGCTCACTCGCTCCCCTCCCCTCGCGCTCTCGTCCTCTCTCTCTCTCGTCTCATCTGTTCTCCCAGCCCTCTCCTCCCCCTCCCCCGCTCTCCTCCTCCCTCTCTCTCGCCTCCCTCCCCCCGCTCTCTCTCTCCCGCCCCCCCGCTCTCTCTCTCCCTCCCCCCGCTCTCTCTCATACCACTCCCCGCTCTCTCTCTCCCTCCCCTGCGCTCTCTCTGCTCTCCCCGTCTCTCTCTCTCTCTCTCGCTCCCCCGCTCACTCTCTCTCCCTCCCCCGCGCTCTCGTCTCTCTCTCTCCCTCCCCCGCGCTCTCGTCTCTCTCTCTCTCTCTCTCAGGCAGTGTGGGCTTTGGGTAACATAGCAGGGGACAGTGCAGTGTGCAGAGACTACGTACTCAACTGTAATATCCTACCACCACTATTAATGTGAGTACACAATCACACACTACTGTTGTGTGTGTATCAGTGTAATCAGAGCGGAGGTCCTGTGTCATCTGATGTTATCTACTACTCCACATAAGACGTTCACTCATGGTTCCTCTCCCCTGTTCCTCTCTCCAGGCTTCTGACCAAATCCACCAGACTGACCATGACTAGGAATGCAGTGTGGGCTCTGTCTAACCTGTGCAGGGGAAAGAGCCCCCCACCTGTATTTGAGAAGGTAAAACACAAACCCCTAACCCCACCCACAGTCCCACCCCCTCTTTGGAATGGTCGAACACCTATCCAGTTACTTCTGGGACCATATTCATACATCGTCTCAGAGTAGGAGGGGTCCTAGTACTGCAAGGTCCAGGGTCAAGGCAAACCCTCTGCATGTCTCCACTATGTTAGCACAGCTTCTGTGCTGAAAGTGGCTTCAGACATATTTCACATTTCTAGAATCGGTTGGAGCCAGAGAAGTACTGTTGGTGTAGTCACAACATTATATAATAGGATCAGTATCTGATTTGAAACACTTAGTAGTATTAACACCTCTCTGTTTTGGTACTTCCTGAATAATATGAATGATGAAGTCAGTCTTTTGGAATCCATGTACCTATGGACCCTGCTGTCAAGTAGTGCACTATGTAGGGAATGAGTATGCCGTGGAGCTAGTCTGTAATGCTGTGTTATGCCTGCCTGTTAGCTAGCTGATGGTTGAATCTGCTAGGGACTCTGGCCAGCCAGAACATAACAGCTGCAGTGACTCGGACTGAGCATGTGACCAGGGAATGGTATGTGAAGAGGCAGGAGTTTTCTCTCACCCTGTGACTCTCTCAAAAGTCTAAAGGATTATTCCTCTCTCTTCCACTCGGTTTCTCTATTGGCTATGAGAGGGACAGGAAGCCATTTTAGACCTGAGATTCACTCTGTGTGGGAGGATGTGGCCCAATAGCCTACTCTTAGATGGTTCCCTGTCAACTTTCCCCTAGTCACAGTAACTCATTTAATGGGCTGTTATAGTGTCAGAGAGGGCATAGTATTCAGCCCTATCAGTAGAACTAGAGGAGAGGAGATGAGAAGGAGAGAGCATGTTAGCGTATCGGTTTCTCATATCGAAATCATTGACTCATCCCTACGCATTCTACAAAGAGAATATCGGAGTTCAGAACCATAATGTCAGATCTGTCTGTTAACTTTAAAATGACACGACGACTAGGTTCCAGTTTAACAACGTTTACTAAACCGTATTTCCACAGCACACGGTTGCCATTGCACTCAGGCCAGGTCCTTCGACAGTGAGACTACCGCACAGGCATACTAACAACAGACTGATAACAGAAATATAGAGATACTTCAAACATGAACTTAACATTCTCCCACTTTTTTCTTTTAAAGACAAATAAAACATCAACAAAATAATTTAATGTCCCAAGTATTATTTAAGGTACCCATTACAAATGGGTTGTGTGACAAAGTAAAAAAAAAAAAACATTTGTATTACTCAAGCTGCCACTTTCCATTACTTGAGTTCCTTTAGGAGCACAAGACCGGATGCTCCCTGTTTAGTCAGACAGTCAACAAGCTGTCCCTTTTGTGGCCGACCACAGAATCCGCTGGATTCTCCGTGTGCTTGAATAAGTTCCTTGATGCTGCTAATCTCAAGACAAAAAGTATTTTCTCTGTGACAGACCTGGTTGACTTGACAGCATCAACGAAGGAGTAGTCATCAGTGACACAAACTACAGGGTAGAATGTGCCGTTTTGTCTCACCAGCGGTAAGCGCTGAGAACAGAGTTGCCAGGAAGATGGCATTGTCAATTCCGTCCGCCAGAGCAAGGGTTTCTCCGGCAAGTGTGCTTCGGACAACATTTCTGATCCTTTTTGACTGCCAACAGATAGGTGAGAATCTTCCTTCTTCACCCATTAACACGACTAGATGTTCACCTTTTTGTGTGCCTCTATCTGGAAGCATCACTGAAGACAACTAGTTTCAGAGTCATCTTTTCCAACATGCTGAAACTTCAGTCACTTGTTTGTGATTTTCAGTTTATTGAACAACTTTTGTTTGCCTCATGAACGGTTTGTGCAGTGGCATGGTTTTGCGTTGGATGCCAAGTTGCAGCCATCAAACATTACATCAGGTCTACTCTGTCTAGCAACCCGTAGAATTTGACCTGTCTTTGACCTCCAATTGATCAGCTTCAATTCCACAGAGGGAGAGGGAGGGGGGGGGGGGGGGGGTTGGGATTGTTACTGCTCTTGAAGAGTCCATGTGGATGGGGTTGAAGATTCTTGATATAGCTTTCCTGTTGCATCAGTATTGTTCCGTCAACTGTAATAAACACTATGGCAACATTACAAAAAAAGATCATGTTCTTCTCGGCCGACCTGAGGTGTGGAGTCACAGTTGGAGCAAAGGTCTGTGAAGCCACCCCAGATGACGTCCCCAACATGACAGGCAAGTACTCCAGTCACATTGCAGTCCTTGATCAAGCCAATAGATAGACTGCAGGATCCACTTGTGACATTTCTCCACCTGTACTCGGCATCGTTGCCTTTTTTTGGACCAGTAGAGGGATGCCTCTGCCAGGCCATACACACACCTTGTTTGTTTGTTTGTTTGTTTGTTTGTTTGTTTGTTTCCACAGTGTTCCTTCGCGCTTAGCTTCAGGCGGAGGTTGGATGTGAATGTCCCTTGACAGCTCTGTTCCCTGCAAAAAAAAAATGCAATTTTTCCTCCAACTGCTGAGCTCATCTAGTTTAGCTGAGTTAAATGACACGTCGTTTGTTTCAAGTACATCATCATTTTGAATGACGTTTTGTTTTTCTCAATTTTTCCATTGGTTCAACTCTGAGGTTATCTACAAGTGACAGGTCAGCTGACCCTGTTGTACCAGAAAGTGTAGCTGGTTCAGAGTACTGCAAGTTGTACCAGTTCTGGTGTTTTCCTTTTTGCTGTTCCTGCTCGTCCAATGACGGTTGCTGTATGTGGAATACCACTTTCTCTGTCCATGTATTTAACAGTTTTGTCCGGTTTTCAAATTGGAACAACCATGTTGTCTTAACACGTGGCTGTTGTTGAACGTTTTCCTCATTTGAACCCTCAACAGTATTACCTGTGTCATGGTTGAAGGTCTCTGCTCCAATTGCCTGTTTCAGTGTCCATATCATTGGATGCGACATCTGGTGGGTTTTGTGTCTGTTAAAGTGTTCTTTCTGTCATTTTCAGTAGTGATTCTCAGCAACAGCCCCTCCATCTTGTTGATCATTTACTTTCCGCAATCCTGAGTGAGGCACCCTGACAATGGTGCCTCACAAATATCACCACACCATCTTGGCCAATGACGACTCCCGGTCCTTTCCACTCTTGACAGTCAACTCATTTGTTGTACACTTTGTTTCCAGTCTCGTACTTCTCATGGGTGGGTAGAAGCCGTTTTACACAGAGCCCTGCGAACTCTCTCTGAACACTCTGCTTCAGTGAATGCTTTTCTCGCTGCATGTAGTGCTGAAAGGTGTCGTCCCACCCATGCACTCACAATGGTCCCTTCAAGTGCTGGTGGCTTGTCAGCCAGTACAGAGGGAAGGTTAGGGTTCTGCCCGAACTCTAGTAGGTGGTATGGGCTGTAGCCATGAACATTGTGCATTTTTGTTTTTTGCCATCAAAGCCCAATCTTGGGCTGTTTTCCAGTCACATCCATTGTCTTGCTTCACTTTCAGCATGATCTCTGTGAGTGTTTGATTATGTCTCTCCAGAAGTTAATTGCTCCATGCAGCAGTTGTCTTTACTTCCATGTCGAATTTCTCAGCCATTTCTCTTTATTTCGTTATTATTGAATTCTCCTCCGTTGTCACTGTACAATTTCTGGGGCGGGCCGTGCAATGCACTCTTATCCAGGAATGAATGAAGTGCTTGACGATTTCACTGGGTTTCTTTTTGTATTCACAATGCTTCCAGCGCTGAAGCGTGTGAAGTGGTCGATTTTTATGTGAAGGTACCACACACTAGGTCCTAGCTCATGTAGATCTGCAGCCACTGGAGGCCAGTGGCAAACCAACAGCTGGTCTGGGCTTAGGTTTGCTGTTCTTCTGGCATGTCTCACAACTGTCAACTATCTACCGTAGAATGGAAATACTGTCGTCATTATTCCCAGAACTGCTTGAGTAATTTCTGAAGTCTGTCAACTTGTAGCATGTCCAAACTGTTTGAGGTTTTAACAATACTTTGTGTTTTTCCCTCTGTGTTCATGTTCTCTGTGACTGTCAGAATCTCCATGTGCTCTGTGTCCGTCAATCTCGTTTTTTTACATGGACTCTGTGTGATGTCTTTTGTCTAAAACGTTTACACAATAGTGTCCTGAGGTAGTAAGTTTAAAGGTCACTGGTTGTTTAAACATCACTGCCTTGTCATTTTTTATGTCTAGTACAGCCTCTGCCTTCTTGAGGGAAGCTTTGCTTAAGAGTAAGGGGATATCTACAGGGACCACCTCTGTTTCAATGTGACACTTAGTCTGACCAATTTTTGCTGGTACCTTGACTCTCTTGGTAGAATGGACAATTCTCCCATCTCCAAATTTGAAAGCTCTGTTGCTCGGTGTGTCAATCATATTTTGTACTTTCATATTTTAGTTCACTGACATGGCTATCAAGCCATTTTGGACCACACACTGTGCAGTATCAATCACAGCAGATCCTAAGGATTCAACTGTAAAGATCTCAGTATCAAGAAGCAGATTCGTTTGAAACAGTGTGATGTTACACTTCTCCGTCACTGTGTTTTTTACATGTTCCTCTGTTTGTTTTAACGTGTTCATTTTTACGAGGACAGACTTTAACCCGATGCTAAGAGCTTTGACAAATGGCACATTTTGATCTCCTTCCATACCTGTGTCCAGTGGATTTCCCGACGGGCAATGGTGCCCTCATCTGGTTGTCTTGAGAACGTGACCTGTTGGGGCCTTTTCTCTGCAGCTCAGTGTAATATGCCACGTCACTCGCATGCATTCCATCTGTTATTGGCGCGAGGGACGTCTTCTCACAAAACAAAGTATTTTTAGTGCCGACTTCATTGACGCGAAAGTCAGCGCAGTACAAGCGGTCAAAGCCAACTGATTCTCCCTACCATCCAGACAGGCAGTATCTAGCAACTTGGAAAGCTAACACTGCATCTGGGGGAAACCATGTTGTACTTGCACATCTTATTAGATATAATCCTGTTAGACCTCTGTTCGAAATCAATGATGGAGTCCGTCATTGCAACCGAAATGTCTCTAGTAACACCGTCAAAGTTTGAATATGCCTCGTAGGCTCCCCTCTCCTTTTAAGAAACACAGATTCCAGTGCTCTGATCAAAGTTCCCATGGATATTTCCAGTGCTCTGATCAAAGTTCCCATGGATATTTCCAGTGCTGTATCTCTCGCTCTTCCCTCGAGCGATAATTCCACCGCAAGTGCTTGCTTTTTCTCGTCCAGATTAGTAACCCGTGTCCAGATTCCAAGTTAATTATTCTAACTCTCACATGACCTCTTCTCGTCGAAGCCAGGTGGCACAGTGTAGTTATTAACCATCCTCCGCTACCAATGTTTACCTTAAAATGACACGACGACTTGGTAAAAGTTTAACCGTGTTTACTAAACCGTATTTCCACAGCACACGGTTGCCATTGCACTCAGGCCAGGTCCTTCGACAATGAGACTACCGCACAGGCATATTAATAACAGAGTGATAGCACTGTAATAACAGAAATATGTAGAGATACTTAAAACATGAACTTAACACTGTTCTATCAGAATGAGAATATCAAACAGAGTTCAGAGCGTGACGTCATATCGGAAATGAATGCTTCATCCAATATGACGTGTGACCGCTGTGATCAGCAAGCTGCATCCCCTAACCAGCCATTACTCTCCATCAATGTTCAATCAAAAGAAAATTGGGACAGCAAATTTCAGGTCTGCTGAGCACAAACCTGAACGTTGTAAAACATTCTGTGCAACTTCTGGCGTGCGTTTACTGTGAACACTGAGGCTGTACCCACATTCATTTACTGTTTTTAACAATGGCCAAGTAGGCTACGTGATCATAATGTAGGCCTACCAGAGTGGCCTACCATCAAAAACAATGTGGTGCCATGGTGGCGAGCTGGGGTGTAAATTAGCTGTGACTGTGAGCTGGGGTGTAATTTAGCTGTGACTGCAAGCTGGGGTGTAATTGAGCTGTGACGGTGAGCTGGGGTGTAATTTAGCTGTGACGGTGAGCTGGGGTGTAATTTAGCTGTGACTGCAAGCTGGGGTGTAATTTAGCTGTGACGGTGAGCTGGGGTGTAATTTAGCTGTGACGGTGAGCTGGGGTGTAATTTAGCTGTGACGGTGAGCTGGGGTGTAATTTAGCTGTGACGGTGAGCTGGGGTGTAATTTAGCTGTGACGGTGAGCTGGGGTGTAAATTAGCTGTGACGGTGAGCTGGGGTGTAATTTAGCTGTGACGGTGAGGTGAGCTGGGGTGTAATTTAGCAGTGACGGTGAGCTGGGGTGTAATTTAGCAGTGACGGTGAGCTGGGGTGTAATTTAGCTGTGACGGCGAGCTGGGGTGTAATTTAGCTGTGACGGCGAGCTGGGGTGTAATTTAGCTGTGACTGTGAGCTGGGGTGTAATTTAGCTGTGACGGTGAGCTGGGGTGTAATTTAGCTGTGACTGTGAGCTGGGGTGTAATTTAGCTGTGACGGTGAGCTGGGGTGTAATTTAGCTGTGACGGCGAGCTGGGGTGTAATTTAGCTGTGACGGCGAGCTGGGGTGTAATTTAGCTGTGACGGCGAGCTGGGGTGTAATTTAGCTGTGACGGTGAGCTGGGGTGTAATTTAGCTGTGACGGCGAGCTGGGGTGTAATTTAGCTGTGACGGCGAGCTGGGGTGTAATTTAGCTGTGACGGTGAGCTGGGGTGTAATTTAGCTGTGACGGTGAGCTGGGGTGTAATTTAGCTGTGACGGTGAGCTGGGGTGTAATTTAGCTGTGACGGTGAGCTGGGGTGTAATTTAGCTGTGACGGCGAGCTGGGGTGTAATTTAGCTGTGACTGTGAGCTGGGGTGTAATTTAGCTGTGACGGTGAGCTGGGGTGTAATTTAGCTGTGACTGTGAGCTGGGGTGTAATTTAGCTGTGACGGTGAGCTGGGGTGTAATTTAGCTGTGACGGTGAGCTGGGGTGTAATTTAGCTGTGACGGTGAGCTGGGGTGTAATTTAGCAGTGACGGCGAGCTGGGGTGTAAATTAGCTGTGACGGTGAGCTGGGGTGTAATTTAGCTGTGACAGTGAGCTGGGGTGTAATTTAGCTGTGACGGCGAGCTGGGGTGTAAATTAGCTGTGACAGTGAGCTGGGGTGTAATTTAGCTGTGACGGCGAGCTGGGGTGTAAATTAGCTGTGACAGTGAGCTGGGGTGTGCAGACACTGAGTCTTTTGTTACATTTTTCATTATTGGAGCATCTCACAGCGCGCGCAAAGTGAATACATTGTATCTTTTCATTTTGTCTATTCGAACCAAGAGCATAGGCCAATCTGACACACAGTCACAGAGGAAAAACAGAGCACATAGACAGTCATGCTTGCGCCTTTTTATATTGCAGAACAACTGTCTCTCTCTAGCCCAAACCATTCATATTACCAGAGCTACCCTTTCCCCTTTTTACCACATCCATTTCATAAACCATGGTGCGGGCCGTTTTTTAAACTAATTGTCGGACGCACATTTGTGCTTTGATAACAAACTATGTTGTCTAGTCATGTTACCTAGCTAGCTAATAACCTGGTAGCTTGACCAATATGCACACATTTGTATGGCACAGGAAAACCGTAAAAGGGGTAGATGGCTTAGTCGAAGAGATGTGCTTCAAAGGTAGGATGCATATGCTCTTTGACCTTTTAGACAGGAACAGGTGCCAGGCCGGGACACTCCCAGTACCGCAGAGCCTCCAGTGACGTCAGCACTGTCAACTTTGACCCCTTCAGAAGTGTTGGTCAGGTTCTCTTTAGTGACAGCTTGAAACGGTGACAGTGGACAGGCGAGACAATCATGTAGACAGGTGTCAATGTGAAGATTTTGGCCTTAATTGTTCTGAGAACTGTGTTGTTGATCACCATGTCATTATTCCTACTGAGGGATTGAACCATTTTGGGGTTCAGGGTCTCTTCAGGAAAACGTCAGACTTCACTCACACACTCTTAGAGCCCACAGCAACAGTTCCTCTGTCCCCCTGTCTGTCCACAGGTCTTAACAGCGTCTCTGTCCCCCTGTCTGCAAGTCCTGTCTAGACTGTTGTTCAGCAGTGATCCAGACCTGTTAGCGGACGCCTGCTGGGCCCTGTCCTACCTCTCTGATGGACCACACACTAACTGTCCCCATCTGTCCTCTGTCCCCCCAGGTGTCCCCCTGTCTGCAAGTCCTGTCTAGACTGTTGTTCAGCAGTGATCCAGACCTGTTAGCGGACGCCTGCTGGGCCCTGTCCTACCTCTCTGATGGACCCAACGAGAAGATCCAGGCTGTCATCAACTCCGGCGTCTGCAGGCGCCTCGTAGAGCTGCTCATGTAAGAGAGTGTGTCTGCAGGCAGGTCGTAGAGCTGCTGGTGTGTGTGTGTGTCTGCAGGCAGGTCGTAGAGCTGCTGGTGTGTGTGTCTGCAGGCAGGTCGTAGAGCTGCTGGTGTGTGTGTGTGTCTGCAGGCAGGTCGTAGAGCTGCTGGTGTGTGTCTGCAGGCAGGTCGTAGAGCTGCTGGTGTGTGTGTGTGTCTGCAGGCAGGTCGTAGAGCTGCTGGTGTGTGTGTGTCTGCAGGCAGGTCGTAGAGCTGCTGGTGTGTGTCTGCAGGCAGGTCGTAGAGCTGCTGGTGTGTGTGTGTCTGCAGGCAGGTCGTAGAGCTGCTGGTGTGTGTGTGTCTGCAGGCAGGTCGTAGAGCTGCTGGTGTGTGTGTGTGTCTGCAGGCAGGTCGTAGAGCTGCTGGTGTGTGTGTGTGTGTGTGTCTGCAGGCAGGTCGTAGAGCTGCTGGTGTGTGTGTGTCTGCAGGCAGGTCGTAGAGCTGCTGGTGTGTGTGTGTGTCTGCAGGCAGGTCGTAGAGCTGCTGGTGTGTGTCTGCAGGCAGGTCGTAGAGCTGATGGTGTGTGTGTGTCTGCAGGCAGGTCGTAGAGCTGCTGGTGTGTGTGTGTGTCTGCAGGCAGGTCGTAGAGCTGCTGGTGTGTGTGTGTGTCTGCAGGCAGGTCGTAGAGCTGCTGGTGTGTGTGTGTCTGCAGGCAGGTCGTAGAGCTGCTGGTGTGTGTGTGTCTGCAGGCAGGTCGTAGAGCTGCTGGTGTGTGTGTGTGTCTGCAGGCAGGTCGTAGAGCTGCTGGTGTGTGTGTGTGTGCAGGCAGGTCGTAGAGCTGCTGGTGTGTGTGTGTGTGCAGGCAGGTCGTAGAGCTGCTGGTGTGTGTGTGTGTGCAGGCAGGTCGTAGAGCTGCTGGTGTGTGTGTCTGCAGGCAGGTCGTAGAGCTGCTGGTGTGTGTGTGTGTGTCTGCAGGCAGGTCGTAGAGCAGACTTCAGGGGGCTCAGCGGTAGTAACTTTGAACGTTTTCTCTGTCAGGCACACAGACTACAAGGTGGCATCTCCTGCTCTGAGAGCAGTGGGGAACATCGTTACAGGAGACGACATCCAGACACAGGTGGTGTTGAACTGTTCAGCCCTTCCCTGTCTGCTCCACCTCCTGAGTAGTGCTAAAGAGTCCATCCGGAAAGAAGCCTGCTGGACCATCTCCAACATCACAGCTGGCAACAGGGCTCAGATACAGGTGAGGTCCAGACTTAACACAGATATATATACACACTACAGGTACCATACAGATAAACAGACATGTTCATGATATTTGTATTTTCTCAGGGCTCAGATACAGGTGAGGTCCAGATACCGTACTCTACAGATGCATAACACAGACTGGTACAATTCAGACACTATAAAGATCCAAAGAAATCTTCAAGACCTAGGTATTAGGGACTAGGTACTAGGTATTGGGTACTAGGTATGGGTACTAGGTATAGGTACTAGGGTATTAGGTACTGGGGTATTAGGTACTAGGATATTAGGTACTGGGGTATTAGGTACTGGGGTATTAGGTACTAGGGTATTAGGTACTGGGGTATTAGGTACTGGGGTATTAGGAACTAGGGTATTAGGTACTGGGGTATTAGGTACTGGGGTATTAGGTACTGGGGTATTAGGTACTGGGGTATTAGGTACTGGGGTATTAGGAACTGGGGTATTAGGTACTGGGGTATTAGGTACTGGGGTATTAGGTACTAGGGTATTAGGTACTGGGGTATTAGGTACTGGGGTATAAGGTACTGGGGTATTAGGTACTGGGGTATTAGGTACTGGGGTATTAGGTACTGGGTATTTTCTGTCTTCAGTTTGAATAAAGGACATCAGGTTTGAGCTGCTGCTCTCCAGTTTAGGCAGCGGTCATCGTCTCTCCACTCAAACGTTTCTATTTTCTTCCTCTCTCGTCTCTTCTCCTAGACGGTGATCGACGCCAACATCTTCCCTGTGCTGATCGACATCCTGCAGAAGGCAGAGTTTAGAACCAGGAAGGAAGCCGCCTGGGCCATTACTAACGCCACGTCCGGAGGAACGCCAGAACAGATCAGGTATAAAGATACACACACCTCACCAGGACAGATTAGATATGACCCACCTCACCAGGACAGATTAGATATGACCCACCTCACCAGGACAGACTAGATATGACCCACCTCACCAGGACAGATTAGATATGACCCACCTCACCAGGACAGACTAGATATGACCCACCTCACCAGGACAGACTAGATATGACCCACCTCACCAGGACAGACTAGATATGACCCACCTCACCAGGACAGATTAGATATGACCCACCTCACCAGGACAGATTAGATATGACCCACCTCACCAGGACAGATTAGATATGACCCACCTCACCAGGACAGACTAGATATGACCCACCTCACCAGGACAGACTAGATATGACCCACCTCACCAGGACAGACTAGATATGACCCACCTCACCAGGACAGACTAGATATGACCCACCTCACCAGGACAGATTAGATATGACCCACCTCACCAGGACAGACTAGATATGACCCACCTCACCAGGACAGATTAGATATGACCCACCTCACCAGGACAGATTAGATATGACCCACCTCACCAGGACAGATTAGATATGACCCACCTCACCAGGACAGACTAGATATGACCCACCTCACCAGGACAGATAGATATGACCCACCTCACCAGGACAGACTAGATATGACCCACCTCACCAGGACAGACTAGATATGACCCACCTCACCAGGACAGATTAGATATGACCCACCTCACCAGGACAGATTAGATATGACCCACCTCACCAGGACAGACTAGATATGACCCACCTCACCAGGACAGATTAGATATGACCCACCTCACCAGGACAGATTAGATATGACCCACCTCACCAGGACAGATTAGATATGACCCACCTCACCAGGACAGATTAGATATGACCCACCTCACCAGCGACAGATTAGATATGACCACCTCACCAGGACAGATTAGATATGACCCACCTCACCAGGACAGATTAGATATGACCCACCTCACCAGGACAGACTAGATATGACCCACCTCACCAGGACAGATTAGATATGACCCACCTCACCAGGACAGATTAGATATGACCCACCTCACCAGGACAGATTAGATATGACCCACCATTATATTATAGTATATTAGTATGCATAGATCAGATATTGACAGTAGAGGGAGGGGTGAAGAACCCTAGTCCATATCAGTATAGGAACGAGGGAGGGGTGAAGGGGAGGTGTTAGTTTCTCTTTTCCTCCTTGTGGGGTCTGAGATTCCAGGCTCAGCAATGTTTCCGTGGTATGCATCCGGAAATACCAAAGTTGTCCCCGTTATATCAAACAGGAGAGCTATACTCTGGTGTGTGTGTGTGTGTGAGCCCTAGTTGAGAGCATTCTGTCCATATTGAATTACGTTGCAGTTCTTTTTCCCTCCGTCAGTGGAATGTCACGATGACACTAACACACATCCTGTCTCGGGCCGCTGCATTTGTCAGGCGTCTGAATTGTACCAAACACATTCCACATTTTATTATCTAGGGTTCGTGTTGCTGTCACACACAGGTCCTTTTCTCTGTCTCTCGCGGCCTTTATTGGCGTGGGAAACATATGTTGACATCGCCAAAGCAAGTGAAATGGAGAATCAACAATAACAAATTAACAGTAGGCCTACCCGAGTGGCGCAGCGGTCTAAGGCACTGCATCGCAGTGTTGCGGTGTCACTACAGCCTGGGGTTGGATCATTACTGCCCAGGCTGTGTCATTACTGGCCGTGACCGGGAGTCCCATAGGGCGGCGCACAGTTGGCCCAGCGTCGTCCGGGTTAGGGGAGGGTTTGGCCGGGGGTCTTTACTTGGCTCATCGCGCTCTAGTGACTTGTGGCGGGCCGGGCGCCTGCAGGCGGTCTTCGGTTGAGCGGTGTTTCCTCCGACACATTGGTGCAGCTGGCTTCCGGGTTAAGCGAGAGGGTGTTAAGAAGCGCGGTTTGGCAGGTCATGTTTCGGAGGACGCATGACTCGACCTTCGCCTCTCCCGAGCCCGTTGGGGAGTTGCAGCGATGACACAAGATCGTGATCACGAAATTGGGGAGAAAAAAGGGTGTGAACTTTACACGCAAAAGTTCCAAAGTAATAAAGATATTTAAAGTGTTATATTATTGGCTGTGTACAGTGTTGTAACAATGTGCAAATAGTTAAAGTACAAAAGTGTCACATCTTGCTGCTGTGATGGCACTCTGTGGTATTTCACCCAATAGATATGTGAGTTTATCAAAATTGGATTTGTTTTCAAATTCTTTATGGGTCTGTGTAATCTGAGGGAAATATGTGTCTCTAATATGGCTTTCCTTAAGTTTGGGTCAGTCACAGTGGTCAGGTATTCTGCCACTGTGTACTCTCTGTTTAGGACCAAATAACATGCTAGTTTGCTCTGAGTTTTTTTGTTAATTCTTTCTAATGTCTCAAGTAATTTATATTTTGGTTTTCTCGTGATTTGGTTGGGTCTAATTGTGTTGCTCTGTGGGATCTGTTTGTGTTTATGAGCAGAGTCCTCTTACCAGCGGGCAGAGGGGACTCTTCTCCAGGTTCATCCCTTACCAGCTGGCAGAGGGGACTCTTCTCCAGGTTCATCTCTCTGTAGGGTCAGGGCTTTGTTATGGAAGGTTTGAGAATCACTTATTTTTAGGTGGTTGTAGGATTTGAATTGCTCTTTTCTGGATTTTGATAACCAGTGGGAATCTTCCTAATTCTGCTCTGCATGCATTATTTGGTGTTTTACATTGTACACAGAGGATGTTTTTTGCAGAATTCTGCATGCAGTCTCAATTTGGGGTTTGTCCCATTTTGTGAATTCTTGGTTGGTGAGCGGACCCCAGACCTCACAACCATAAAGGGCAATAGGTTCTATAATTGATTCAAGTATTTTTAGCCAGATCCTAATTGGTATGTCAAATTTTATGTTCCTTTCGATGGCATAGAAGGCCCTTCTTGCCTTGTCTCTAAGATCGTTCACAGCTTTGTGGAAGTTACATGTGGCGCTGATGTTTAGGCCGAGGTATGTATAGTTTTTTTGTGTGCTCTAGGGCAACGGCGTCTAGGTGGAATTTGTATTTGTGGTCCTGGCAACTGAACCTTTTTTGGATCACCTTTATTTTTGTCTTACTGAGATTAACTTTCAGGGCCCAGGTCTGACAGTCTCTCGCTTTCTCCCCCTTTTCTCCATATCTCTTTCTCTGTTCTTTCTCTGTTCGTTCTCTCTGTTCTCTCTGGTCTCTCTGTTCTCTCTCTCTCTAGGTACCTGGTGAACCTGGGCTGTATCAAGCCTCTGTGTGACCTGTTGACAGTGATGGACAGTAAGATAGTCCAGGTGGCCCTGAACGGTCTGGAGAACATTCTGAGACTGGGAGACCAAGAGGCCAAGCAGGATGCAGGACCCAGCGGTACCGGCATCAACCCTTACTGCTCTCTCATAGAGGAGGCCTATGGTGCGTATACACAAACATCAATCCCTACTGCTCTCTCATAGAGGAGGCCTATGGTGCGTATACACAAACATCAATCCCTACTGCTCTCTCATAGAGGAGGCCTATGGTGCGTATACACAAACATCAATCCTTACTGCTCTCTCATAGAGGAGGCCTATGGTGCGTATACACAAACATCAATCCCTACTGCTCTCTCATAGAGGAGGCCTATGGTGCGTATACACAAACATCAACCCCTACTGCTCTCTCATAGAGGAGGCCTATGGTGCGTATACACAAACATCAACCCCTACTGCTCTCTCATAGAGGGGGCCTATGGTGCGTATATACAAACATCAATCCCTACTGCTCTCTCATAGAGGGGGCCTATGGTGCATTCGGGAAGTATTCAGACCCGTTGACTTTTCCCACATGTTGTGACGTTAACGCCTTATTCTAAAATGGATTAAATCGTTTTTCCTCATCAATCTACACACAATACCCCATAATGACAAAGCAAAAACAGGTCTTTAGAAATGTTTGCAAATGTGAAAAAACCCAGAAATATCACATCTACATAATTATTCTGAACCTTTACTCAGTACTTTGTTGAAGCACCTTGCAGCGATTATAGCCTTCGAGTCTTCTTGGGTATGATGCTACAAGCTTGGCACACCTGTATTTGGGGAGTTTCTCCCATTTTTCTCTGCAGATCCTCTCATGCTCTGTCAGATTGGCTGGGGAGCGTCTCTGCACAGCTATTTTCAGGTCTCTCCAGAGATGTTTGATCGGGTTCAAGTCCGGCTCTGGCTGGGCCACTCAAGGACATTCAGAGACTTGTCCTGAAGCCACTCCTGTGTTGTCTTGGCTGTGTGCTTAGGGTCGTTGTCCTGTTGGAAGGTGAACCTTCGCCCCAGTCTGAGGTCGTGAGCGCTCTGGAGCAGGTTTTCATCAAGGATCTTTCTGTACTTTGCTCTGTTTGTCTTTCCCTCGATCCTGACTAGTCTCCAAGACCCTGCCGCTGAAAACATCCCCACAGCATGATGCTACCACCACCATGCTTCACAGTACGGATGGTACCAGGTTTCCTCCAGACGTGACGCTTGGCATTCAGGCCAAAGAGTCCAATCTTGGTTTCATCAGACCAGAGAGTCTTGTTTCTCATGGTCTGAGAGTCCTTTAGGTGCCAGTTGATAAACTCCAAGCGTGCATTCATGTGCCTTTTGCTGAGGAGTGGCTTCCATCTGGCCACTCTACCGTAAAGTCCTGATTGGTGGAGTGCTGCAGAGATGGTTGTCCTTCTGGAAGGTTCTCCCATCTCCACAGAGGAACTCTGGAGCTCTGTCAGATTTGAGTATCAGGTTCTTGGACACCTCCCTGACCAAGGCCCTTCTCCCCCAATTGCTCAGTTTGGCTGGGCGGCCAGCTCTAGGAAGAATCTTGGTGGTTCCAAACTTCTTCCATTTAAGAATGATGGAGGCCACTGAGTTCTTGGACTTTCAATGCTGCAGAAATGTTTTGGGACCCTTCCCAAGATCTGTGCCTCGACACAATCCTGTCTCGGAGCTCTATGGACAATACCTTCCACCTCATGGGTTGGTTTTTGCTCTGCCATGCACTGTCAACTGTGGGGGCCTTATATAGACAGGTGTTTGCCTTTCCAAATCATGTCCAGTCAATTGAATTGACCGCAGGTGGACTCCAATCAAGTTGTAGAAACATCTCAAGGATGATTAATGGAAACAGGATGCACCTGAGCTCAATTTCAAGTCTCATAGCAAAGGGTCTGAATACTTTTGTAAATAAGGTATTTCTGTGTTTCTTTCTAAATTAAAATCGAAAAACCTGTTTTCGCTTTGTCATTATGGGGCATTGTGTGTAGATTGATGATTTAAAAAAATAAGTGTAACCAATTTTAGAATAAGGCTGTGACTTAGCAAAATGTGGAAAAACTCAAGGGGTCTGAATACTTTCCGAATGCACTGTATATACAAACATCAACCCCTGCTGCTCTCTCTTAGAAGAGGCCTTATGGTACGTTCATACAAACACGTTCATACAGGCACATGCACACCACACGCACACACACACACACACACACACACACACACACACACACACACAGTACACACACGCACTTCCGCATACATACACTTGCATAATCTACCATGTGTATGAATAAATAAAGTCCATCTCTCCTCCCCATCTCCAGGTCTAGACAAGATAGAGTTCCTTCAGAGCCATGAGAACCAGGAGATCTACCAGAAGGCCTTCGACCTGATTGAGCACTACTTTGGAGTGGAGGAGGAGGACCAGAGCCTGGCTCCTCAGGTGGACCAGGCCAACCAGCAGTTCCTCTTCCCCCAGCAGGAGGCTCCCATGGAGGGCTTCCAGCTATAACGCCCTCCCTGCCCTCTGGTTCATCCAAACATCGCTCATACCCACGGATCCCATTTGGAAGGCTTTCAGATTACATTTACCCCCGTATCCCCTATCAATGGAGGGCTTTCAGATAACATCTACCCCCCACCCCCATATCCTTTCAGATAACTTCTACCCCAATATCCCCTACCAATGGAGGGCTTTGAGTTAAATTAGCGTCCCTGTGTCCCTCCACCTTCCACGTCCAACCACCACCTATATGCCCCAGCCCCAGCCCGTGGCTCGCTCTTCTACCCCAACCCCTACAAATGGAGGGTTTCCTGTGCACTATCCTTTCTCCACTGTGACCTTCCATGCTCAACCATCATGCAGCCCGTATCCCCAACCCCCATGGATCTCCCTCCGATTCCATGGAAGGCTTACAGCTGTGAGTCTTTATCCAACCACCATGAACGTGGCTCTACCTACCCGAACAGATCAGACACTTCTAACAGAACACCACGTCTCTGCTGAGGAGCCAATCGGAGAGCTGAACTCACACCACATGACCTGATAAAACAAAGCTCTTCCTGATCAGTGATCACACACTGGTTTGGGTCCAGTCCAGGTTTGAAACGCACAGATACAATGAGAGATACTGCCAGTACTGTTGATACCCTGATTGTTCTGACAGTAGCGGTGGTTGGGTTTGTTTTGGTTTTTAGTGCTCCCCGTCTGCCCATAGGGATGTCCTTCTTCAGGATGTGGGGGTCAAATCTGACCTAGTGTGAGGAGCATTATTTAAGTTCTACCCCTTTTCTTTTACGACAAGTGTCTTCCTTGCCCTTATTTATCAGTTTCCAATCGTTTAGCTTTTGTCGGCCCTGTTTCCCCCCTGGCCTGTTTTAAACCAGATCTCAGTGTACCACCTGAAGTCTAGTGTCCACAGACTGAAGACTGGCTTCTTTACTGTTAACAATAGAACAACACAGCTGTATTCTAAACTCAGAGGCCAAACCCTCATTCACATTGGTTTCTGTCTATATCAGACATACAGGGTTCCAATAAGCAATTCTGGGGATTCTTAGGAATTCTAGAACTATGATTTGGAGTGTAGAGCCAAGGTTCTCCCCTTCTAGAACTATGATTTGGAGTGTAGAGCCAAGGTTCTCCCCTTCTAGAACTGACAGTCCTTTCTCTACAATTTATTTCCTACAACTTTTAGCTACTTTTTGTTTTGTTTGTGTCAGATGATTTCTTGGACCTGGGGAGGGATGAAGAGGGTGGAGCAACATGTTGGGGTCTGAATCGTAAAAACAGGAAAACCGCTGGGGTAATGGAGGGCGTCAAGTTGGGGATTGGGGAGGGAATTTAAAGTGTTGGGGGGGGGGTGGGGGGTCCATATTGAAATATACACATTAAAATACCTAGGTTACTAGCTTGATCTGAAGTTGATATAGCTAGACATATAATGTCCGTTGTGTGCCGTGTTCTTAATAACGATAGATTTGAATTATGACGTGATTCTAACTATTAAAACGGCATACCGCTGGGGGTGGGGAACAGGGCCTACGCTAACTCGAGAAAAACCTGTAACTCAGCTCCACGTAAATCAGGCATCAATGTCAGATTTGCGGTAATATCCAATGTACGCACTTGCATGTCTGGTTAGGATTTGGGCTTTTTAGTTTTTCTTTTGGATTTCTCTGTTCCGTTGAAGCCCGGGATGTGTTCCAAATGGGAAGCCCTATGGGCCTTGGTCTAAAGTAGTGCACTACATAGGGAATAGGTTGCCATTCGGGACACAGCCCCAGTGTAAATAGATATGTTGGTGCTGACTGAGTTGTAGTAGGCCCTGGGATGTGATGTGGTTTTGCTGCCCCCCCCCCCCCCCCCCGGTGTGTGTGTGTGCGTGGTAGGGTTTGCATGGTGTTCCTATTGCCCTACCTACTGTCACAGAGTATCCCTTTGCCAAACACCTGGTAGTACACCAGGAATTATTGTTGGAAGAGGGAGGGAGAGAAAGTGCAAAAAAGAAAAGTGTACAACTCCCCTTTATTCTTCTAGGATGTGTTTTTAAATAGCACTGTATTCCCCTTAGTCCACGTGTTTTGACAGGAGCCACCTAGGGAGCCTCTGGACAGAAGGAAAAGCACTATATCAGACAGGGTGCCATGCATCTAACGACAACCAGGGTTTGGCAAGGGATACGTCTTTTAATTTAGACCGTGACGAACCTAACCGCAACAGAAGTTAAGTTAAGATGTATTTGCACAGACACTTCATGCATACAACACCAGCAGACTGTACACAGCTCACACGGATGAGTGCTACACAACGAGGAGAAACAACTCCCATAATCCACCTTTTTGAATGAACATCATTGCATGTTTTCTTTCTTTCTGTGCTATATTGCCACAATGCGGTATGTTCATTCAATGTTTTCTTTCATTGTTTTGTCACTTCCTTATCGGCACTATTGAGATTATGCTCGTAGATTTTTTTTTTTTTTCTTTTTAAAGAATGCACCTTAACCACAATGCATTGCTCTTTAATACAATGACATGTTTACGGGGGGAATGTGCGGTAGATATGACAAAAGATTCATAAACTAACAATCACATTCACAGCATCCTTTAATATCTCTTAAAGAAAATTTAAGAGAAACTGACATTTTTTTGTTTTGCCATTTTTCTTGAAGTGCATGGTGTACTTCCTGGTATTATGCTAGGTCAAAAATATACAGGATAAGACAAAGTAATAATTCCATGTGGAGCGTTTAGAAAATAAACCCATTCATTAGACCAGGGAGGTTGCAGATTCTACAGGATTAGCATTGAAAACGTGACCAGTGGACGAGAACTCGAGTAAAAGTGGCTGTAGGTCATTTGAAAAACCATATAAATGCATAGAATGACAAACAGTTGTGTTTGCTGAGTAGTTATGAAAGATTGTTTCTTTTCCACTTTTATGGTGAACTGCATACATTCACTTCGTCATTTACGCTCGCTAATCCTGTAGAATCAGCAACGGCGCTGGTCCAATTTATGTATTTATTTTCGAACATTTCCGTATGTCAATTATTACATTGTCTTAACCTTTTATCTTCAACCTAGGTATTGTGGAAGCCTTCTTTCTCCTTTCTGCTACATGACTGAAGATGGTTAGATGGGTATGCCCTTAGACACAGATCTAGGATCAGCTTGCCATCCCTTAATCCTAAACCTGTGAAATGAATGGGGCAAAAGCAAAACTGACCGTAGATCAGTCTCTGGGTTGAGTGGAGCCTAAAAACAGTCTGGTAGTGTGACAGTTTGACTGACCAGCGCTGTGTGAGGAAGAGATACATGTACAATTGTTATGTTCTCCTTAGTCTGGTACCAGCTTGTTCTGTGGCTCCACCATTTCCCCTGGTTGAGCAGAACCAACTGGGTTTGAGGTAAACAAAATCAGAATATACGGGGGGGGGGGCTGTTTTATTTCAATGCCTGAAGTATCATTTTGGAAGGGCATCTGTAACCGCAGCAGGAGTTTTTTGGGGGGGGTTACTTTATATGCTAGCTATGAGGACCCTTGTCATTGCACATTTTATATAGCAAATCATCACCCTATGGTTATATTGTCCTACCTGACGTGATGTCTCGGTAGGTTGATCCTGTGAGGATGCGAGCCATGACTTTGTACAATGTCTTACCTTTTGTTATATTTCAAGTCTGCAATGGTGATTCATGGTCTGCAAGGGTTTTGGACACGTTGTGCTTTGGTTGACATTCAAAATGTAGTCAAACTGGTAAGAGACTAAGCTTGTCATTGATCAAACATAGACAGTAACAGTTATAGGCTATTATAGGAGTCTATGCACTTTGGTCCTCTAAAGGGAAATGGTTGTCCACAGAACAAGTGTTCCAAACAGACATTTGAGACTAAATAAATCTTGGAAAACATGAACAATTAGCTAAAGAACTTTGACTCTACATCACTAACAAGTGGAGGAGCAATTATATATCAGTAGTCCTCTTTGGTTCTTGGTTTTTCGATCTACTTCTGTGTGCAGTCTATCAACAGACTTCCAGAACAGTCAAATATAAATCATCTGTGGATCAAACAAACACATAAAATATTTTTATTTTTGAAGAAAAACAAAATGCACTCTTATTCACTAAAGTGCCAATCCTGACCAACTAAAGACTTGCGGTTGATTACATATAGTCTTTTGACTTATTGATTTATTTAATTTTCTTCCTTAATATTTCCTTGAATGTGCACACGTTTTGTGCAAAACATTGCTGCTCTATTGTCCTTCTCTTATAGTTCCATGACGTGGTTTCTCTGGAAGTGGCATTCTTTACTGTTTTTGCACTGTGGGATTGGGTCAGAACAGTCATTTTAATAGGCTAAAAATAATTACTTAATTTATTCCATCATGCTGATCCGTCTAACTAAATATTGATGCTCTCCTCTTACAGTTTAAAGCATTGTTGATTTCCCTGTGCTGACTGATGCAACTGTGGGACAGACAGTTCAGACATTTGGTTTCGTTAGAAAATGCAGCGCCATCAAGTGTAATTTTATCTAGACGGGTCACAGTCTGGAAAACTCCTGGCCCCAGTTTATCAGGTCAGTTATCATACAGGGCCAAGTTCAGTAGCCAAAGGTTGCTAATAGAAATGCCACAAATGGAGAGCCAACGTTATTCCTTATTCTACATGTCAGAGTCATGTTTGTTTTACATAGCATATTTCTATCTGAACGTTCCAAAATGTTACGTCCTGCTGAACGTGCCACGGGGATTCTCGACCTAAACTTCCATGTTTGCACATGAGTCTAACCGATCTTCTCACAAAGAACTAAACAGCCAATTCAAAATGGAGACGACTCACCAAAGTAGTTTTTTTACATTACTTTTTCTTGACTTTGAGCAGCTATGCCATTACATAAATAAATAAAATAAATAAATAAATAAAAATAAGCATGGATATGGAGGGTATATAATATTTTTCAGTGGCATAATCTTATTGTCTGTCCAGACCCAGTCAATCAACCAAACAACCAATCACTTGTCCAGAGACTTCTCTCTGCTATCTCTTGATTTAGCACAATGAATCAGAAGCAGTTTTCTTGAGATGGGAAGCTAAATGGAAGTTGCATTATTGGCTGAGAATGAACAACCTACCAACCAGTCCTGCAATAAATATTCTCTGAAAGTCGGCCATCCCCAGGGGTTCAAGTTCCGTCCCAAATAGCACCCTATTCCCTATTTAGTGCACTACTTTTGAGCAGGGGTCCATTGGGCTCTGGTCCACAATAGAGCCCCACAGTGGAGGTGTCATAATACCCATAAAACCTAGCGGTCAAACAAGGGAAATAGTTCCAATCGTTTTTCCACCATTTCATTTTTCCCATAGGGGATTTTAGAAACACTTAAAATAAGGGCTTTGTTTTGTGTAGGGTTACTCTGGCGTGATGTTTTGATAACCATGTAAAATCTATCTTGGACAAGGTGACTTATCAATATATTCAGCTCTATTTACTCGCAGATTCGGAAATGCTAATTAGCGTCAAAGTAGACATCATGCAAGACTAAAATCCCTGCAAAGCTTCTGCACGTCATCTCTAGCTGACACCTTTGCTAACAGGTATTGTGTCAATTTAAAACTTGCACAAGACAGTTCCCAGAATTGTCCATTTTAAAGAAATGTAGCTAATTTATTCATTACTACATTTAGCTAACATTAGATTTGTTAATCCAGATATTCTTACCTTTGCCTCGAGTCGGCAGTCTCGTCCAGATCATGGCATTTGTAGTTCTTTATGATAGCCACATTAGAAGCTAATTAGCATTTAATTTTGGGGGGGTAAGTACAGGCGTATATATTGATAAAAGTCACCTTGTCCGAGAGAGATTTTACGCGGTTATCAAAACGTCACACCAGGGTATGCCTACACGGAACACAGCCCTTATTTTAAGTCTTCCTAAAAAACCCTATGGGGGAAAAATGTATGGTGGAAAAACGATTGGAACCATTTCCCTGTTTGACCTCTAGGTTTTATGGGTATTATGACACGTTATATAGGGAATAGAGTGGCATTTGAGTCGGAGCTTAAGACTTCTTAATCAGGTTTTTGCCCTCTTCAAGAGTGCAATTAACAGAGATGACTGGTCAACAGTTTCCTAGAACAAATCTGGGATGCAGGAATATGTGAAGTAATTTACATTTAAAAATGACAATTGAGTCCAAGTGGAACTATGTATGATTTATAATTTGGGGGGGGGGTGCTTTATATTTGTTCTCTTACACACGTGTGTAAAGGAAATGTTTTTTTTTTTTGCATATCCGACTCCCCCTGAGGCAACCGCAGGGATTCGGGTCACTGCCAGGGTCGCCATTGTACAGTGGGCCCCTGGAAATATGTACATTTAGCTGAAGGAATCACCCACATTTTGTAATGACTGCTGAAATGCTTCATATGGCAATAGTAAAGGGACAGGAGTTTTTTTTTTCTTCCCCTGACCAAATGACAAGGAGAAACTGTGTACGTCCCAAATGGCACTGAATGCCCTATATAGTGCACTACTTTTGACCAGAGACCTATGGGCCCTGATCAAAAAGTTGTGCACTATATAGGGAATACGGGTGCCATTTGCTCTAGTGGTTCCCGTCAGGTCATAGATTTGAAGAAATAATCAAGATGAATTTGAAATGGGACATTTCTTGTCTTCTGTCCTAGATCCTGTAAATGTGTATATCTGAGACAAAGGTGTCTGAAAAGCCCAAGCCATGCCTTAGTGCTTGGCTTTATCAAATAAATTATGCTATCTAGGCTATAATTGTTTACAATTGCTACATGTTTATAAAGTGTTTTTCATACGTCATAACTGACCAGTCCTGATGTATTCTCTGGTTCTCTCATTTCTCTCTTTCAATGTATTTATTTCCAAAACAAATCTTGTTTATTTTTTGTTTGTTTGCTTACGATAACCCATCTTATACTGTGACTTGACTTTACCGACGGTATGAATGAGTGACGAGAAACTGATACACTTCAACTGAACATGACACACAAACAAGAACACCGAAACAAAACAACACAAATGCATTAACAAATATTAGAAATGTATAAAAATGAAAAAGTTGTCCAGTGGAAACTGTACAAAAAAAATTACTAGAAATAAAATGATGTTGCAACCCTTTGTCTCCTGTTGTTTTTCCATTGCTTGAACACGGTTTTTAATGACTAAAAGATACTAAAACGTAAACGTATTTTTGCTGCCGCATGTGTAAGATGTAGAACCGGTGAATGAACGTTTTTGTAGTTCTGAGTCGAGGGTTTGAACTACATAACATTTCCCCTCAAGATTGTCAACCACGCACTTCCGTTGTTCATTACGTATTTCCTGTGTTGGTTGGCAGGAGGAAAAGCAGCAGGCAACACAGAAGTGTATTTATTGAGTTGTATCAAGAAGGTAAATGTCATTTTTATTTTCTAATAAAGTACCTAAAGCTTATTCGAAGTATGTATAATAACTGTGGGATATGTGAGGTGTTGTGTTTCTTTGGTTTGTTCCGTAGTGTAGAGGTAATATAGAACGATAAATGCTAAGTTAGGTAGCTTGCTAACTAACGTTATCTAAACGGGACTAATTTCTGTTGAAAGCTACAAAGTGAAACTAGTTATGTATTTGGTTGCTAAGAGAGGTCTTGTTTCACTTGCTAGACCAAGCTAGTGAGTTGACGACTTTCCAAAAATGTCAACTATTCTATTCGCATAGTTAGCTACACGTTAGCCGCGTTGAAATGTCACTTCGTTAGCATACCACATATTTATGCGTTGCTTTGCTGGGTAGCTAGCTAACGTTAGCCTGCTGTCGTTCGCCATTTCAGATATATTTTACGTAAGCATGAGCTATATTAATTTATTTCAACACACTTTCTGGTAAGGTGTACTGTCATGATTACCGGTGACCAACTGACCGATAACTAGGTAACTTATAGCTGACTAAACTCCACTCCTTGGTGAAGGACTTACTTCACGGTAGAGCGGAGTTTAGTCCGCTAGCTAACTTAGAGGTTTAGACTGCAGTGACATCCCCCATTTAACGTTTGGCAGTTTTAAGTTCTTGCTTTTCTCAAGCGGAGGTACGTGTAAAAATCGTCAGCGAACACTTGAATATTCGGATCTGTAATTTACGCCGCAGTTGGACTTTTCCCCCTATACAAACAAAATGCTCGATGAACATTTTGAAGAATATCTGTTGCAGGCATTTCATCATGAAGAAACAGGACACAGAAGAGTCGTCCGCGCATGGCAGCGATGCAGCACCTGGCGCTGGAGAGATGGAGGGAAGCAAGGCGGCAAAATACGTTACGGAGACCAGAAGCCCAAAATACGTTACGGAGACCAGAAGCCCAAAAGACGTTACGGAGACCAGAAGCCCAAAAGAGGTTACAGAGGCTGGCAGCCCTAAAGAGTCAGAGAAGGACACACCTTCACAAGCTGATGGGGCTGAAAGTGCAGGTAAAGTTAGCGCTATGTGTCATGGGTTGTCACTGATGTGATGGAACTAATGCCACGTTCAAGTGCTAGTCTAGTCGGAACTAGGAAACTCGTACATTTTTCTACGTTCCACCTGCAACTAGCGATGGGAGTTGAAGACGAAGGTAAGTTCCAAGTTGAGAATTAAGTGAAGTATTGCCATGTTTGTAAAAAAAAAAAAAAAAAAAAAATGCTGCTGTTGCTTTACATTAGCTAGGGTGTAACGGCTGTATGGAAGCATTCATATATCACCGTTCTGAAGTGTAGCTCCCATATCACCGTTCCGAAGTGTAGCTCCCATATCACCGTTCCGAAGTGTAGCTCCCATATCACCGTTCCGAAGTGTAGCTCCCATATCACCGTTCCGAAGTGTAGCTCCCATATCACCGTTCTGAAGTGTAGCTCCCATATCACCGTTCCGAAGTGTAGCTCCCATATCACCGTTCCGAAGTGTAGCTCCCATATCACAGTTCTGAAGTGTAGCTCCCATATCACCGTTCTGAAGTGTAGCTCCCATATCACCGTTCCGAAGTGTAGCTCCCATATCACCGTTCCGAAGTGTAGCTCCCATATCACCGTTCCGAAGTGTAGCTCCCATATCACCGTTCCGAAGTGTAGCTCCCATATCACCGTTCCGAAGTGTAGCTAGCAGTGCAGCTTTGTGTGTTCTTTCTTTGATTGTTGTTCTTTGAATGTTTTTTATTATAATTCATTTTTGTTCACCTTTGTTGTTGTTACGTACTGCAAAGTCCAATAATTGTTATTGCTGCATTTTGTTTCTCTTTCCCTTCTGTGTCTAGTGGCTGAGACGGTTGCCGTTTCCAACACAGCAGAGTCTGCAGCCCTCCTCACCGTCCCAACTGTGGCAGACCCTGCCCCCCTCCCAGTCGCCACTATAGCAGACCCTGCCCCCCTCCCAGTCTCCACTATATTAGACCCTGCCCCCCTCCCAGTCTCCACTATATTAGACCCTGCCCCCCTCTCAGTCGCCACTATATTAGACCCTGCCCCCCTCCCAGTCGCCACTATATTAGACCCTGCCCCCCTCCCAGTCGCCACTATATTAGACCCTGCCCCCCTCCCAGTCGCCACTATATTAGACCCTGCCCCCCTCCCAGTCTCCACTATATTAGACCCTGCCCCCCTCCCAGTCGCCACTATATCAGACCCTGCCCCCCTCCCAGTCTCCACTATATTAGACCCTGCCCCCCTCCCAGTCGCCACCATAGCGGAGGGGGTGTCTTCTCAGTGTGACATGGTTGAGGTGCTGAGCCGCCAGCTGGAGGACATCCTCAACACCTACTGCCTGGAGGACAACGGGGAGGACGGGGTTAACCTGCCCAACGGCCAATCACACGGCCCCATGGTCAACGGCCTGGCCAATGAGAAGGAGCTGGACGTCAAGCCGGAGGAGGTCAAAGTGAATGCCGGCGGAGCGGAGAAAGTGAAGAGTCAAGAGAAGAAGAAGGTGAAGGGGCTGGGTAAGGTTCTGTTGCTCTGTCTGAAATCAACCCTAGGTGCTTGTCGTTGATCTGAAATGATTGGATGGGTATAGGTCAGTGGCCGCCAACCCTGGTCCTGAAGACCAATATGGAGCTATTACCCATCTATATTGCACACTAATATCGAGCTGTCATCCATCAGATTATTTTAGTCATACGGGTGGTGGCTAGGGGTTGAGGACTGGACAACTTCCCCTTGTATGTTGCTGGGTCCCTGCTATGATGAGATGGTGTTGCACTGAATGTCTTCCCCCTGTGTTACGCTGAATATATTCCACGTCCTGTGTGTTGCAGGTAAAGAGATCACCCTGCTGATGCAGACCCTGAACACTCTGAGTACACCAGAGGAGAAACTGTCAGGCCTCTGTAAGAAGTATGCTGAGCTGGTGAGTAGTAACTCTCATAAACGTTTTGACTCGGGTGTGTGTGTGGCTCAAAGGCTGTTTGGTTTAGTTAATAACTTTGTATTTATTTAATTTGAGCATGCTAGCAGCCCTCTTATTTCTAGCCTCCATCTGTGTATCAGCCAGTAGCAGTTTGTCTCCTCTGTCTGTCTGGTCATCATGCAGGGGAATGGACAGGGCAGATCAACATAGGGTGACCTACAGGGGAATGGACAGGGCAGATCAACATAGGGGAATGGACAGGGCAGATCAACATAGGGTGACCTACAGGGGAATGGACAGGGCAGATCAACATAGGGTGACCTACAGGGGAATGGACAGGGCAGATCAACATAGGGTGACCTACAGGGGAATGGACAGGGCAGATCAACACAGGGTGACCTACAGGGGAATGGACAGGGCAGATCAACACAGGGTGACCTACAGGGGAATGGACAGGGCAGATCAACATAGGGGAATGGACAGGGCAGATCAACATAGGGTGACCTACAGGGGAATGGACAGGGCAGATCAACACAGGGTGACCTACAGGGGAATGGACAGGGCAGATCAACATAGGGTGACCTACAGGGGAATGGACAGGGCAGATCAACACAGGGTGACCTACAGGGGAATGGACAGGGCAGATCAACACAGGGTGACCTACAGGGGAATGGACAGGGCAGATCAACACAGGGTGACCTACAGGGGAATGGACAGGGCAGATCAACACAGGGTGACCTACAGGGGACTGGACAGGGCAGATCAACACAGGGTGACCTACAGGGGAATGGACAGGGCAGATCAACACAGGGTGACCTACAGGGGAATGGACAGGGCAGATCAACATAGGGGAATGGACAGGGCAGATCAACACAGGGTGACCTACAGGGGAGTGGACAGGGCAGATCAACACAGGGTGACCTACAGGGGAATGGACAGGGCAGATCAACACAGGGTGACCTACAGGGGAATGGACAGGGCAGATCAACACAGGGTGACCTACAGGGGAATGGACAGGGCAGATCAACACAGGGTGACCTACAGGGGAATGGACAGGGCAGATCAACACAGGGTGACCTACAGGGGAATGGACAGGGCAGATCAACACAGGGTGACCTACAGGGGAATGGACAGGGCAGATCAACACAGGGTGACCTACAGGGGAATGGACAGGGCAGCTCAACACAGGGTGACCTACAGGGGAATGGACAGGGCAGCTCAACACAGGGGTGACCTACAGGGGAATGGACAGGGCAGATCAACACAGGGTGACCTACAGGGGAATGGACAGGGCAGCTCAACACAGGGTGGCCTACAGGGGAATGGACAGGGCAGCTCAACACAGGGTGGCCTACAGGGGAATGGACAGGGCAGATCAACACAGGGTGACCTACAGGGGAATGGACAGGGCAGATCAACACAGGGTGACCTACAGGGGAATGGACAGGGCAGATCAACACAGGGTGACCTACAGGGGAGTGGACAGGGCAGATCAACACAGGGTGACCTACAGGGGAATGGACAGGGCAGATCAACACAGGGTGACCTACAGGGGAATGGACAGGGCAGATCAACACAGGGTGACCTACAGGGGAATGGACAGGGCAGATCAACACAGGGGACCTACAGGGGACTGGGCAATGGGCAATCAACCAGGGTGACCTACAGGGGAATGGACAGGGCAGATCAACACAGGGTGACCTACAGGGGAGTGGACAGGGCAGATCAACACAGGGTGACCTACAGGGGAATGGACAGGGCAGATCAACACAGGGTGGCCTACAGGGGAATGGACAGGGCAGATCAACACAGGGTGACCTACAGGGGAATGGACAGGGCAGATCAACACAGGGTGACCTACAGGGGAATGGACAGGGCAGATCAACACAGGGTGACCTACAGGGGAGTGGACAGGGCAGATCAACACAGGGTGACCTACAGGGGAATGGACAGGGCAGATCAACACAGGGTGACCTACAGGGGAATGGACAGGGCAGATCAACACAGGGTGACCTACAGGGGAATGGACAGGGCAGATCAACACAGGGTGACCTACAGGGAATGGACAGGGCAGATCAACACAGGGTGACCTACAGGGGAATGGACAGGGCAGATCAACACAGGGTGACCTACAGGGAATGGACAGGGCAGATCAACACAGGGTGACCTACAGGGGAATGGACAGGGCAGCTCAACACAGGGTGACCTACAGGGGAATGGACAGGGCAGCTCAACACAGGGTGACCTACAGGGGAATGGACAGGGCAGCTCAACACAGGGTGACCTACAGGGGAATGGACAGGGCAGCTCAACACAGGGTGACCTATAGGGGAATAGACAGGGCAGCTCAACACAGGGTGGCCTACAGGGGAATGGACAGGGCAGATCAACACAGGGTGACCTACAGGGGAATGGACAGGGCAGATCAACACAGGGTGACCTACAGGGGAATGGACAGGGCAGATCAACACAGGGTGACCTACAGGGGAATGGACAGGGCAGATCAACACAGGGTGGCCTACAGGGGAATGGACAGGGCAGATCAACACAGGGTGACCTACAGGGGAATGGACAGGGCAGCTCAACACAGGGTGACCTTCAGGGGAATGGACAGGGCAGATCAACACAGGGTGACCTTCAGGGGAATGGACAGGGCAGATCAACACAGGGTGACCTACAGGGGAATGGACAGGGCAGATCAACACAGGGTGACCTACAGGGGAATGGACAGGGCAGATCAACACAGGGTGACCTACAGGGGAATGGACAGGGCAGATCAACACAGGGTGACCTACAGGGGAATGGACAGGGCAGATCAACACAGGGTGACCTACAGGGGAATGGACAGGGCAGCTCTGTGTGGGTGGGGGGGGGGGGCGCTCTATCAGCTGACTGGGCCCAGGGAGCGTGCCGCTGGCTGATGGAGCGGCGCCGAGGGAGACTGCAGTGTTTGGAATGGGCTAGAGGGGAAACTGCTATACGCTGTCTTTACTGGACATGGCTTCCCTTGGCAGCCTGACTTGTTTTCCCGCTAGCCTTCCATCAGTAGACTTATTGGAGCCATTTTAGCAATAGCTTTTCATTTAGGTGTAATTAAACAGCTCTAATAGTATTTTCATTCATTAAAGTCTATTTTCTGTGTGCCTGCGTGCCCGTGTGTGCGTGTGTGTGTGTGTGCGCCTGCATGCCCGTGTGTGTATGTGTGCGTGTCCTTATGTTTGTGGTGTGCATTCGTCCCCCCTGTTTGTGTGTGTAGCTGGAGGATCAGCGGAACAGTCAGAAGCAAATGCGTGTCCTGCAGAAGAAACAGTCTCAGCTGGTGCAGGAGACGGACCACCTGAGGAATGAACACAGCAAGGCCATCCTGGCGCGCAGCAAACTGGAGTCACTCTGTAGGGAGCTGCAGAGGCACAATCGCACACTCAAGGTAAAGGATGGTGAAGCTGGTGTTTACAGTAGGTAAAGGATGGTGAAGCTGGTGTTTACACTAGGTAAAGGATGGTGAAGCTGGTGTTTACTCTAGGTAAAGGATGGTGAAGCTGGTGTTTACACTAGGTAAAGGATGGTGAAGCTGGTGTTTACACTAGGTAAAGGATGGTGAAGCTGGTGTTTACTCTAGGTAAAGGATGGTGAAGCTGGTGTTTACACTAGGTAAAGGATGGTGAAGCTGGTGTTTACACTAAGTAAAGGATGGTGAAGCTGGTGTTTACTCTAGGTAAAGGATGGTGAAGCTGGTGTTTACAGTAGGTAAAGGATGGTGAAGCTGGTGTTTACACTAGGTAAAGGATGGTGAAGCTGGTGTTTACACTAGGTAATGGATGGTGAAGCTGGTGTTTACAGTAGGTAAAGGATGGTGAAGCTGGTGTTTACAGTAGGTAAAGGATGGTGAAGCTGGTGTTTACACTAGGTAAAGGATGGTGAAGCTGGTGTTTACACTAGGTAAAGGATGGTGAAGCTGGTGTTTACACTAGGTAAAGGATGGTGAAGCTGGTGTTTACAGTAGGTAAAGGATGGTGAAGCTGGTGTTTACACTAGGTAAAGGATGGTGAAGCTGGTGTTTACACTAGGTAAAGGATGGTGAAGCTGGTGTTTACACTAGGTAAAGGATGGTGAAGCTGGTGTTTACACTAGGTAAAGGATGGTGAAGCTGGTGTTTACACCAGGTAAAGGATGGTGAAGCTGGTGTTTACAGTAGGTAAAGGATGGTGAAGCTGGTGTTTACACTAGGTAATGGATGGTGAAGCTGGTGTTTACAGTAGGTAAAGGATGGTGAAGCTGGTGTTTACAGTAGGTAAAGGATGGTGAAGCTGGTGTTTACACTAGGTAAAGGATGGTGAAGCTGGTGTTTACACTAGGTAAAGGATGGTGAAGCTGGTGTTTACAGTAGGTAAAGGATGGTGAAGCTGGTGTTTACACTAGGTAAAGGATGGTGAAGCTGGTGTTTACACTAGGTAAAGGATGGTGAAGCTGGTGTTTACACTAGGTAAAGGATGGTGAAGCTGGTGTTTACACTAGGTAAAGGATGGTGAAGCTGGTGTTTACAGTAGGTAAAGGATGGTGAAGCTGGTATTAACACTAGGTAAAGGATGGTGAAGCTGGTGTTTACACTAGGTAAAGGATGGTGAAGCTGGTGTTTACACTAGGTAAAGGATGGTGAAGCTGGTGATTACACTAGGTAAAGGATGGTGAAGCTGGTGTTTACACTAGGTAAAGGATGGTGAAGCTGGTGTTTACACTAGGTAAAGGATGGTGAAGCTGGTGTTTACACTAGGTAAAGGATGGTGAAGCTGGTGATTACACTAGGTAAAGGATGGTGAAGCTGGTGTTTACACTAGGTAAAGGATGGTGAAGCTGGTGTTTACACTAGGTAAAGGATGGTGAAGCTGGTGTTTACACTAGGTAAAGGATGGTGAAGCTGGTGTTTACTCTAGGTAAAGGATGGTGAAGCTGGTGTTTACTCTAGGTAAAGGATGGTGAAGCTGGTGTTTACACTAGGTAAAGGATGGTGAAGCTGGTGTTTACACTAGGTAAAGGATGGTGAAGCTGGTGTTTACACTAGGTAAAGGATGGTGAAGCTGGTGTTTACACTAGGTAAAGGATGGTGAAGCTGGTGTTTACACTAGGTAAAGGATGGTGAAGCTGGTGTTTACACTAGGTAAAGGATGGTGAAGCTGGTGTTTACAGTAGGTAAAGGATGGTGAAGCTGGTGTTTACAGTAGGTAAAGGATGGTGAAGCTGGTGTTTACACTAGGTAAAGGATGGTGAAGCTGGTGTTTACACTAGGTAAAGGATGGTGAAGCTGGTGTTTACACTAGGTAAAGGATGGTGAAGCTGGGACTTACACTAGGTATAGGATGGTGAAGCTGGTGTTTACACTAGGTAAAGGATGGTGAAGCTGGTGTTTACACTAGGTAAAGGATGGTGAAGCTGGTGTTTACACTAGGTAAAGGATGGTGAAGCTGGTGTTTACAGTAGGTAAAGGATGGTGAAGCTGGGACTTACACTAGGTAAAGGATGGTGAAGCTGGTGTTTACACTAGGTAAATGATGGTGAAGCTGGTGTTTACTCTAGGTAATGGATGGTGAAGCTGGTGTTTACACTAGGTAAAGGATGGTGAAGCTGGTGTTTACACTAGGTAAATGATGGTGAAGCTGGTGTTTACTCTAGGTAATGGATGGTGAAGCTGCTGTTTACTCTAGGTAATGGATGGTGAAGCTGGTGTTTACACTAGGTAAAGGATGGTGAAGCTGGTGTTTACAGTAGGTAAAGGATGGTGAAGCTGGTGTTTACACTAGGTAAAGGATGGTGAAGCTGGTGTTTACACTAGGTAAAGGATGGTGAAGCTGGTGATTACACTAGGTAAAGGATGGTGAAGCTGGTGATTACACTAGGTAAAGGATGGTGAAGCTGGTGATTACACTAGGTAAAGGATGGTGAAGCTGGTGTTTACACTAGGTAAAGGATGGTGAAGCTGGTGTTTACACTAGGTAAAGGATGGTGAAGCTGGGACTTACACTAGGTAAAGGATGGTGAAGCTGGTGTTTACACTAGGTAAAGGATGGTGAAGCTGGTGTTTACACTAGGTAAAGGATGGTGAAGCTGGTGTTTACAGTAGGTAAAGGATGGTGAAGCTGGGACTTACACTAGGTAAAGGATGGTGAAGCTGGTGTTTACACTAGGTAAATGATGGTGAAGCTGGTGTTTACTCTAGGTAATGGATGGTGAAGCTGGTGTTTACACTAGGTAAAGGATGGTGAAGCTGGTGTTTACACTAGGTAAATGATGTTGAAGCTGGTGTTTACTCTAGGTAATGGATGGTGAAGCTGGTGTTTACTCTAGGTAATGGATGGTGAAGCTGGTGTTTACACTAGGTAAAGGATAGTGAAGCTGGTATTAACACTAGGTAAAGGATGGTGAAATGGTTTTTACAGTAGGTAAAGGATGGTGAAGCTGGTATTTACAGTAGGTAAAGGATGGTGAAGCAGTTGCTCACACTTGTACCTTTTTCACACTGGCTGGGCTAAGGCAAGCTGGGCTGGGCAGCACAGTACACTTTGTCAGCCCTATAATGTGATTCAGTCATCTCAGATTGATGAAGTGAACCGCTTTCAGGAATAAAATGGAGCCATACATTTTAAACTAACTTTAACCTGCTCTTGCAGGACGACGGGATGCAGCGTGCACGTGTGGAGGAGGAGAAGAGGAAGGAGGTGACATCACACTTCCAGGTGAGCCACTAGCGTCATGTGAAGAAGGGATCAATATTAAGTATTTCCTTGATGCCTTGATTTATTGCCTTGATGGTCTGCAGTGAGTGTTGAGAAATCTAGGAAATATTTTGGACATTCACCCAAGGACTAAACACTTCTGTCTACTTCCTGGTTGGTGTCCATTGTGCTGTTGCATCCCAGGTGACTCTGTATGACATCGAGGCCCAGATGGAACAACATAATGAGAGGAATGCCAGTCTGAGGCAGGAGAACTCTGAGCTGGCAGAGAAGCTCAAGAAACTCATCCAACAGTACGAACTACGAGAGGAGGTGTGTGTTTGGAGTGGGGAGAACGGTGTGTGTGTGTGTCTTTGGAGTGGGGAGAACGGTGTGTGTGTTTGGAGTGGGGAGAACGGTGTGTGTGTGTGTCTTTGGAGTGGGGAGAACGGTGTGTGTGTTTGGAGTGGGGAGAACGGTGTGTGTGTGTTTGGAGTGGGGAGAACGGTGTGTGTGTGTGTCTTTGGAGTGGGGAGAACGGTGTGTGTGTTTGGAGTGGGGAGAACGGTGTGTGTGTGTCTTTGGAGTGGGGAGAACGGTGTGTGTTTGGAGTGGGGAGAACGGTGTGTGTGTGTTTGGAGTGGGGAGAACGGTGTGTGGGTGGTGTGTGTTTGGAGTGGGGAGAACGGTGTGGTGTGTGTGTGTTTGGAGTGGGGAGAACGGTGTGTGTGTGTGTGTTTGGAGTGGGGAGAACGGTGTGTGTGGTGTGTGTTTGGAGTGGGGGGAACGGTGTGTGTGTGTGTTTGGAGTGGGGGGAACAGTGTGTGTGGTGTGTTTGGAGTGGGGGGAACAGGTGTGTGTGTGTGTTTGGAGTGGGGGGAACGGTTGTGTGTGTGTGTCTTTGGAGTGGGGAGAACGGTGTGTGTGTGTGTGTTTGGAGTGGGGAGAACGGTGTGTGTGTGTGTGTTTGGAGTGGGGAGAACGGTGTGTGTGTGTGTGTTTGGAGTGGGGAGAACGGTGTGTGTGTTTGGAGTGGGGAGAACGGTGTGTGTGTTTGGAGTGGGGAGAACGGTGTGTGTGTGTGTGTTTGGAGTGGGGAGAACGGTGTGTGTGTGTTTGGAGTGGGGAGAACGGTGTGTGTGTGTTTGGAGTGGGGAGAACGGTGTGTGTGTGTGTGTGTGTGTTTGGAGTGGGGAGAACGGTGTGTGTGTGGAGTGGGGAGAACGGTGTGTGTGTTTGGAGTGGGGAGAACGGTGTGTGTGTGTGTGTGTGTGTGTGTGTGTGTGTGTGGAGTGGAGTGGGGAGAACGGTGTGTGTTCTGTGAGGAGCAGACGGGAGTGTTTACAGCTTGATTTGAGATAGAAACAAAAATAATATTTACAACATGGACATTTACTTGCATAACTAAAGCACAGAGAAGGTGTAACTGCAGTAAAGGTCTGCCAATGTTCTGGACATGTGAGCGTTAACCCCCTGTCGTCTCTCACAGCACATTGACAAGGTGTTCAAGCACAAGGACCTGCAGCAACAGTTGGTGGATGCTAAGCTACACCAGGCTCAGGGCCTGCTCATAGAGGCAGAGGACCGCCATCACAGAGAGAAGGACTTTGTGAGTAACAGTAAAATAGTTGTTTGGTAAAACACTAGTCAACATACTCAACTCAATGAGTATATGTATTTATTTATGTAACGTTTTGCAGGATGAAATCTCTTGATGCATCTCGTTTTTCAAGTGTCCAAATGAAGACAAACAATACTTAGTAATAATATGGCAACTAAAAACTACTGCCACAGCTAATAGAAACTGCTGCCACAGCTAATAAAAGATACTGCCACAGCTAATAAAAACTACTGCCACAGCTAATAAAAACTACTGCCACAGCTAATAAAAACTACTGCCACAGCTAATAAAAGATACTGCCACAGCTAATAAAAACTACTGCCACGGCTAATAAAAGATACTGCCACAGCTAATAAAAACTACTGCCACAGCTAATAAAAGATACTGCCACAGCTAATAAAAGATACTGCCACGGCTAATAAAAACTACTGCCACGGCTAATAAAAACTACTGCCACGGCTAATGAAAGATACTGCCACAGCTAATAAAAGATACTGCCACAGCTAATAAAAGATACTGCCACAGCTAATAAAAGATACTGCCACAGCTAATAAAAGATACTGCCACGGCTAATAAAAACTACTGCCACAGCTAATAAAAACTGCTGCCACAGCTAACATAACTAAGTACCTATCTTCACGTGATGATGTTTCTATTAGTTATATGTCAGCTATATGAGAATCAAACCCACAACTCTTAATTTGTCTCATGTTGTCTCGCCAGCTACTGAAGGAAGAGGCAGAGTCTCGGGATGGGTAAGGGTTGGGCTCATTTAGGGCTGACCTCATTTAGTCAACTGGTCGATTGTTTGGTCGATAGACTGTTGGTCGACCGAGATTTCTTTAGTCCAGCACTAGCATATATATATATATATATATATATATATATATATATATATATAGCTCTGGAAAAAAAATAAGAGACCACTGCAAATTTTTCTTAAATCAGCATCTCTACATGTATGACAGCCATTCCATTCCAGTGTCTGTTGAATTCCAACACAGGCACACCTCATTCTACTGAATTAGGTACGGATTAGGCGATTCACCTGAACCAAATCTTATTTAACGAGGAAAAGTATAAAAACCACTGCTGTGGTCATCACTATCCTCTTGCAATAGGACCAGCTGGATGGCAAAAACAGTGCTAATAGTACCTCAAAAGTAATATTAATTAAAAAAAATAACTATTGATCATGCCAAAAGAGTTGAAAAGGAAAGTTTTGAGTGAGGAAAAGAAGGGTTCAATTCTGGCTTTACTGGCAGAGGGATGCAGTGAGCGTCCGGTTGCTTCCATCCTTAAAATTTCAAAGAAGGCGCTTCATAAGAACAAGGTCAAGCAGAAGACATTTGGGACAACAAAGCTACAGACCGGCAGAGGGCAAAAACGACTCTACAGACCGGGATGACCGCCAACTCATTCGAATGTCACTCAACAACCATAGGATGACATCAAGTGACCTACAAAAAGAATGGCAAACGGCAGCTGGGGTGAAGTGCACGGTGAGGACGGCTCGAAACAGGCTCCTAGGGGCAGGGCTGAAGTCGTGCAAAGCTAGAAAAAAGCCCTTCATAAATGAGAAGCAAAGAAGAGCCAGGCTGAGGTTTGCAAAAGACCATAAGGATTGGACCGTAGAGGACTGGAGTAAGGTCATCTTCTCTGATGAGTCCAATTTTCAGCTTTGCCCAACACCTGGTCGTCTAATGGTTAGACGGAGACCTGGAGAGGCCTACAAGCCACAGTGTCTCACACCCACTGTGAAATTTGGTGGAGGATCAGTGATGATCTGGGGGTCCTTCAGCAAGGCTGGAATCGGGCAGATTTGTCTTTGTGAAGGACGTATGAATCAAGCCACGTACAAGGTTGTCCTGAAAGAAAACGTGCTTCCTTTTGTTCTGACATTGTTCCCCAACTCTGAGGATTGGTTTTTCCAGCAGGACAATGCGCCATGCCACACAGCCAGGTCAATCAAGTTGTGGATGGAGGACCACCAGATCAAGACCCTGTCATGGCCAGCCCAATCTCCAGACCTGAACCCCATTGAAAACTTCTGGAATGTGATCAAGAGGAAGATGGATGGTCACAAGCCATCAAACAAAGCCGAGCTGCTTGAACTTTTGCGCCAGGAGTGGCATAAAGTCACCCAACATCAATGTGAAAGACTGGTGGAGAGCATGCCAAGACACATGAAAGCTGTGATTGAAAATCAGGGTTATTCCACCAAATATTGATTTCTGAACTCTTCCTAAATTTAAAACATTATTGTGTTGTTTAAAAATGAACATGAACTTATTTTCTTTGCATTATTCGAGGTCTAACAACACTACATATTTTTTGTTATTTTGACCAGTTTTAATTTACTGCAAATAAATGCTCTAAATCTTACAAAATATATTTGGAATTTGGGGAAAATGTTGTCAGTAGTTTATAGAATAAAACAAAAATGTTAATTTCACCTCACGCAACCACAATAAACAATTTAGGATAAACAATTTCACAAATGTGTCTGTTTTTAATCTTTGCTATACTTTTTTTTTTCTGTTAGACCAGCATCTGGTATTATTTATTTGTTTTGTTTGTTTACAAATTGTCGGAAAATATATTTATAATAATAATAACCCTCCTTTTTCCTTGATCTCCTTATTATTATGATGATGATGATCATAAGTAATGTCATTATCATTAGTAGTCTTAGTATAGCAGCCTTGTATAACCACCATTGAGCTGTAGGCCTATGAGCTCATCCTGTTTAGTCTTAATACCGTAACTTACTTAGGCTTATAGTTCAATACTTTATATAGGCTACTGTATCAATCAATCCTTTATTTGTTCATGTCATCACACAGCATAGCATAGGAGTCGTACGTGATTTTGAAACGCGATCAAGCGTTTTTAGTTTTTAAAATAAATAAGGCAACCATTTGAATAATTAATGTGTGTAAACAATAAATAGGCCTAAACTGTTCCATTTCGGAAAATTGCATTCATGAATGAATGCGACTGTTTTTAGTCTTTGCGTTTAATAAAGGCTTTACCACAAACAAACAAAAACTTTGCAACAGACTCTCTGGTGCACTTACAAATGGCATATTATTATTATTATTATTATTACTTATCATTTATTTTTGTGTTTACATTGTTCCAAACGGTTAGAAAATGTATATTGTAATATAACAGCACCTGTTTGGCACAAACAATATGCACGCAGCGCTTCTCCTTACCTTATTTTTCTTGATATCCAGTATTTTCCACAACTAGTCAAATTTGTTCCACACATCGTGACTTTCACTTTCTGAGCAACCAGTAAACATTCCCCCCGTTTTCGAGTGTGTCACTTCCTCTGCATCCGTTTCCTAAACAAATGAGGGATTTCGGTAACACGGCTTCTCAGTCAGAAATGGCTGTAATTATGGTGCAGCTTCATCAACACAGGCAGCGCGATACACACTGCTGATGTTCATCAACACAGGCAGCGCGATACACACTGCTGATGTTCATCAACACAGGCAGCGCGATACACACTGCTGATGTTCATCAACACAGGCAGCGCGATACACACTGCTGATGTTCATCAACACAGGCAGCGCGATACACACTGCTGATGTTCATCAACACAGGCAGCGCGATAAACACTGCTGATGTTCATCAACACAGGCAGCGCGATAAACACTGCTGATGTTCATCAACACAGGCAGCGCGATAAACACTGCTGATGTTCATCAACACAGGCAGCGCGATACACACTGCTGATGTTCATCAACACAGGCAGCGCGATAAACACTGCTGATGTTCATCAACACAGGCAGCGCGATACACACTGCTGATGTTCATCAACACAGGCAGCGCGATAACCACTGCTGATGTTCATCAACACAGGCAGCGCGATAACCACTGCTGATGTTCATCAACACAGGCAGCGCGATAAACACTGCTGATGTTCATCAACACAGGCAGCGCGATACACACTGCTGATGTTCATCAACACAGGCAGCGCGATAAACACTGCTGATGTTCATCAACACAGGCAGCGCGATACAAACTGCTGATGTTCATCAACACAGGCAGCGCGATAAACACTGCTGATGTTCATCAACACAGGCAGCGCGATAAACACTGCTGATGTTCATCAACACAGGCAGCGCGATAAACACTGCTGATGTTCATCAACACAGGCAGCGCGATACACACTGCTGATGTTCATCAACACAGGCAGCGCGATAAACACTGCTGATGTTCATCAACACAGGCAGCGCGATACACACTGCTGATGTTCATCAACACAGGCAGCGCGATAAACACTGCTGATGTTCATCAACACAGGCAGCGCGATAAACACTGCTGATGTTCATCAACACAGGCAGCGCGATAAACACTGCTGATGTTCATCAACACAGGCAGCGCGATACACACTGCTGATGTTCATCAACACAGGCAGCGCGATAAACACTGCTGATGTTCATCAACACAGGCAGCGCGATACACACTGCTGATGTTCATCAACACAGGCAGCGCGATAAACACTGCTGATGTTCATCAACACAGGCAGCGCGATACACACTGCTGATGTTCATCAACACAGGCAGCGCGATACACACTGCTGATGTTCATCAACACAGGCAGCGCGATACACACTGCTGATGTTCATCAACACAGGCAGCGCGATAAACACTGCTGATGTTCATCAACACAGGCAGCGCGATACACACTGCTGATGTTCATCAACACAGGCAGCGCGATAAACACTGCTGATGTTCATCAACACAGGCAGCGCGATACACACTGCTGATGTTCATCAACACAGGCAGCGCGATAAACACTGCTGATGTTCTGGTCGCTGCAGCGAGGAGAAGAGGGAGGAGCTTAGTCACGCACGGCACAGCAAGTCTGAACCCGGCCTGGCACAATCAAATCAATTGCGGTCGGACTCCCTCTAGTCATTTTGTGTCTTTTTTTAAATTATTTAATCAACCAGTCTGCTTAAAGCATCAGAGCTCAGTGCATGTACAGTAGCAGTCCAAAGTTTGGACACACCTACTCATTCAAGGGTTTAATCTTTATTTTTTACATTGTAGAATAATAGTGAAGACATCACAACTGTGAAATAACACATATGGAATCATGTAGTAACCCAAAAAAGTGTTAAACAAATCAAAATATATTTGAGATTCTTCAAATAACCACTCTTTGCCTTGATGACAGCTTTGCACACTCTTGGCATTTGATTAAAACACATAGGATGTGTCTATGTATGGAAAAATACACGTAATTTTTTTTGGGACCAATCGTTTGGTCAAAGGAGGAAAAAAAGTCTGGACAGCCCTAGTCTCATGTTTCTCCAACTGCTGAAGGAAGAGGTGGAGTTTCAGAGGGTGGGTTCGGGTTGTTCTCATGTTAGTCTCATGTTGTCTCTCCAGCTGCTGAAGGAAGAGGTGGAGTTTCAGAGGGTGGGTTGGGGTTGTTCTCATGTCAGTCTCATGTTGTCTCTCCAGCTGCTGAAGGAAGAGGTGGAGTTTCAGAGGGTGGGTTGGGGTTGTTCTCATGTCAGTCTCATGTTGTCTCTCCAGCTGCTGAAGGAAGAGGTGGTTTCAGAGGGTGGGTTGGGGTTGTTCTCATGTCAGTCTCATGTTGTCTCTCCAGCTGCTGAAGGAAGAGGTGGAGTTTCAGAGGGTGGGTTGGGGTTGTTCTCATGTCAGTCTCATGTTGTCTCTCCAGCTGCTGAAGGAAGCATTAGAGTCTCAGAGGATGAGTGAGCTGATGAAGCAGCAAGAGGTGCATCTCAAACAACAGGTAACTATCTCTACAGAGTGGGTGCTCTATGATAAACCTCTGGACAGAGTGGGTGCTCTATGATAAACCTCTGGACAGAGTGGGTGCTCTATGATAAACCTCTGGACAGAGTGGGTGCTCTATGATAAACCTCTGGACAGAGTGGGTGCTCTATGATAAACCTCTGGACAGAGTGGGTGCTCTATGATAAACCTCTGGACAGAGTGGGTGCTCTATGATAAACCTCTGGACAGAGTGGGTGCTCTATGATAAACCTCTGGACAGAGTGGGTGCTCTATGATAAACCTCTGGACAGAGTGGGTGCTCTATGATAAACCTCAGGACAGAGTGGGTGCTCTATGATAAACCTCTGGACAGAGTGGGTGCTCTATGATCGACATCTAGCTATATGATAAACATCCTCACTGTTTCTGCTGAGCTGCAAAAGGTAATATGTGAATTTAATCTCCGCCCTGTTCTGCCTGTCTCCCCACCCAGCTGTCCTTATACACAGAGAAGTTTGAGGAGTTCCAGAGCACTCTTTCAAAGAGCAATGAGGTGTTCACCACCTTCAAACAGGAGATGGAGAAGGTGAGCCTGTGTGTGTGTGTGTTAAGATGTAGGCTGACCCATGTTTGAGTCCGAAGACCTGCCAACCGTCACACAATTTGAGGTGACAGTACGCTGGTATGAAAAACTATCCAAAAAATAGGCTTCTAGTTTGACACATTGTGTTTTTTTTTGACTCAACCGTCTGAAGTTGGAGCTGAGCCAATCAGAGGACTTGGGCGAGGATAAAAAAATATCTAGCTCTCCTCTCCAGCCAGCCTGCCGTAGTCATAGCCGTAGCCGTAGTCGTAGCCGTAGCCGTAGTCGTAGCCGTAGTCGTAGCCGTAGTTGTAGCAGTAGTCGTAGCCGTAGTCGTAGCCGTAGTTGTAGCCGTAGTTGTAGCCGTAGTCGTAGTTGTAGCCGTAGTCGTAGCCGTAGCCGTAGCCGTAGTTGTAGCCGTAGTTGTAGCCGTAGTCGTAGCCGTAGTTGTAGCCGTAGTCGTAGCCGTAGCCGTAGCCGTAGTTGTAGCCGTAGCCGTAGTTGTAGCCGTAGTCGTAGTCGTAGCCGTAGTTGTAGCCGTAGTTGTAGCCGTAGCCGTAGCCGTAGTTGTAGCCGTAGTTGTAGCGTAGTTGTAGCCGTAGCCGTAGTTGTAGCCGTAGTTGTAGCCGTAGCCGTAGTTGTAGCCGTAGTTGTAGCCGTAGTTGTAGCCGTAGCCGTAGTTGTAGCCGTAGCCGTAGTTGTAGCCGTAGTCGTAGCCGTAGTTGTAGCCGTAGCCGTAGTTGTAGCCGTAGTTGTAGCCGTAGCCGTAGTTGTAGCCGTAGCCGTAGTTGTAGCCGTAGCCGTAGTTGTAGCCGTAGCTGTAGCCGTAGTTGTAGCCGTAGTTGTAGCCGTAGCCGTAGTTGTAGCCGTAGCCGTAGTTGTAGCCGTAGTTGTAGCCGTAGCCGTAGTTGTAGCCGTAGCCGTAGTCGTAGCCGTAGTTGTAGCCGTAGTTGTAGCCGTAGCCGTAGTTGTAGCCGTAGTTGTAGCCGTAGCCGTAGTTGTAGCGTAGCCGTAGTTGTAGCCGTAGTTGTAGCCGTAGTTGTAGCCGTAGCCGTAGTTGTAGCGTAGCCGTAGTTGTAGCCGTAGCCGTAGTTGTAGCCGTAGCCGTAGTCGTAGCCGTAGCGTAGCCGTAGTACTGTTTTTCTCCCTAGAGCTGGATGGCAACTCTCCACTGTCTGTTGATCCCTCTGATGTGTGAGGGGGGAAAAGGGGTAGGGAAAATGGAGAACAAACTGTTTGTCAAATACATTTTCCACTATGTGTTAGTTAAGCACATAACACAGGGGTTTGCCAAACTCTGTCCTGGGGCCCCTCCTGGGTGCACATTTTAGTTTTTTTGCCCTAGCACTACACCGCTGATTTGAAATAATCAACTAATCATCAAGCTTTGATTATTTGAATCAGCTGTGTAGTGCTAGGACAAAAACCAAAACGTGCACCCCTTGGGGTTCCGGGGGACCGAGTTTGGTAAACACTGACATAACCACTATTATTTCATAGTTAGCTCCTTAGCTAAGGCGTCAAAATACGACAGAGGTAGTTAGCTACAGCCTACAGTCTACTAAGCGAGAACACTTTTCTTGCCCGCACATGCTTTGAGCTCCGCAAAGACGGTGGTGGGCGTGAGTGCGTTGCCGAGCGAAGGAAACGTGCGGCGTTTGCGGTACTTGGGTGTGCGGCGCTGCGTGGATGGAAACCGACGTGGCAGAGAGAGCTGTTCCGCTAATACAGACCTTCACAGAAAGTGATGGGACACTGTTAAAAGATGAGCAGGCCTGTGTTTTTTTTTTTTTTATGAATCCGTTGTGGATCTGTCCTCTTCATATTGCTGGAGGTCAACAGTAGGCTGCTGATGATGTCATAATAGTCAGTTCACCGATGACGACAAGGCACGTAGAATGAATGGTAGCCTAGTAGTCTGACCTAACCTGATGGATGGAGATCTGAAACAAGCTCATATAGGTTTAGTTCAGTTGTTTCATTTTCCAAATAGCCTACAAACAGGAAGCTACACTACTACATTATTACATCCAGTAATTGAATTATTCAGAATTTTATCCCCCAAACAAAATGAAGAGGCCAGTTTAGTGAAAATCTAGATTATCCACATAATGACACCTTTTGGGCTACCGAGTGGCGCAGCGGTCTAAGGCACCGCATCTCAGTGCTTGAGGCGTCACTACAGACCCCCTGGTTCGACTCCAGGCTGTATCACAACCGGCTGTGATTGGGAGTCCCATAGGGCGGCACACACACTTGGCCCAGCGTCATCCGGGTTTGGCCGGTGTAGGCCGTCATTGTAAATAAGAATTTGTTCTTAACTGACTTGCCTGGTTAAATAAAGGTTTAAATAAATAAATAAAACAATTGCAGGGAAATATCTAAAATGTTCCACTTCATATTCATCATCTCCAGCACCACCCCAACATCCACATACTGAATGGGATAACGGCGCTTTTCTATGTTTTGTAGTAAAAAAAGATAGAGGAAGATGTGTTTCCGATGACATCATCGACCAGTTAGTAGGAAGTAAGGAGGCAATGCCGCCTCATAATTGGTTAAAATCACACGATGCACACCGATGATGTCATTGGGAAGACTTGTCTTCCTCAATCTTTTTTTACTGCAAAACATAGAAAAGCGCCGTTATCCCATTCAGTATGTGGATGTTGGGGTGGTGCTGGAGATGATGAATATGAAGTGGAACATTGTGAAATTTCCCTTTTTAATTAGAATAATCATTAACCCTAAATTTTACCTAGAATAATCTGGACGTTTTATTGAGACCACCTCAATTTCATTTATGATCAAACATAAGACTTCTGTGTTGGCTACATTGTTTGATATAATTTAAGACTCTAGGTTTAAATATATATATCCAATTGTTCCAACTTCCTTAGGGGGAAGTTGACTGACCCCCTCCGGACCTCCCCCCTACCCAACCTTAGGCCCCCTCCGGACCTCCCCCCTACCCAACCTTAGGCCCCCTCCGGACCTCCCCCCTACCCAACCTTAGGCCCCCTCCGGACCTCCCCCCTACCCAACCTTAGGCCCCCTCCGGACCTCCCCCCTACCCAACCTTAGGCCTACACAGAGACTTCATGCCCATAGGGGGCAAGTGGCCAGTCAGATTTGTACTGGTAAAATACCAGTTAGCAATTTTATGAAGTTGGCTTTAGCTTTCCCAGATAGTTATAAGGTTGGGAACCTATCTACCAAGAAGCCATTTCAAGCTATCAATCAAGTTAAGAGTAGCTAGCTTGTCTATAAAATAAGGAAACCGTAACATAAAGGCTCTTAATAGGGCGTTGGGGCCATCACGAGCCAGAACGTCTTCACTGCACCTTGGCGTAGATTCCACAAGAGTCTGGAACTCTAATGGAGGGATGCGACACCATTCTTCCGCAATAAATTCCATCATTTCGTGTTTTTGTTGGTTGATGGTGGTGGAGAACGCTGTCTCAGGCGCCGTTCCAGAATCTCCAACGAGTGTTTTTTAATTGGGTTGAGATCTAGTGACTGAGACGGCCATGGCATCGTTTTCATGCTCATCAAACCATTCAGTGACCCCTCATTTATTCAAGTGTTTTCATTATTTTGGCAGTTACCTTTATCTTAGCTGGCATGCCTGGTTGACTTTAGAAAAGATAGCAATAACTAAATGTCTGAATTAGACTCGCATTCCTTTGTCTTTTACCCAGATTTTAGCAGAGAAGCATAATTTGTTTCTTTGAAAATAAAAACGACACCAGTCAGGAGGATACAGACAGCGCAAGACATATGCTTAGATATGAAAAATATCTTATATATTTTTTTTTAAATATAGAATTAAGCATACTGATTATGGCTCTAGATTGCAGGAAAAAGCTTTTTCAGATGTATGAAAAATTCAAAATTCTCCAAATTACGGAGCCAGCCATCCTCACGTACAGTGGGGAAAAAAGTATTTAGTCAGCCACCAATTGTGCAAGTTCTCCCACTTAAAAAGATGAGAGAGGCCTGTAATTTTCATCATAGGTACACGTCAACTATGACAGACAAATTGATAAAACAAAATCCAGAAAATCACATTGTAGGATTTTTTATGAATTTATTTGCAAATTATGGTGGAAAAAAGTATTTGGTCACCTACAAACAAGCAAGATTTCTGGCTCTCACAGACCTGTAACTTCTTCTTTAAGAGGCTGCTCTGTCCTCCACTCGTTACCTGTATTAATGGCACCTGTTTGAACTTGTTATCAGTATAAAAGACACCTGTCCACAACCTCAAACAGTCACACTCCAAACTCCACTATGGCCAAGACCAAAGAGCTGTCAAAGGACACCAGAAACAAAATTGTAGACCTGCACCAGGCTGGGAAGACTGAATCTGCAATAGGTAAGCAGCTTGGTTTGAAGAAATCAACTGTGGGAGCAATTATTAGGAAATGGAAGACATACAAGACCACTGATAATCTCCCTCGATCTGGGGCTCCACGCAAGATCTCACCCCGTGGGGTCAAAATGATCACAAGAACGGTGAGCAAAAATCCCAGAACCACACGGGGGTGCCTAGTGAATGACCTGCAGAGAGCTGGGACCAAAGTAACAAAGCCTACCATCAGTAACACACTACGCCGCCAGGGACTCAAATCCTGCAGTGCCAGACGTGTCCCCCTGCTTAAGCCAGTACATGTCCAGGCCCGTCTGAAGTTTGCTAGAGTGCATTTGGATGATCCAGAAGAGGATTGGGAGAATGTCATATGGTCAGATTAAACCAAAATAGACGTTTTTGGTAAAAACTCAACTCGTCGTGTTTAGAGGACAAAGAATGCTGAGTTGCATCCAAAGAACACCATACCTACTGTGAAGCATGGGGGTGGAAACATCATGCTTTGGGGCTGTTTTTCTGCAAAGGGACCAGGACGACTGATCCGTGTAAAGGAAAGAATGAATGGGGCCATGTATCGTGAGATTTTGAGTGAAAACCTCCTTCCATCAGCAAGGGCATTGAAGATGAAACGTGGCTGGGTCTTTCAGCATGACAATGATCCCAAACACACCGCCCGGGCAACGAAGGAGTGGCTTCGTAAGAAGCATTTCAAGGTCCTGGAGTGGCCTAGCCAGTCTCCAGATCTCAACCCCATAGAAAATCTTTGGAGGGAGTTGAAAGTCTGTGTTGCCCAGCGACAGCCCCAAAACATCACTGCTCTAGAGGAGATCTGCATGGAGGAATGGGCCAAAATACCAGCAACAGTGTGTGAAAACCTTGTGAAGACTTACAGAAAACGTTTGACCTGTGTCATTGCCAACAAAGGGTATATAACAAAGTATTGACGAACTTTTGTTATTGACCAAATACTTATTTTCAAACATAATTTGCAAATAAATTCATTAAAAATCCTACAATGTGATTTTCTGGATTTTTTCCCCTAATTTTGTCTGTCATAGTTGACGTGTACCTATGATGAAAATTACAGGCCTCTCTCATCTTTTTAAGTGGGAGAACTTGCACAATTGGTGGCTGACTAAATACTTTTTTTCCCCACTGTACTTTGTGCCCTGATTGTATATTTAAGCGTATTTCTAGTTAGCTACAGAAGATCAGTACCAGGTACCCATAAGTCTGAGGCAGACTATGTTGTGGAAAATAATCACTATACTTTATTACATATCAAAATACTTCCAGAGTTTTTGTAGAATCAAGAATGACTTTATTACAATTTCAACAAAGTAGTAGCACACTTTTTCTTTCTCCCTCCCCCAGTTATATATCCCATCCATATCTCCTCTAGTTCAAAATCCCTCCCTCTTCAGTTTCCCGCTTTTTATCGCTCCGCCTACTTCCCTTGTCTATGATGGCGGCTAAATTCGACTTTCATTTCAGTTGAGAATCAATAGTAATACAATCAATCAATCCTTTATCTTGCAAAAACACTCATGTTTAGTTTAAACTCTGTTCAACTCCGGCTCTCCCGGGCTTGACCTGAAGACCGATCGTTGGACATGACAGGTCCCTAAATCCTTGAAACATACACAAACCCCCACACATACAGTGAAATTATCCAATTAAGTTCCTGGCCCAATAACAAAGAACTCTAACTCTATGTTCGTGATTAACCCAGTTTTATCTCATAGTCCACTAAAAAAATCTCCATCTTCTGCCAACATCATTATTAGGCTAAAAAATGTGCATGCCAATGATCTGTGCCGTTGTGGAGGCTGGGGGGGTGCCCGCTGCCGTGCTGAAGCGGTACTCATAAAAATGATTCAAAGTTGGCAGGTCTGTCTCCGAGTGTCGTCCGTGGTCATGTGATGTGACCTGTGTGTGTCCTTAGATGACGAAGAAGATCAAGAAGCTGGAGAAGGAGACGACCATGTATCGCTCCAGGTGGGAGAGTAGCAACAAAGCCCTGCTGGTCATGGCTGAGGAGGTAGGTCAATTCAGACCGAACTCACTGAATGGGGCTTTTTATATTGGTGTGAGTGTACATTTTTTGTTGTTGTTGTGAAAAGTGCAAGGTGTCTGTGACTGACTGTGTGTGTGTGTGCACATCTGTATAAATCTTTGTGTGTTCCCTAGAAAACGCTGCAGGACCGTGAGTTTGACGGCCTCCAGGGGAAGGTAGGGAGGCTGGAGAAGCTTTGCCGGGCACTGCAGAACGAACGCAATGAGCTCAGCAAGAAGGTCCAGGGCCTGAGCGCCGGCCCCGAGGACGACAGCCCAGGAGATGAATCCACCTCCCTCCCCCCCATAGACTCCCAGGAGCCCAGCCCAGACCCCGACACCACCACCACCCCTAGCTCCCCCACACCCTGCTGCCACTGCGGCCCAGAGTTGGACACTGAGAACCAGGCCTGTGCAGCCCCCCTCACTGCCCAGGAATGAGACCTCTCGCCTGGGCAACACTGCTCACAGTCTCTCTCCTCTTCACCAACCAACTACCAGCCTGCAAGCCAAGCCACTACTAACGTAGGAGTTAAGAGTGTGGGTCTGTGTCATTCCCTCCGGAATAAGATGAAGTTGTCCCCTAACCACAGATCTAGGATCAGTTTCCCTAACTAAAACCAATAGGGCGGTGCAAGAGAACCTGATCCTGGATCTGCAGTCAAGTAGCGGCTTCTACTTACTCTGGTTCCTCCTGGAGAGTTGGTGGTGGTCAGTCAGGGAACCTTCTGGAAGGTTGTAATCCTGCCTTTTGGTCTTTTCTTCTTTTCCGTTCCTTTTGAGAACTCCAGTACACAATGCGTCCTAAATGGCTCCCTATTCTCCAAATAGTGCGCTATGTTTGACCAGAGCCCTATTTTGTAGGTGTGTGCTTGTCTCCATTGGTCTCTTTCTTTTGTGTGTGTGTGTGTGTGTGTGTGTGTGTGTGTGAGTCATATAGAGATGCAGATGTAGGACCACAGTTGGACTTCAACCCAGAGCATGTAGGGATCACCTTTCAGTTCAGAGAGCGGTGTGTGTGTGTGTGTATATCTCTAGGTTGGGGATATCTTGAGAAGAGTCACTTTCTTTGATTAATTCCGTTATAGATGTCCTTGTTTATCCTAGAACCAAAGGTCCAGAGAGTTAATGGATTATGTAGATATTCTTTATGAATCATGCGGTGGATCCACACAAATTACTCTTAAACCAGGTGTGTGTGTATTCACTAGGAACCAACGGGAAGCAAACAGAGCAAAACAGGGAACTTGTCCAATAAGAAACGTGTTTTCCGTTGCAATATGTTTTGCTACGGTGTGCACTAATGAGTACACCCCAAGAAAAGAGGAAATAGCCTTGTGGTTATGGTTTGTTTCTTTATATCATATGTTGTTGCACAGACAGCACAGCAGAGTTTGTAGACTGTATTTGTTTGATATTATCTGAGTTATTTTAACACTTGTGTATCTAACGGAGAAACACCACTATATATATATATATATATATATATATATATATATATATATATATTATATGTATATATACCTCCTGGCTGCGTTCGTTTACTAATTTGACGTTCGTCATCATTCCCACAATATGCATGTATCCATTCCACACACTCATATTCCTTGTTTTCAATTTCATTCTACAACATTTGATCCAATGGAAATGTTTTACTATTTTTTTCATGCTGGCTTTCCTTGTGATCATGATAATTAATGTTTAAGATGTAAGATTCCATCAACACTGAAACAGATATTGAAATGTGCTGACCAAGGTGGGTGAGAATATGTATCTTAACAAGATTGTTGCATCCCAACTCGGATAGTTTTGTTTCGTTAATCAGGTGCAGTAATAAAATGTTTAAACTGATATTTCTTTGCAACCCCAGCCTCGCTATTTAGTTCTGTGGCAGTTTGATTTGACAAGCACTTAACTGAGAATGTATTATCCCCTCCCTTCCTCGACACACACTGTCCTGGGGTGTATTCACTAGGAACCAAACGTTAGGAAACAGGATGTAACTGGGAGGGACCTAACTGAATTTATCCAATAGAAACTTGTCTTCCGTTGGTTTGAGAAGGCGTACACCAATGAATACACCCCAGACGTAAAAACTCAGTTGACCCTAACCACAGATCTAGGATCAGATTATTCTACCTTATTCCTAATCTTGACCATTGGGGAGGTGAAACAACTGACCCTGTATCAGTGATTAGTGGCAATGTCTACCTTCTGTGTAAACCGTGTATTTTCTTTGTACCATGTGGTGCCAGTCGGCGTGGGTTCCCCATACTGTTAAAAAAAATAAATAAAAAATAAACGGAAAGTTGGAACAAGTTTCTTTTCACCATCAGAGTTATGTCAGAGGAAGAATAGATACGATTATTTCAATGAAAGTAACTGCATAAAATCAACAAACAAACAAAATTCTGTAGTGTGTCCATGTTATCACTTGCTTTGTCTTCCATGTTTCAGATTGCAGCATCGGTCAGGGTCCGGGGGCTGCAGTTTGAAGAATGCAATGCTTTATCTTATTTCATTCATTACTACAGTTTATCATAATCACACAGTTTATCGTAATCACAAGACAAACCTTATTTCCTTTGTCTCCTAAGACTGACTCACTGTCTCTTGATCCTCGCTGGTTTTAGAGATTCAGCCGTGTTGATCAAGAACCAAATATTGTGTTTCTCTTGTTTTTGTCCCCCGTTTGTTTTCCTGTACTTTTGTCTTACCCTGTGTACTTAATTTCTTGCTCATTAAAATATGTACCTGTTATGTGATTTGGTAATGGGTCTTTATTTGTGGCCCCCTATCTAAAGCTGCTGTTTAGCTCTCAGGGATTTTGATTTAGGAGTGAAAAGGATGTAAAATATTTACTGCAATTACTATGAGACATTTCACCATTTGACTTTGAAGAACTTTACACTTCACCTGGCTATCACTGTACAACTTTTCCAAAGACCTGTCCTGTGAATAGTTCTCCTAGTGACCAGCTGAACTCGACAGCAAGAGGCGCACTTTTGTTCAGAGCAAAATGCGCCTTTAGAACGTTTATGAGGTCACTGGTTAACACCGGAAGTACTATCATTCCTTTTCCGCTTTCGCCCCCTGTTCCGAGTAACACGAGTCCTCGTCATTTCTCGTTTTTTGAGAGAAATAACGATTACAACGGATAAAGCGACTAGAGTAAAGCTTCGGTGATGGTGAGTATATCATATTTAAACTTTCAATTTCAATAGCCACCCATCAAAGTGCTAAACTTAGCAAGGATTGTCTGTACAATGTCAGTGGTTAATGCTAAACAGCTAGCCACCGAGATCACGTTAACTAGTTAGCATAAAAATGTATGACGCATTGATGTCTGTAGAATCATGTGTAAGATGTCTCCCTGGCAAGCGCTTAAATAAGTACTGTGACTATTCTTCGTTGACTATTCGTAACAATGATGACACTAGATACCCACAATGTTGTTTATTGTTCTGCACAATTCTAACTAAAGTGGTCCCATATGTTTGATAATCATGTGCACTGAACAAAAATATAAACGCAACAATGTTCAAAGATTTTACAGAGTTACAGTTAATATAAGGAAATCAGTCAATTGAAATAAATTCATTAAGCCCCAATCTATGGAGTTCACATGACTGGGCAGGGGCGCAGCCATGGGTGGGCCTTGGAGGGCACAGGCCCACCCACTGGGGAGCCAGGCCCAGCCAATTAGAATGCGTTTTCCCCCACAAAGGGCTTTATTACAGACAGAAATACTCCTCAGCACATGGGACCAACACTTAACATGTTGCGTTTATATTTTTGTTCAGTGTAGTTAGCCAATGAGCCAGTGACTCCCATATGATTATGTTGTAGAAAATGGTCTTTGTCCGCAGTCAAAGTATTTCATAGTTTTTGTAGAATTAAGTGAGACTTTATTACGCAAGCAATAGAGCCGAGGTGGTCTGCAGAGCATCTAACTTTCCACCTCTCAGTTCTGTTTATGTAGTCATTTTACATACATTTTAGCTTAATCCCTGCATCTTCGGTTCCTCCACCACTGTCTCCAGTTTTCACCACTTGACCGCTCTGCCCACTTCCTTAATGGTGGTATCTGCGTCGTCCAGGGTAGGGGAGGGAATGGCCGGCAGGGATGTAGCTCAGTTGATAGAGCATGGCGTTTGCAACACCAGGGTTGTGTGTTCGATTCCCATGGGGGGCCAGTATATATATATAAAAATAAAAAAAATCACTAACTGTAAGTCGCTCTGGATAAGAGCGTCTGCTAAATGACTAAAATGTAATGTAAAATGTATTCAGGCTAAGCAGGCGGCAAAGAATTGGCTGGGTGTTAACCATTGTTCTTGTGTCCTGCAGAAACCCATCCTGCTACAGGGCCATGAGAGGTCTATCACACAGATCAAATATAACCGAGAGGGAGACCTGATCTTCTCTGTGGCCAAAGACACGGTGAGAAATGATACACGGAAGAATGCCGTGTATATAGAAACAAGACTTGTGACTCATAGGGCCGGGACCATACGAATATCGCGATACTCATAAGTGTCGTGGCAAGGAAACAAAGCGGATTTAACTTCTTTAGGAAAACAGTCCTAATGTTGGAAACAAACATGTTGTCATCCAGAGTCACATGTATTTATTTTCCAAGCTGTAGCGGACAATATTTTACATACAGCTGTTTTTTTTTTTTTTTTAAAGGACCAAAGAGTTTGCTCTGCTTCGTGTTTTTCATTTTTGCCGTGAGATACTAGTATCGTCCCAGCCTTAGTAACTCACCTCCATTCATTTCCATTCCTAATTCACTCCGGTTGTCAGAATGAGGGATTACATCTGACAACTGAATGTAAGTATGTGTCATTTGTTTGTTCAAAGGTAGCGAACGTGTGGTACTCTGTGAACGGGGAGAGGCTCGGCACTTACAATGGACACACTGGAGCTCTGTGGTGTGTTGACTGTGACTGTATCCTTTACATTAGGCATCTAACAGGGCAATGGACCATTCTAGAATTTGTGTATGTTACATGTACAGTGCATTCGGAAAGTATTCAGACCCCTACACTTTTTCCACATAAAATGGATTAAATTGTTTTTTTTTTACCCCCCTCATCAATCTACACACAATACCCCATAATGACAAAGCAAATGTATTAAAAATACAAAACTGAAATATCACGTTTACATAAGTATTCAGACCCTTTACTCAATACTTTGTTAAAGCACCTTTGGCAGCGATTACAGCCTCAAGTCTTCTTGGGTATGATTCTACAAGCTTGGCACACCTGTATTTGGGGAGATTCTCCCATTCTTCTCTGCAGATCATCTCTGTCAGGTTGGATGGGGAGCGTCGCTGCACAGCTATTTTCAGGTCTCTCCAGAGATGTTCGATCGGGTTCAAGTCCGAGCTTTGGCTGGGCCACTCAAGGACATTCAGTGACGTGTCCTGAAGCCACCCCTGCATTGTCTTGGCTGTGTGCTTAGGGTTGTTGTCCTGTTGGAAGGTGAACCTTCGCCCCAGTCTGAGGGCTCTGGAGCAGATTTTCATCAAGGATCTCTCTGTACTTTGCTCTGTTCATCTTTCCCACGATCCTGACTAGTCTCCCAGTTCCTGCTGCTGACAAACATCCCCACAGCATGATGCTGCCACCACCACCATGCTTCACCGTAGGGATGGTATTGGCCAGGTGATGAGCGGTGCCAGGTTTCCTCCAGATGTGACACTTGGCATTCAGCCCAAAGAGTTCAATCTTGGGTTCATCAGACCAGAGAATCTTGTTTCTCATGGTCTGAGAGTCCTTTAGGTGCCTTTTGGTAAACTCCAAGCGGGCTGTCATGTGCCTTTTACTGAGGAGTGGCTTCCATCTGGCCACTCTACCATAAAGGCCTGATTGGTGGAGTGCTGCAGAGAAGGTTGTCCTTCTGGAAGGTTCTCCCATCTCAACAGAGGAACTCTGGAGCTCTGTCAGAGTGATCATTGGGTTCTTGGACACCTCCCTGACCAAGGCCCTTCTCCCCCGATTGCTCAGTTTGGCCGGGCGGCCAGCTCTAGGAAGAGTCTTGGTGGTTCCAAACTTCTTCCATTTAAGAATGATGGAGGCCACTGTGTTCTTGGGGACCTTCAATGCTGCAGTATTTTTTAGGTACCGTTCCCCAGATCTGTGCCTCGACACAATCCTGTCTCGGAGCTCTACGGACAATTCCTTCGACCTCATGTCTTGGTTTTTGCTCTGACATGCACTGTCAACTGTGGGACCTTATATAGACAGGTGTGTGCCTTTCCAAAACATGTCTAATCAATTGAATTTACCACAAGTGGACTCCAATCAAGTTGTAGAAATATCTCAAGGTTGATCAATGGAAACAGGATGCACCTGAGCTCAATGTCGAGTCTGATAGCAAAGGGTTTGAATACTTATGTAAATCAGGTATTTCAGTTTTTATTTGCTGGGGAAAAAATCTGAGAACCTATTTTCGCTTTGTCATTATGGGGTATTTTGTGTAGATTGATGAGGGGGGGGGGGGGTAATTTTAATCCATTTTAGAATAAGGCTGTAATGTAACAAAATGTGGAAAAAGTGAAGGGGTCTGAATGTGATGTTTCTATAGGTGTCATTGAGTGTTGGGGATACAGGGGGTAGGTATTCTGGGGTTAGGATCCTGTGTTTGGGGTTAAAGGGGGTAGGTATTCTGGGGTTAGGATCCTGTGTTGGGGTTAAAGGGGGTAGGTATTCTGGGGTTAGGATCCTGTGTTGGGGTTAAAGGGGGTAGGTAATCTGGGGTTAGGATCCTGTGTTGGGGTTAAAGGGGGTAGGTAATCTGGGGTTAGGATCCTGTGTTGGTTACAGGGGGTAGGTATTCTGGGGTTAGGATCCTGTGTTGGTTACAGGGGGTAGGTAATCTGGGGTTAGGATCCTGTGTTGGTTACAGGGGGTAGGTAATCTAGGGTTAGGATCCTGCTTGCAACCCTAAGGTTATGGGCAACACGAGTTTACAGGGAGTAGGTAATAGGGTTGTTGTGAGTTCACAGGGAGTAAAGGGGAGTGTAGGCCGTCATTGTAAATAAGAATTTGTTCTTAACTGACTTGCCTAGTTAATAAAGGGGGTAGGGAATAGGGTTGTCCTTAACCATGCTCTCAGGGGACACCAAGAATGTGTTGACAGGATCCGCAGACAACAGCTGTAGACTATGGGACTGTGAGACGGGTACGTGTGTGTGTCAGTGTGTTTGTGTGAGTGTGTCAGTGTGTGTGTGTCAGTGTGAGTGTGTCAGTGTGTGTGTGTCAGTGTGCGTGTGTCAGTGTGAGTGTGTAGGAAAACAAGATGGAGAAGCTAGTTGTCTGTGTGTGTGTGTTTTTATACATATAGGTGTGTTAGTGCATGAATGTGTGGGACTGAGGATTTGTGAACCACTTCCTGGCATGGAACTGTGTGGTATAACGCTTCCTCTCTCTCCCAGGTAAACAGCTAGCCATGTTGAACACCAGTTCAGCTGTGAGGACCTGTGGCTTTGACTTCAGTGGCAACATCATCATGTTCTCTACAGACAAGCAGATGGGCTACCAGTGTTTCCTCAACTACTTCGACCTCCGCGACCCCCAGCAGATCGGTAAGTAGTGTACAAAACATCCCTTAGACAGCCTCTCTCACTCATGGTGCTGTTCCTGTATCTAACCATAACCGTGATCCTCATCTGTTGACCTTTTGACCTTTGGCTGCGTCCCAAATGGCACCCTATTCCCTACAATAGTGCACTACTTTAGATCAGGGCCCATAGGACTGTGGTTAAAAGTAGTGCACTATATAAAGAGCCTTCAAACTCAACTCTGGACATCGACGCCAGTTCCGCTTCATTTTTTTCGTCGTTCCCCTCTAATCAGAGACTGATTTTACACCTGTGACACCAGGTGGTGTAATTAATTAAACAGGTAGAACAGAAAAGCAGCAGGCTCCGGAGCTCGTAGGGTCAGAGTTGAACAGAAAAGCAGCAGGCTCCGGACCTCGTAGGGTCAGAGTTGAACAGAAAAGCAGCAGGCTCCGGACCTCGTAGGGTCAGAGTTGAACAGAAAAGCAGCAGGCTCCGGACCTCGTAGGGTCAGAGTTGAACAGAAAAGCAGCAGGCTCCGGACCTCGTAAGGTCAGAGTTGAACAGAAAAGCAGCAGGCTCCGGACCTCGTAGGGTCAGAGTTGAACAGAAAAGCAGCAGCTCCCGACCTCGTAGGGTCAGAGTTGAACAGAAAAGCAGCAGGCTCCGGACCTCGTAGGTCAGAGTTTGAAGCAGAAAAGCAGCAGGTCCGGACCTCGTAGGGTCAAGTTGAACAGAAAATCAGCAGTCCGACCTCGTGTCATTGACAGAAACAGCAGCTCGGACCTCTAGTCGAGTTGAACGGCACAGGCTCGACTCGTGGTCAGTTGAACAGAAAAGCAGCAGGCTCCGACTCGTAGGGTCAAGTTGAACGAAAACACAGCTCCGGACCTCGAGGGTCAGAGTTGAACATCCGCCCTAGACCTTACCTGTGGTTAACAACGAAGACAGGATGACCTCACTCGTATGGGCTTTTGGAGCGTCAAATTGCAGCCATTCCTAATCGATGTATATTTAACAGCACAGCTTGTCTAGGGTGTTTCTCCCCCCTACGGTCTTCCCTATCTTTCTCCGCCCCTGAGACGACCGTCTTTCTTCTGTACGTCAGAAACGCACTCTCGTGTCCTCTACGGTTTCAACACAGCTCGACCTCTAGTCTTGTACAACACGCTCGCTGTCTCTTCCCACACCTACACGCAGCTCTCGACCCAGGCTCCGTTCTTACCCACCTCTCACCTCGTAGTCAGTTGCAACCACTACCAGCCTCTCTCACCTAGTCCGATTTACTACTAAGCCCAGCTCCGACCTCAGCGTCGGTCCTACAACGCACCCGGACGCTCTGTCTAAGTTGACTATCCTCCCCACCTACCGCTTTCTCTCCCTAGCGTTCATCTCCCCGACCTTTCTACTAAACCGCTCTCTGACCTCTAGCCCCCTAGGCTTTCCTCCTAAGCCAGCATCTTCTCTGGTACCTCGTGGTCGATCTCCCCACACCGCCTCTCCCTCTCGTTGACCAGCCCCCTCTCTTCATCCACTAACGCTGCTTCTCTCCCCTCCATAACCGCAGTCTTCCTGCCCTACCGTCTTCTCTCCCTCCACACCGCTCTTCTCTGCTTCCCCTACACCTCTCTTCCCCCTACCGTCTTCTCTCCCTACCGACCTCTTCTCTCCCTACGCCTCCCTACCTCTTCTCTCCCCCATCCACCGCTCTTCTCTCCCCCTACCGTCTTTCTCTCCTCCCCCTACCGCTCTTCTCTCCCCCTACTCCTCTACCTCTCTCTTCTCTCTCCCACCCCTCTTCTCCTCCCCTCTCACCCCCCTCGCTCTTCTCTCCCTCCCTACCAGCCTCTTCTCTCCCCTCCGCTCTTCTCTCCCCTACCGCTCTTCTCTCCCTACCTCGCTCTTCTCTCCCTCTTTCTCTCCCCCTACCGTCTCTTCTCTCCCTACCCCCTACCGCTCTTCTCCCCCTACCGCTCTACTCTCCCCTACCGCTCTTCTCTCCCCCCTACCCGCTCTCTCTCCTCCGCTCTCTCTCCCCTACCGCTCTTCTCCTCTCCCCCTACCGCTCTTCTCTCCCTCCCCCCTTCACCCTACCTCTTCTCCCTCCCTACCGTCTCTCTCCCTACCTCTTCTCCCCTACCGCTCTTCTCTCCCCCTACCGCTCTTCCTCCGCCCCTCCTACCGTCTTCCTCCCCCTACCGCTCTCTCTCCCCCCTACCCCGTCTCTTCTCTCTCCTCCCCCCCTACCTACCGCTCTTCTCTCCCCCTACCGCTCTTCTCTCCCTACCGCTCTTCTCTCCCCCCCTACCGCTCTCTCTCCTCCTCTCTCACTTACCGGCTACCGTCTCCTACCTCTCTCTCCTCCCCCCTACACTCTCTCTCTCCCCTACTCTTCTTCTCCTCCCCCAATCCGCCCCTCCCTCCCCACCTACGCTCTTCTCTCCCCCCCCTACCGCTCTTCTCTCCCCCCCTACCGCTCGTCTCTCCCCCACCCTACCGCTCTTCTCTCCCCCCCCTACCGCCCTTCTACCTCTGTCCCTCCCTGTAGAGGACAACCAGCCGTACCTGACGGTGCCCTGCCCTGAGTCTAAGATCACCAGTGCTGTGTGGGGGCCTCTGGGAGAGTTTGTTATCGCTGGTCACGAGAACGGAGAGATCAACCAGTTCAGCGCCAAGGTGCCCACCCTGACACACCAGTATTCATATTTCTGGAACACAGAAGGCCGATGAACTGCAGACCTGATATCTATAACATGATTATACCGTCTTTGTTGTTGCAGTCTGGAGAGGTGCTGAAGAAGGTGAAGGAACACAACAAACAGATCAATGACATCCAGACCTCTGTTGATCTGACCATGGTCATCACCGCATCTAAAGACTGCTCCTCTAAGGTTTGGAGGGTTGGAGGGTGGGAAGACGGAGGAAGATGATGAAGAGGATGATTGTGCTCTTGCTGACTCCATTGCTGTCCTTGTCAAGCCAAACATGACAATGATAAGACCATGTTTTAACAATGAGTGACAAGAAATTGGCATGATCACGCGAACAGAGTGGCACTCAGGCTAGGATATAGGGGAGTGAGGTCTCGTTTGAACAGTTGGCTGACTATAACAACCGTCTCCGTCTGTCTGTCTGTCTACCCCACAGCTGTTTGACTCTACAACTCTAGATCACATCAAGTCCTTCAAGACAGAGAGACCTGTCAACTCTGCTGCCATCTCCCCCATCATGGACCACGTAAGACACCACACTCACTCACCTTTGAGACCCCTATACAGTGCATTCGGAAAGTATTCAGACCCCTTGACTTTTTCCACATTTAGTTACGTTACAGCCTTATTCTAAAATGGATTTAAATTAATTTTTTACTCAATCTACACACAATACCCCATAATAACAAAGCGAAAACAGGTTGTAAGATTTTTTTTGCAAATTTATAAAAAATAAAAACAGCAATACCTTATTTAAATAAGTATTCAGACCCTTTGCTATGAGACTTGAAATTGAGCTCAGGTGCATCCTGTTTCCATTGATCATCCTTGAGATGTTTCTACAACTTGATTGGAGTTCACCTGTTGTAAATTCAATTGATTGGACATGATTTGGAAAGACACTTGTCACACACACGTCACGTCTGGAGGAAACCTGGCACCATCCCTACGGTGAAGCATGGTGGTGGCAGCATCATGCTGTGGGGATGTTTTTCAGCGGCAGAGACTGGGAGACTAGTCAGGATCAAGGGAAATATGAACGGATCAAAGTACAGAAAGATCCTTGATGAAAACCTGCTCCAGAGCGCTCAGGACCTCAGACTGGGGCGAAGGTTCACCTTCCAACAGGACATCGACCCAAAGCACACAGCCAAGACAACGCAGGAGTTGCTTCGGGACAAGTCTCAATGTCCTTGAGTAGCCCAGCCAGACCCCAGACTTGAACCCGATCGAACATCTCTGGAGAGACCTGAAAATAGCTGTGCAGTGACGCTCCCCATCCAACCTGACAGAGCTTGAGAGGATCTGCAGAGAAGAATGGGAGAAACTCCCCAAATACAGGTGTGCCAAGCTTGTAGCGTCATACCCAAGAAAACTCAAGGCTGTAATTGCTGGAAAAGGTGCTTCAACAAAGTACTGAGTAAAGGGTCTGAATACTTATGGTAATGTAATATTTCCGTTATTTATTTTAAATAAATTTGCACACAAAAAATCTAACCGGTTTTTGCTTTGTCATTATGTATTGTGTGTAGATTGAGGGGGGAAAAACGATTTTAATTAATTTTAGTATAAGGCTGTAACGTAATAATGTGGAAAACGTCAAGGGGTCTGAATACTTTCCGAATGCACTGTAAGTTTGTTTTAGAACATTTCTCCGGCACCAGAGCTGACCTTTAACCCCTGTGTGTGTGTTGTAGGTGGTGATGGGAGGAGGTCAAGAGGCCATGGATGTTACCACCACCTCCACCAGGATCGGCAAGTTCGAGGCCAGGTTCTTCCACGCAGCTTACGAAGAGGAGTTTGGCAGGGTCAAGGGTCACTTCGGACCCATCAACTGTGTAGCGTTCCACCCAGACGGCAAGAGGTAAGATCCAAAAGGCACCAAAGAATAGAAGACTACCCGTCTAAGTGTAGCACACGGGATGTGTAAAACTCAGTCCTCCTGGATAGCTAGCGGTTCTGTGGTGCGGCTGGTAAGGCCCTTCGGGAGGACGGTCGCGTGTGTTTGCAAGGCAGAGGTTCTGGGTTTGAGCTGAACCAGGAGGAAGTGGTACTCCGTAAGCAAGCAGTACAACATCCGTTACAAGATTTTACATTTTAGTCATTTAGCAGACGCTCTTATCCAGAGCGACTTACATGAGCAATTAGGGTTAAGTGCCTTGCTCAAGGGCACATCGACAGAGTTTTCACCTAGTCGGCTCGGGGATTAGAACCAGCGACCTTTCGGTTACTGGCACAACGCTCTTAACCACTAAGCTACCTGCCGCCCTACGTGAAGATGGAGATTAGTTGGTGTTTAATACTTAGACCTGAAATCTACATTTACTTGGTTATCGTTACCTAAATGGTGATCGCTCTCAATGTTTGCAAGTAACAGTTTTGGGGTCAATTTAATTGATTTTGGAACTGAATAATTTAATATCGATCTGAACCAGTTGTCCAACGTGTCTCTGTGTAACTGAACCTCTCTCTCCTCTTTAGCTACTCCAGTGGAAGTGAGGACGGCTACACTAGGATCCATCACTTTGACCCCCAATACTTTGACTTCGAGCTGGAGGTGTAAACGGAAGAGCAGCAGCGAGACTCCCCTCTATCAACATCAAGTCATCTATCTTCTCAGCTGATAACAGTAGTAATACCACACAGGCTATACTCAGGAAGACTTCTACAGACTGGGTAAAGGACACCAGGGGTGCATCTCAAGTCTGCCATAGCGTCCTCTCTCTTTGTCTTCTGTATCTGTACTGATCTGAGAACTCCGGATAGGCGATGGGAGGTGGATGACTACCTGGAATCATTTGTCAGTTGTGGATTTAAAAACGGGTGATTGAGGAAAGGAGGCCACTGAAGACTATTGAGATGCACCCTTAGTGATGGGGTAATTTAGGCCTCAGAATCCGGACATCACTAATAAATAGGCCAACTGGAATGTTTAGATTGCCTTGGCTGACAGTATAGAAACAGTTCCTTTTGTTTTTACTCCATTCCAGTGTATTTAAACTGATTCTCTAAAAAATAAATGGAATTTGGTTAAAATATTTCATTGCATGGTTTGTCTGTATTATGCACAGTAATCTGGCACATATTAGTAACTTATTCTGATTAGTTTTGTAGTAAATTACTACCAAACCCTGAAAATAATGGTCCTTAACCAGGACAGGCCTGATGGAAACAGCAGACGTTCCTAATGTCGACAAGGTGGTATCTTTTAATTATGCGAGAAATTGCAAATATTGATAATCATATCAACGTAAACTTAATCACTCTGTTGCAGTTTAGGCTACAGATCAAATAAATTAAGCTCACCACCATGTGAGCTTGATGCTGCTGTCAATAAATAGGTCTTATTCTAGAGACGTGGGTCTACGCCATTCGTCCGAAAAAGAAAAACAAAATGGTGCTCGTCCATAATAGGAATCTCATTTAGGTAGCCTAAAACGCATGTGCAAAGACAAGAGTGGGCATATTGTCATGAAACCAGTTACCTTTTTGGGTGGGGGGAATTTAACCACAAGAGTTGTGTGTACTTACTTATCTTACAGCTTTTTATCCCCAAACGAGTCAATTTAATGGAAATATCTGGTGGGTAAATGCATATTAAGCAGGTTTTATATTTGCGTGGAAAATTGAGGGACTTATCTGAAAGAACCCTGGAAATCAACCAAATGATTGCCTTTAACATGTTCCTCGAAAAGGATAGATTTAGAACACAAGAATTCAAAGTCAACGAGAATTTATTTTTCTATATAAAAACAAGTTATGCACATTTCACAATTGGAACACCCAACCAAACACCATCTCGTCACCTTACAGTAGAAAATACCAGGGGCTTAAAACGTGATCTGGTTCCCAACGGCGTAGGGTGAAGTTGACTCTACATGCTGATCTTGGGGTCAGTTTTGGATTTTCCTTCATGACGAAGGTTAGGATAGGGGGAGGGGAAGTTTGATCTTGGACTTGTCACCCTGGCTCGTTCCAAACACACCGTATGACAGGGATCATCAACTAGATTCAGCCGCGGGCTGATATTTTCTTGAGCGGATGGTCGGGGGGGCCATTAACAATTATGTAGACTGCAAAATGACCGCAAGAAGCCGAAACAGTGACTAAAAACAATCATTTCAAACATTGCTTACATGTATGTTGTGGGAATACCTGGTGTTTTTACAGTCTTCTCCAACAATGATTTAAAATAAAATAGCTCTGAACTTGGGGGGGGGCAAATTCAGCCCGCCAGTTGGGGTACTCTGCCCTATGACCTAATAAAATACATTTCAACATTTGTTACCTCATTTTAGATTTCTAAAAGTAAAGAAGGATCCAGCATGGAGCATACAGTCATCTGAGAGCAACTAACCCCGGGGGAAGAGAGGAAAGCACAACATATATTGATCCATGATTCAAAATAAACAGCAGAACAGGGCTGGTGACTTGAACGACTTGTTCAAAGGGGAATGTTAGCAGTGGAAAGTGGATTCCTTTTCAACGCTCCATCTGGAGCGATCCAAGAACTCAGGATAGGTGAAAGCGCTATGACAGGAGTCTTATCAGGGGGATTTGCTTTCACTTACCAAGTTACCTCAGGTCAGTGAAGAGAGAGGAAATAAGGTTGGGATTCAATCCAAGGCGTGTTACAGAGCAGTGCACTAGACAGCCGACAATGCACATTTCGCTAAAAGGAATTTTGCCCTACAGTAACCGCCTGTAAAATGTCAGCTCAAGCGTAAATCACCTTTAGGTCTGTTAGAGAGCAGCGCACTATAGCGCGACTTGGACTGAATCCCGACCAGTCTTTTTAGACTATTGAAAATGGACCCTACGCTTTCAGAATCTCAGGTGGTGTCGAGGCTCCGTGACAGTAAAACAAAATTAAAAATAGGTGGCAGACATGAGTAACAAATAAAAATAAAAACTTGCATTTCAACACCGACACAGGCTAAAACATTTGACTGTTTGAGGAAATACTAAAAACAGTGTTAGAGAATAATTTACTGTCCATTATCGATTGCACAACTGGAAAGTCATGCATATCTGATGCTTCAACTTCAAGACGTCTTGGTTTCTTCTTTTGGCCTGGTGGTGAAATGAAGAAACATTAGTTGACTGGGATACATAATCCATTCCTAGATCAGTTATATTCCATTTTTAAAAAAGTCAAATGTGTTGTGGTCACTACTCACCCTGTTGTGTCCATCTTCTCCTCTGGATCCTTCTCCTCTTTCACGTCTGGGGAAAACAGAAAAATGTAGGTGAGGTGTTATGGTCGGGTGTCCGTGGACAGTCACTGAGGTGTTATGGTCGAGTGTCCGTGGCCAGTCACTGAGGTGTTATGGTCGGGTGTCCGTGGACAGTCACTGAGGTGTTATGGTCGAGTGTCCGTGGCCAGTCACTGAGGTGTTATGTGGAGTGTCCGTGGCCAGTCACTGAGGTGTTATGTGGAGTGTCCCTGGCCAGTCACTGAGGTGTTATGTGGAGTGTCCGTGGCCAGTCACTGAGGTGTTATGGTCGAGTGTCCGTGGCCAGTCACTGAGGTGTTATGTGGAGTGTCCTTGGCCAGTCACTGAGGTGTTATGGTCGAGTGTCCGTGGCCAGTCACTGAGGTGTTATGGTCGAGTGTCCGTGGTCAGTCACTGAGGTGTTATGTGGAGTGTCCCTGGCCAGTCACTGAGGTGTTATGTGGAGTGTCCTTGGCCAGTCACTGAGGTGTTATGGCCGAGTGTCCTTGGCCAGTCACTGAGGTGTTATGTGGAGTGTCCTTGGCCAGTCACTGAGGTGTTATGTGGAGTGTCCTTGGCCAGTCACTGAGGTGTTATGTGGAGTGTCCCTGGCCAGTCACTGAGGTGTTATGTGGAGTGTCCTTGGCCAGTCACTGAGGTGTTATGTGGAGTGTCCTTGGCCAGTCACTGAGGTGTTATGTGGAGTGTCCTTGGCCAGTCACTGAGGTGTTATGTGGAGTGTCCTTGGCCAGTCACTGAGGTGTTATGTGGAGTGTCCCTGGCCAGTCACTGAGGTGTTATGTGGAGTGTCCTTGGCCAGTCACTGAGGTGTTATGTGGAGTGTCCTTGGCCAGTCACTGAGGTGTTATGGTCGAGTGTCCGTGGCCAGTCACTGAGGTGTTATGTGGAGTGTCCTTGGCCAGTCACTGAGGTGTTATGGTCGAGTGTCCGTGGCCAGTCACTGAGGTGTTATGTGGAGTGTCCGTGGCCAGTCACTGAGGTGTTATGGTCGAGTGTCCGTGGCCAGTCACTGAGGTGTTATGTGGAGTGTCCGTGGCCAGTCACTGAGGTGTTATGGTCGAGTGTCCTTGGCCAGTCACTGAGGTGTTATGGTCGAGTGTCCGTGGCCAGTCACTGAGGTGTTATGTGGAGTGTCCGTGGCCAGTCACTGAGGTGTTATGGTCGAGTGTCCTTGGCCAGTCACTGAGGTGTTATGGTCGAGTGTCCTTGGCCAGTCACTGAGGTGTTATGTGGAGTGTCCGTGGCCAGTCACTGAGGTGTTATGGTCGAGTGTCCTTGGCCAGTCACTGAGGTGTTATGGTCGAGTGTCCGTGGCCAGTCACTGAGGTGTTATGTGGAGTGTCCCTGGCCAGTCACTGAGGTGTTATGTGGAGTGTCCCTGGCCAGTCACTGAGGTGTTATGTGGAGTGTCCGTGGCCAGTCACTGAGGTGTTATGGTCGAGTGTCCTTGGCCAGTCACTGAGGTGTTATGTGGAGTGTCCGTGGCCAGTCACTGAGGTGTTATGGTCGAGTGTCCTTGGCCAGTCACTGAGGTGTTATGGTCGAGTGTCCGTGGCCAGTCACTGAGGTGTTATGTGGAGTGTCCGTGGCCAGTCACTGAGGTGTTATGGTCGAGTGTCCTTGGCCAGTCACTGAGGTGTTATGGTCGAGTGTCCGTGGCCAGTCACTGAGGTGTTATGGTCGAGTGTCCGTGGCAAGTCACTGAGGTGTTATGTGGAGTGTCCGTGGCCAGTCACTGAGGTGTTATGTGGAGTGTCCGTGGCCAGTCACTGAGGTGTTATGGTCGAGTGTCCTTGGCCAGTCACTGAGGTGTTATGGTCGAGTGTCCTTGGCCAGTCACTGAGGTGTTATGGTCGAGTGTCCTTGGCCAGTCACTGAGGTGTTATGGTCGAGTGTCCTTGGCCAGTCACTGAGGTGTTATGTGGAGTGTCCGTGGCCAGTCACTGAGGTGTTATGGTCGAGTGTCCTTGGCCAGTCACTGAGGTGTTATGGTCGGGTGTCCGTGGACAGTCACTGAGGTGTTATGGTCGAGTGTCCTTGGCCAGTCACTGAGGTGTTATGTGGAGTGTCCGTGGCCAGTCACTGAGGTGTTATGTGGAGTGTCCGTGGCCAGTCACTGAGGTGTTATGTGGAGTGTCCGTGGCCAGTCATGGGGTAAGTAATTTCCTTTACCCTTCTCCTCTGCCTCCTTCTCCTTCTCCTCAGTCTTCACTCGTTTGGTCTTCTTGTGGTTGGCAGCGTTGCGCCTTCCTCCTCCTCCCTGTCCCTCATCCTCAGAGTCAGAGAACTCCTCTTCACAGGCTATCCTCTTATCATGGGCCCTGACTGAAACACAATACCATCATCACCACTATCCTCTTATCATGGGCCCTGACTGAAACACAATACCATCATCACCATCCTCTTATCATGGGCCCTGACTGAAACACAATACCATCATCACCATCCTCTTATCATGGGCCCTGACTGAAACACAATACCATCATCACCACTATCCTCTTATCATGGGCCCTGACTGAAACACAATACCATCATCACTATCCTCTTATCATGGGCCCTGACTGAAACACAATACCATCATCACCACTATCCTCTTATCATGGGCCCTGACTGAAACACAATACCATCATCACCACTATCCTCTTATCATGGGCCCTGACTGAAACACAATACCATCATCACTATCCTCTTATCATGGGCCCTGACTGAAACACAATACCATCATCACTATCCTCTTATCATGGGCCCTGACTGAAACACAATACCATCATCATCACTATCCTCTTATCATGGGCCCTGACTGAAACACAATACCATCATCACCACTATCCTCTTATCATGGGCCCTGACTGAAACACAATACCATCATCACCACTATCCTCTTATCATGGGCCCTGACTGAAACACAATACCATCATCACTATCCTCTTATCATGGGCCCTGACTGAAACACAATACCATCATCATCACTATCCTCTTATCATGGGCCCTGACTGAAACACAATACCATCATCACCACTATCCTCTTATCATGGGCCCTGACTGAAACACAATACCATCATCACCATCCTCTTATCATGGGCCCTGACTGAAACACAATACCATCATCACCACTATCCTCTTATCATGGGCCCTGACTGAAACACAATACCATCATCACCACTATCCTCTTATCATGGGCCCTGACTGAAACACAATACCATCATCACTATCCTCTTATCATGGGCCCTGACTGAAACACAATACCATCACCACTATCCTCTTATCATGGGCCCTGACTGAAACACAATACCATCATCACCACTATCCTCTTATCATGGGCCCTGACTGAAACACAATACCATCACCACTATCCTCTTATCATGGGCCCTGACTGAAACACAATACCATCATCACTATCCTCTTATCATGGGCCCTGACTGAAACACAATACCATCATCACTATCCTCTTATCATGGGCCCTGACTGAAACACAATACCATCATCACCACTATCCTCTTATCATGGGCCCTGACTGAAACACAATACCATCATCATCATCACTATCCTCTTATCATGGGCCCTGACTGAAACACAATACCATCACCACTATCCTCTTATCATGGGCCCTGACTGAAACACAATACCATCATCACCACTATCCTCTTATCATGGGCCCTGACTGAAACACAATACCATCATCATCACTATCCTCTTATCATGGGCCCTGACTGAAACACAATACCATCATCACTATCCTCTTATCATGGGCCCTGACTGAAACACAATACCATCATCACTATCCTCTTATCATGGGCCCTGACTGAAACACAATACCATCATCACTATCCTCTTATCATGGGCCCTGACTGAAACACAATACCATCATCACCACTATCCTCTTATCATGGGCCCTGACTACACAGGAAAACTCACCCAGTTCAGTAAGAGATTCATAACAGTGGTGTGAGAGAGTATGTGACAGTACTCTGGGAGGAGCTAGTGTGTGACAGTACTCTGGGAGGAGCTAGTGTGTGACAGTACTCTGGGAGGAGCTAGTGTGTGACAGTACTCTGGGAGGAGCTAGTGTGTGACAGTACTCTGGGAGGAGCTAGTGTGTGACAGTACTCTGGGAGGAGCTAGTGTGTGACAGTACTCTGGGAGGAGCTAGTGTGTGACAGTACTCTGGGAGGAGCTAGTGTGTGACAGTACTCTGGGAGGAGCTAGTGTGTGACAGTACTCTGGGAGGAGCTAGTGTGTGACAGTACTCTGGGAGGAGCTAGTGTGTGACAGTACTCTGGGAGGAGCTAGTGTGTGACAGTACTCTGGGAGGAGCTAGTGTGTGACAGTACTCTGGGAGGAGCTAGTGTGTGACAGTACTCTGGGAGGAGCTAGTGTGTGACAGTACTCTGGGAGGAGCTAGTGTGTGTGTCCTTACTGGAGATTCGTTTGTCAGGGTCCTCGTCCTCTTCATCGCCAGAGTCCGGGTGTGGAGCGTCTTCTGGGATGGGCTGCATCTGGACCCCCGGGGCGTGGGGCAGCATGCGCAGGTTCTCAAACAACCTCTGTCTGGGGAGGGAGAGAGAGCGACGCTTAGTGTGTGTGCTTGTCAAGGTTTGAGTTGGTTAAAAAAAATATATATATATATATATATATATATGCTGAGAATTAAAACTGGCGCCACCAAAAATGCTTTTTAGCCTATTCATTGATGGAAATACCAGTCGATTGAAATACATTTGACCAGTCACGCTCATCGGTCTATAGGTTCATTTGCATATTTTCATGGAATTAAAAATTGGCAGGTGTGTATGTGTTAGTCGTTGTGTTCATCACAGCTTACGGATACAGAGCTACGAGTGGAAAAATTCTGCTGTTACAGCTTCTCAAACAGCTGATTCGTTGCTGCTGGAGTGAACCCCAATCATTGTGTAACAATTCTAAATGCAAATCGCATGTTAACAACAGTTGACGGACACGATAAAAAAAAAAAAAAAGAGCTACTATTTTTCATTCTCAACTGGTAATTGAAGCGCTTCCCATTGGCCGTTCAAGTGCATATAGGTGGGCTTCAGCGAATCACAGCACCGTGAAATCAGCTGGAGGCAGTATGCATTTTCAAAGCACAAAATAGTTTGAAACCTAAATGTTTTTCTTCATATGTGGCACGTCTTACCTTGCGTCAAAGTAAAATTTACGTGGAAGCAATTATTTTATAAAGACTTCCATATGCCATTGAATCCAGTAGCCTATTTCTCTCATGTTCTAAATGGTTTCAACTTTTCTTTCATTGTCCGGTAGCCAAAGGCGCAACTCTAGTCACATGAAACCCTCTCGCATGTGCAGTGTGCTTCTGACAACAGTGTTTTCCCGCTAGTTGCAATATGGAACAAACATTCGCACGTAACCTACTGCCCTGTTGCTGAGCTTATAGTGTGAAGAAATAACAGTTTATCAACATTAAGCTAAACGTTCTGATCAGTTGCATCAGACTCATTGCTTTAAAAAGTGTTTTGTTCATGTAGCCGAGGCCTGCTGGTTGGATGATTTATCGTCCCACAACTGTCCCAGAGTCTGTTTGGAATAGGCCACTTCTTTCTCACACAGAACGACAAGCTGACCAATAGAGTAGGTCAACTTTACTATGGGGGATGGTAGCTGGACATAGGCTAGTGATCGTCTTGTTGCCTGAGGAAAAGTCGCCTGAATGTGGACAGTTATTCTAACGTCTTCAAAATGAGCATCGGAATTCAGAAAAGGACGTAAAAGCCGTCGCATCCTGTCAAGATGAAGAACCATCATCTAAAAATGTGATTTCTGTCATTCTGAGAACAGTGGGTGGACGACCTAATCAGATGACGCACCCAATGCATATGGGTCCGGTACATTTCTCCCATGTCCATTCAAATGCTTATGGTCAAATATCCGGCACCACATTCTCCTAACAGAAACCCTGGTGTGTGTGTGTGTGTGTGTGTGTGAGAGAGCACGTGCCGGTCTGTGTAACTTACTTGATCTTCTCCAGGTAATCATTGGTGTTCTGGTTGGTCATGTTAGACGGGCTGATGTGGAGTTTGAAGTCAGGGCCAAAGTACTCAAAGTAATCATTGTATGGCAGCTCTGATAGGACAAGAGAGAGTCATCATTATCAAGTCAAACTTGAAGCAGAGAGACTAACAGAATGAGGTCGTACTCTAATGTTGATTACGGTAGTGTGTGTAACCGTTAGGTATGATGCGTTTGTGTACGTTAGGTATGATGCGTGTGTGGGTGTGTGTGTACCGTTAGGTATGATGCTGTGTGTGTGTGTACCGTTAGGTATGATGCTGTGTGTGTGTGTGTGTGTGTACCGTTAGGTATGATGCTGTGTGTGTGTGTACAGTTAGGTATGATGCTGTGTGTGGGTGTGTGTGTGTGTGTGTGTGTACCGTTAGGTATGATGCTGTGTGTGTACCGTTAGGTATGATGCTGTGTGTGGGTGTGTGTGTGTGTGTGTGTGTACCGTTAGGTATGATGCTGTGTGTGTACCGTTAGGTATGATGCTGTGTGTGTGTGTGTGTGTGTGTGTACCGTTAGGTATGATGCTGTGTGTGTGTGTACAGTTAGGTATGATGCTGTGTGTGTGTGTGTACAGTTAGGTATGATGCTGTGTGTGGGTGTGTGTGTGTGTGTGTGTACCGTTAGGTATGATGCTGTGGGTGTGTGTGTGTGTGTGTGTACCGTTAGGTATGATGCTGTGTGTGTGTGTGTGTGTGTGTGTACCGTTAGGTATGATGCTGTGTGTGTGTACCGTTAGGTATGATGCTGTGTGTGGGTGTGTGTGTGTGTGTGTGTACCGTTAGGTATGATGCTGTGTGTGTGTGTGTGTGTGTGTGTACCGTTAGGTATGATGCAGTCCAGAGCCACGGCGGTCTCGTAGGTCCAGCAGCGGGCCACGTTACGGATGGTGTAACCTCCTCCTCCCAACATCAGCAGAGGCAGGTTGAAACTCTTCATGTACTCCACACACTTAGCATGGCCTGAAACGCACGTCAAGGTTTCAACATTCAAAAACTTTATTCTCCATTCTTGTGGAATGGAAATGTGTCGTCACACTTAGTAAACAGACAGAACACCAAAAAGTAAGCTTAAATTACAGAATAATAAAGAAGCCCACACATGAATACGACCAACACAGGAACAGCAGCACCATTCATGAGTAAAATGCTTTACGCTACAGTTATTCCATTATTTTTGCTGTATCCCACCTGAAAACCCAAACTGTTGAGTAAATGTGTGTCCAGAATAATTAACGTGTGTGTGTGTGTACCGTTAGGTATGATGCTGTGTGTGTGTGTGTGTGTACCGTTAGGTATGATGCTGTGTGTGTGTGTGTGTACCGTTAGGTATGATGCTGTGTGTGTGTGTGTGTGTGTGTGTGTGTTACCTTTGATGGTGACGTTGAAGCAGCCCAGTCGGTCTCCTGAGAGAGAGTCCGCTCCACACTGCAACACCACTGCACTGGGCTGGAACATCTCCATCACTTTAGCCATCACCTAGTACACACACAAAATAAAAGAGAAATTGATAAGCGACACACAAAGGTATGCAAGGTACCAAAACATTAAATGACTTGCAGCAGCAGACTTACAGGTTTGAAGATGGCTTCATAAGACTCATCATCGATGCCGTCTCTAAGAGGGTAGTTTACAGCATAGTACTTCCCCTTTCCTGCTCCAATGTCCTAAAAACAAACACGTTATTGTACATGCTGGAATACAGAAATGACTCAAATATAGGTAGACAATCCAACACTCTGAAGGGGGAGTGTAATCATACACACAGGAACACACTGAAATGTACGTTGCTTACTTCTGACTATTTAGATCCCCCCCCACCACCACACTCACCCTCAGGTCTCCAGTGCCAGGGAAGTATTCTCCATACTTGTGGAAGGAGACAGTCATGACCCGGTCTGTGGTGAAGAACGCCTCTTCCACTCCGTCTCCATGGTGAATGTCGATGTCTATGTACAACACCCTCTGGTGGTACCTGATTGGACGGACAACTCATTACATACAATATCTAGATGATATTCATATTACCTGATAGGAAAGACAATACAATTAAAAACGCACTCATATCTAGGTTTCTCATCAGAGCCTGGGGACTATTCATTTCAACAAGAAACACACCGTGACTAGCCAAGGACACGTCAACATTACGAGGAGGAGGAGAAAGACGCAGACAAGACGACGGCGTGGGTAAGTGATACACACTGGGCTCTTACTTCAGCAGTTCCAGGATGGCGAGGACTATGTCGTTGACGTAGCAGAACCCAGAGGCCTCGGACTTCTTGGCGTGATGGAGTCCTCCGGCCCAGTTGATGGCGATGTCCGTCTGCTGCTTGTTCAGCTTCACTGCCCCCGCTACACACAGGACAGAGACGGCCAATACCGTGAGAGAGAGGACAGAGACGGCCAATACCGTGAGAGAGGGGACAGAGACGGCCAATACCGTGAGAGAGGGGACAGAGACGGCCAATACCGTGAGAGAGAGGACAGAGACGGCCAATACCGTGAGAGAGAGGACAGAGACGGCCAATACCGCGAGAGAGAGGACAGAGACGGCCAATACCGTGAGAGAGAGGACAGAGACGGCCAATACCGTGAGAGAGAGGACAGAGACGGCCAATACCGTGACAGAGAGGACAGAGACGGCCAATACCGTGACAGAGAGGACAGAGACGGCCAATGGGGAGTAAGAGAGAAGTAGATAGACAAGAGAAGTCAGTAAAGCAGACAGAAAGACAAAACTAAACTGTGAGAAAAGAGAAACAGGAGATGAAGACTCACCGACAGAGCCTCCTGTTGAGAGCTGACAGAATTCAAACAAGCCGTCAAACACTGGGCAGTCCTCTCCTACATTGACTGTTGGAGAACAGCAAGGATAGAAGACATTCATTTGAGATGTGTGATTGAGGCCTGCAGATTTGTTCCAATGCATAAAGCAGTACCTACACAACAGATGTGAGTGTGGAGTATAGTCTAAAGTCAGCTCAACATTAGACAATATGAAAACACGGCAAACAAGTTATTAAAACGTATGGCAAACAAGTTATTAAAACGTATGGGAAACAAGTTATTAAAACGTATGGGGGGGGAAAACTTGGTATGGTGACCTATCCCTTTAAAAAATACACAGAGCGCCCCACCTAAGCAATGCTAGGGGAAACACTGTCTGCTACTCACATCTCTGCATCTGCTTGCTGTGTTCTGACATGTTGTCTGGCCGGATGGAACGCAGGAACTTGATGTAGTCGTCACTGTGGTACTTGGTCATCTCCTCTCCACTGGCCTTGTGAGGTCTCTGGGGACAGAGGAAAGCAAAGGGCAGGTCTGAAAAGGCACTTTAAAAAAGGCACAATATGTAGAAAACACTCCACCATTACCTGGTTGCTAAAATGGTCACCTCATTTCAGTTCATATATTTTCAATAACCAAAAATGTACAGGGAGGTCAGAAAACTCTTGTAGTCCACAACAATCCATCTTGACTTTTATAAGTCTATAGGACTTCGGGACAACTCAACTATACAGAATGTTACTTCGGACCTGTAGCGTAGAGCAGTGTGTTGAAGAATAAGGAGTCGACTCGTATCAGCTTCAGTTCTATACAATATATCTATATCATGTTCTGAAGTATTGTGCCATCGTCTGTAGACCCATCTCCTGGCCACGTTCTGAAAAGTTACGCTTAGGCTTATTTTAAGCTTGGGATTATTTTTGATGCTTGAATGTGTGTGCATCACTCTAACAGGATGTGTGTAAAAATAAATAAAATACAATTGAGTGTATAAACCCCCTGTAACTGTTGTACTTACATATATCTCCATCTTCCTGTACAGTCCGTAGTTGAGCAGGAGGTTGTGGGTCATACGGATCCTGTGGGGTTTCATGGGATGACCCTGACCATAGTAATAATTACCCACGTCGCCTGGGGAGAGGAAAAATAAAAGAGGTTTAGACAAACTACTGAGACAACAAACCACATTTCCTAGTCCAGAGGTAGGGTAGCTCTGGTCTTTACATTTTGGCCATTTAGCTGTAGGCCCTTATCCAGAGCGACTTACAGGAGCAATTAGGGTTAAGTGCCTTGCACAAGGGCACCGACAGGCTTTTAACCTAGTCGGCTCTGGGATTCGAACCAGCGACCTTTCGATTACTGTCCCAACGCTCTTAACCGCTAGGCTACCTGTCGCTTTGAGTGCAGGCTTTTGTTCCAGGCCAGCACTATCACGCCTGAATCACGCATGCAGCCTGGTAACTACACAGCACGAAACACAACTAAACTATAATAGTAATGAAATGGTCAGCCTCTGCAAAGAGATCTGAATCTACATGGAAGACACCGCGAGTTACTGGCTCAAACCCCCCCGCCGCCGCCGCACAATTCGCTACTTCCCCACAAAGTTGACTATCCAACACCGCTAGCTACATGATAACCCCACTTTACTAAACAAATGGTGTAGCTTAATATCAGTTCGTGATTCAAAGACACTCATACTAACCATTATCTAGCTAGCTAACGTTAGCTAGTTTAGCAAGCTATACACTTGGTTATAAGCTTACTAGCTAGCTAGCGAGCTAATGACGTTAGCTAGCTAGCATAGTTGCCGCAAATTAAAAGCATAAACTTGTTAGCTAGATATCGGCAATTCAGCTGATTGCAACATTGAAAAATAATAAAAAAACGACCATCTCAAGTTGCTCTGGCTAGCTAACCAAAAGTATTCTTCCTAACCAGGTAGATAGCTAGCTAACAACTAACTCAGCTAGCAAGCTAACCACTCGGTAGCTACAGGAGCCGTCTAGCAGCTAACTCGCCTACGGCACTTCTTTCAAGGTGGAACAAAAACAGCCTTTTATCGAGCACCAAATCCTCGTCGACGCAACAAATAATACCGCGGACAACACTGAGCTACATTACATAAAATCTTACCGTCATAATAATAGCAAACTTTCTTCTTTGTTCCTCCGGCAGACGACAGCGCCATTTTCTCCAATTAGCGCCGCACCGTTCTTTGTGCCGGAGCTGTGTAATATGCGCTATCGTCTCGTCCAATCACCGAAGCCTGCTCCGCTCGAAGGCGTTGTTGCGAAGGATGTACTCTCTCTGTCTGCACGGTTCACTGGTCTGTAATGCCAGTTATGTGCCGCTAACAAGCCCTCCCCCCAACAATATGTTCAATAGATACATCCGCATATAAATTCCTCATATTGCTGCATGATGAACACCAAGTTTTCCACCTACACTGCAAGACTAACGATCTTGCGCACTGATCTCGCACATAATAGACACATTCCTGTACAATGATCTTGCACAATATTTTTTTTCACATTAGCTGTACATTGAAGTACACAGGCAAAGGGATAATGATGATGATGGCCTACTACAGTAGTCTTCATACAACATTATGAATGGTCACTAGCCCATGTCACAGTCACTAGCCCATTCAAGCTTAACATCCTTATCATTTATCGCCCTCCAGGTTCCCTTGGAGAGTTCATCAATGAGCTTGACGCCTTGATAAGTTCCTTTCCTGAGGATGGCTCACCCCTCACAGTTCTGAGTGACATTAACCTCCCTACGTCTACCTTTGACTAATTTCTCTCTGCCTCCTTCTTTCCACTCCTCTCATCTTTTGACCTCACCCTCTCACCGTCTCCCCCTACTCACAAGGCAGGTAATACGCTTGACCTCATCTTTACTAGATGCTGTTCTTCTACTAATCTCACTGCAACTCCCCTCCAAGTCTCCGACCACTACTTTGTATCCTTTTCTCTCTCGCTCTCCTCCAACACTACTCACTCTGCCCCTACTCAGATGGTAATGCGCCATCGCGACCTTCGCTCTCTCTCTCCCACTACTCTCTCCTCTTCCATCCTATCATCTCTTCCCTCTGCTCAAACCTTCTCCCTCCAATCTCCTGATTCTGCCTCCTCAACCCTCCTCTCCTCCGTTTCTGTATCTTTTGACTCTCTATGTTCCCTATCCTCCCGGCCGGCTCGGTCCTCCACTCCTGCTCCGTGGCTTGACGACTCATTGCGAGCTCACAGAACAGGGCTCCGGGCAGCCGAGCGGAAATGGAGGAAAACTAGACTCCCTGCGGACCTGGCATCTTTTCACTCCCTCCTCTCTACATTTTCTTCCTCTGTTTCTGCTGCTAAAGCCACTTTCTACCACTCTAAATGTCAAGCCTCTGCCTCTAAGCCTAGGAAGCTCTTTGCCACCTTCTCCTCCCTGCTGAATCCTCCTCCTCCTGCCCCTCCCTCCTCCCTCTCTGTGGATGACTTCGTCAACCATTTTGAAAAGAAGGTTGACGACATCCGATCCTCATTTATTAAGTCAAATGACACAGCTGGTCCTGCTCACACTGCCCTACCCTATGCTTTGACTTCTTTCTCCCCTCTCTCTCCAGATGAAATCTTGCGACTTGTGACGGCCGGCCGCCCAACAACCTGCCCGCTTGACCCTATCCCCTCCTCTCTTCTCCAGACCATTTCCGGAGACCTTCTCCCTTACCTCACCTCGCTCATCAACTCATCCTTGACCACTGGCTATGTTCCTTCTGTCTTCAAGAGAGCGAGAGTTGCACCCCTTCTCAAAAAACCTACACTCGATCTCTCCGATGTCAACAACTACAGACCAGTATCCCTTCTTTATTTTCTCTCCAAAACTCTTGAGCGTGCCGTCTTTAGCCAACTCTCTTGTTATCTCTCTCAGAATGACCTTCTTGATCTAAACCAGTCAGGTTTCAAGACTGGTCTATCAACTGAGACTGCTCTTCTCTGTGTCACGGAGGCTCTCCGCACTGCTAAAGCTAACTCTCTCTCCTCTGCTCTCATCCTTCTAGACCTATCTGCTGCCTTTGATACTGTGAACCATCAGATCCTCCTCTCCACCCTCTCCGAGTTGGGCATCTCCGGCGTGGCTCACTCTTGGATTGCGTCCTACCTCACAGGTCGCTCCTACCAGGTGGCGTGGCGAGAATCTGTCTCCGCACCACGTGCTCTCACCACTGGTGTCCCCCAGGGCTCAGTTCTAGGCCCTCTCCAATTCTCTCTATACACCAAGTCACTTGGCTCTGTCATATCCTCACATGGTCTCTCCTATCATTGCTACGCAGATGACACACAATTAATCTTCTCCTTTCCCCCTTCTGATAACCAGGTGGCGAATCGCATCTCTGCATGTCTGGCAGACATATCAGTGTGGATGACGGATCACCACCTCAAGCTGAACCTCGGCAAGACGGAGCTGCTCTTCCTCCCGGGGAAGGACTGCCGCTCCATGATCTCGCCAATCACGGTTGACAACTTCATTGTGTCCTCCTCCCAGAGTGCAAAGAACCTTGGCGTGACCCTGGACAACACCCTGTCGTTCTCCGCTAACATCAAAGCGGTGACCCGATCCTGTAGGTTCATGCTCTACAACATTCGCAGAGTACGACCCTACCTTACACAGGAAGCGGCACAGGTCCTAATCCAGGCACTTGTCATCTCCCGTCTGGATTACTGCAACTCGCTGTTGGCTGGGCTCCCTGCCTGTGCCATTAAACCCCTACAACTCATCCAGAACGCTGCAGCCCGTCTGGTGTTCAACCTTCCCAAGTTCTCTCACGTCACCCCGCTCCTCCACACTCCACTGGCTTCCAGATGAAGCCCGCATCTGCTACAAGACCATGGTGCTTGCCTACGGAGCTGTGAGGGGAACGGCACCTCCGTACCTTCAGGCTCTGATCAGTCCCTACACCCAAACGAGGGCATTGCGTTCATCCACCTCTGGCCTGCTGGCCCCCCTACCTCTGCGGAAGCACAGTTCCCGCTCAGCCCAGTCAAAACTGTTCGCTTCTCTGGCACTCCAATGGTGGAACAAGGTCCCTCACGACGCCAGGACAGCGGAGTCACTCACCACCTTCCGGAGACACTTGAAACCCCACCTCTTTAAGGAATACCTGGGATAGGATAAAAGTAATCCTTCTACCCCCCCCCCCCCCCCCCAAAAATAAATAATAATAATAATATAATAATACAAATAATAATAATAATAATAATAATAATAATAATAATAATTTGATATATTGTAAAGTGGTTGTCCCACTGGCTATCATAAGGTGAATGCACCAATTTGTAAGTCGCTCTGGATAAGAGCGTCTGTTAAATGACGAAAATGTAAATGTAAAATTATCAACAGTTCAACTTTTAGCCACCAGATGGTTCCATTGTACTACAATAAGCAATTTGCTCAGCTTTGCATGTGTTGCTTATAAAAAGCTGCCCACAGAGTTTTGGGCTATAGTCCTACCATCTCTGGTACCATACCTGTCTGGACAGCATACCTGTCCGCTACCCCACCCTTCTTTAAGGGGAAGTTCAGTATCTGTACTGAACTCAAACGGGCATAAATGGTCACTTAGAGCCCCCCCGCTGCTTTATTTTTTGGAACTCAGTCTGGGTCTCAAAATTTGGTTGTGCCTCAGCAGTTTTTCTCTTGTTATTTCAGTCACCTGACAGTCACTCAATTAGCCATGTCAGTCACTGACAGTCACTCAATTAGCCATGTCAGTCACTGACAGTCACTCAATTAGCCATGTCAGTCACTGACAGTCACTCAATTAGCCATGTCAGCGAACCATTTTTAGACTGTTAAACTAGTAGTAATCATGGCTGAATACTGGACCGGGTACTGTATTCGGTCATAATTACAAAATAATTTTAAGTATGTTTATTTTTTTATTTTTAAGTATGTAAAAGTAAAAATAAAAGATAAATAAATAATAAACTAAAGTAAGAAAAATAAAAGTTACACAATAAAAATAACAATATCGAGGCTATATACAAGGGGTATCGGTACCGAGTCAATGTGTGGGGGTACATGTTAGTCGAGGTAATTGAGGGTAATATGTACATGTAGGTAGGGGTAAAGTGACTATGCATAGATAATAAACAGTGAGTAGCAGCAGCGTAAAAAAGGGGGACAATGCAAATAGTCCGGGTAGGCAATTTGATTAACTGTTCAGGAGTCTTATGGCTTGGGGGTAGAAGCTGTTAAGAAGCCTTTTGGACCTAGATTTAACAATTTTTAGGGTCTTCCTCTGAAACCGCCTGGTATAGAGAAAATTAGTAGAATTGCATGATACATTTTTTTTTTACATTGCTACGTTTTCTCTCCGCCCCATTGCAAAATGTGTAGAATTGCAGAATATTTGCTTTAAAACTGCAATATTTTCTCTACGCCCAATGGGTAAATATGTAGAATTGCAGGGAATTAACTTTAAAACGTAAATTTTTCGTTCCACCGTCAAGAGGGGGGGACACTAAAATGTTTTGCTGTTTTCAGATTCATTTAAAAATTATATTTCATTAAAATTATAAAAACTGATCATGATTTGGTATTTAAATCTATTTATTTTTAATGAAATCTGCTTACACTGTGGAACTAGTAGCCATTTCCTGCAGTAAATTACCAAAAGCGCCCTCTTTGGCCTCATGGGTGGAATGTTATTAATATTTTTAATAATCTCATAATTCACAAAGATTATTTTCAAAAATCCAGACGAAAATCCGATATTTCTATGTCAAACAGTTATGTTATATTTCAGTCTTCTATGATTTACATAAAGCGTAATTTTGGGATGGAAATTCTAAATGGAATACATTTAAACTCTATATCTGACATGGTACAGGTGTTTTCTTTTTTTTTAACCATGTGTGTGAGGTGTATACTTTTGTTTCAATGCAGTAAAAGGTTAAAGCATTTTATCCATAGTGTCAAGCTTGAAGAGAGTGGATTCTCCTGCTGCCAGCTGTCTGTCTATGAAGAGTGACAAGTCAATGAACCAACCCCTTAACTTTGGAGTTGGAGTGGGCCTCCTTGATCTAAGATGATTCCCAAGAACAGGGCCACGTCCAACAGGCAAACATTGTGGAACGTTGCAGATACAAATGTCATGAATAGAGCTGACATATGATTCCTTAATCTACCTGTCCGAGAGGCATGTTTGTTCTATATGTTCTATCTGAATGTTGCACAACGTTGTGCACTGCTGAACGCACCCCAGATTTTTCTTAACCTGTTGCATGCCAACATTTGACCTGTATTTTGCCTCGCAAAGAGATTCAGGAAGAGGAAACAGAACATGTTTGTTGTACTGTGTAGACATTCCTGACTTCTTACTCGTGCTCAGGAAAACCTTCCGAATCATAATGTAGAAAATACATGTTGTCAGGATGAAGGATGCTATGCCTTCTAGATATACTACATGACCAATAGTATGTGGACATCTGCTCGTCGAACATCTCGTTACAAAATCATGGGCATTAATATGGAGTTGGTCCCCCCCTTTGCTGCTTTAACAGCCTCCACTTTTCTGGGAAGGATTTCCACTAGATGTTGGAACATTGCTGTCGGGACTTGCTTCCATTCGGCCACAAGAGCATTAGTGAGGTCGGGCACTGAAGTTGGGCGATTAAGCCTGGCTCGCAGTCGGCATTCCAATTAATCTCAAAGGTGTTCGATGGGGTTGAGGTCAGGGCTCTGTGCAGGCCAGTCAAGTTCTTCCATAACGATCTCGACAAACCATTTCTGTATGACATGCTGAGACAGGAAAGGGCCTTCCCCAAACTGTTGCCACAAAGTTGGAAACATAGAATCGTCTAGAACTAAAGGGCCTAGCCTGAACCATGAAAAACAGCCCCAGACCATTATTCCTCCTCCACCAAACTTTACAGTTGGCACTGTAAGTCTCCAAAATGGGGTGACAAATTAGGTATTGTCCACTCGTTTTGTTGTAGGTGGTCTACTACTATGTGTGATATGTTGATTACATATGTAATCGGTCAGGCTTGTCAAGAATGTCAGGCTTTCTCTTAGCTGGATTGTGGACTATGAGAAGTATAAAACACACCAATGTGCTCTTATAAGAATCACATTCCTATCGGAAAAATGTAATGTAACTTATTGATTCTTAGAATTGGAAAGCACATTGTACACTGAACAAAAATATAAACACGTGTAAAGTGTTGGTCCCATGTTTCATGAGCTGACGTAAAAGATCCCAGAAATGTTCCAGACGCACAAAAAGCTTATTTCTCTCAAATGTTGTGCACAAATTTGTTTACATCTGTTAGTGAGCATTTCTCCTTTGCCAAGATTATTGATCCACCTGACAGGTGTAGCATATCAAGAAGCTGATTAAACAGCATGATCATTACACAGGTGAACCTTGTGCTGTGGACAATAAAAGGCCACTCTAAAATGTGCAGTTTTTCACACAACACAATGCCACAGATGTCTCAAGTTTTGAGGGAGCGTGCAATTGGCATGCTGACTGAAGTTATGTCCACCAGAGCTCTTGCCAGATAATTTAATGTTCCTATCTCTACCATAAGCCAAACGTCGTTTTAGAGAATTTGGCAGTACGTCCAACTCACAACCGCAGCGTATGGTGTCATGTGGGTGAGTGGTTTGCTGATGTCAACGTTGTGAACAGAGTGCCCCGTGGTGGCGGTGGGGTTATGGTATGGGCAGGCATAAGCTACGGACAACGAACACAATTGCATTTTATCGATGGCAATTTGAATGCACAGAGATACCGTGACGAGATCCTGAGGCCCATTGTCGTGCCATTCATCCGCCGCCATCACCTTATGTTTTAGCATGATAATGTACGGCCCCATGTCGCAACATTCCACAGGCCACAATCAACAGTCTGATCAACTGGAGATGTGTCGCACTGCATGAGGCAAATGGTGGTCACACCAGATACTAACAGGTTTTCTGATCTACACCCCTACCTTTTTTTTTAAAGGTATCTGTGACCAACAGATGCATATCTGTATTCCCAGTCATGTGAAATCCATAGATTAGGGCCTAATTTATTTATTTCAATTGACTGATTTCCTTATATGAATTGTAACTCAGTAAAATCTTAGAAATTGTTGCATGTTGCGTTTATATTTTTGTTCAGTATAGTTAGAGGAATGATTCTGACCACAATAAACAGTTCATCCTTATGTTGAGTGCACTATACTACTATCCACCCTTCCCACCTAAAAATAACCATCTCCATACAACAATGGGCAGGTATTGGTAACCAACATTTATTTACCATTTTCAACTTTACAATAAAACCATAAACATCTGTCAACATTAGCAAAATAAAGAACAGAATCAGTCCAAAGTATTTACAGAGACCATAAAGCAGATTCAGACTTACACCACAGACAGATCAACAACTCTGCTTCGTTTTAAAACTGCAACAGTGAACATAGCAAGCTTTATTGTTCTTTTTTATTGATTTTTTATAGCCAAGATAAAAATCTAAAATTATTGATTTTTTTTTCTCTTCTTCTTCTTTAAACAAACAAGACGGAGCTTCTCTGAATCTTTAAAATGGTTCTCTATTGTACACCACAAAATACTTCAAATTTTGGGTTAAAATATAGGAATGTAGAAAGTTGGCAAGTCTCTTATTATTTCTATTTTTTTTTTGTAATTTCATGTGGTGGTTGGTTGGTGTCCTGTCCTGTCTAGCTCGTTCGGTCGGTCGCGTTGATGCATCTTCTTGAGTTGGGTGTTTTGGGAAAGACGCGTCAACTCAACTCCCATCCATAACTGTGTCTTCCACTCTCTCTGCTGTCCAATAAATCCATTGTCCCATAGCAACCAGCACATAATACTACCGGGTTCAGATGTCTCGCCGTAACCAGGGGCCGTAACCAGGGAAGTGAACTAGTGAATCTAGTCTTGTTACCATGACAAAAGTGGCACGAAGGAGTCTCTCACATAAATGTGTATATATTTACATATACATATATCTATACATATGTATACATACATACATATATATATATATATAACTCTATTTTTTCTCTCTCTCTTGAAAAACAGTTCACAGTCCTTTGTTGTGGGTAAAGATACAATCACTCTGCTTTCTGTTGGGAGGGGGTTGCTGCTGCGGGGGTCGAGTTGGTCTCCTCTGTTGGTTTGGTGGGCTCTGGTGCAGGAGCAGCAGCCGCCTCCTTCACCTCCACCTTCACCTCCTCCTTAGGAGCCTCCTTCACCTCCTCTGCTTTAGCCTGCACCTCCTCTGCCTTAGGGGCTTCTGTAGCAGGAGCCTCCACCTTCACCTCCTCCTCTTTCTTCTCCTCCGTGGCCACAGCGGCTCCGTTCTCCGGTGGTTTCTCCTCAGCGGGAGCGGCTGCCTCCTCCTTCACCTCCTCCTTCTTGGTCTTCTTCAGTTTCAGGCCCTTGAAGTTGAATGATTTCTTCAGGGAGAACTTCTTCTTCTTTTTGGGGGTATCCTTGGCGGCGGCCTCACCTTCCGGTTTGGCGGCCTCCCTGTCGGCGGCTGGCGCTGGCACGATGGCGTCCCCTCCTGCGCCTGCCTCGGGCTCCTTGGCGGCGGCGTCAGCGGAACCGTTGGTGGCGGCCGTGTCTGTGGCAGAGATGTCACCGTTGGACTTTACATGGCCATTCTCCTAGGAGGGAAGGAGGGAAAGATGAAGGAACTAAATTAGAGGATGGTTCTAAAAAAAAATACAATTCAATCAATAAAGAAAATACTATTTACATTAGATTTTTACACTGTGACTCAAACACAACAATCAAAACATTTAGATATATAACGATATTTAGTCGTGCTCATCAATTAACCACCGTGTCGCTCAAAAGGCGACGCCTTGTAGTACCACCAGAAAACGACAGGCGGCGACGGTGCCACATCACAGACAGGGGTCTCTCTCAATAAAGACTTGGACCGGTCGATGAAAAAACAATAAATTGTATTAAAAATGTTAATGAAACCGATGATGCATTGACAAAACTGTACATTAAATTTCACAAGGTGAAGATGTGATTTATGTCGATTTTGCATGTTTGTCTATAAAATAACGTTTACAGTCACTGATCGAGACATGTCTAGACTCGCCGGTTCTGAGGGGCTGCAACTTCATCCATCATGGATGGGCTGCATAAATTCGGTGTGATTAGATTGACATCCACTGTTAAAACGCTGCTTTTGAATCCATAATTCACAAATTAACGTTACCTCTGATATTTTATGCATGAGGGTTAGCTTGTCTACGTGCGCCCTCGCCTTCTCAACCCTCCCTCATGGCATTTGATATGGCACTTGTATCAAATACACGGCTTTGGAACTGCCTAGTCAGGATAGTTAGAACCTAGGTTAGTTACCGGTTGCCTATGCTCCCGGTCCAAACCCTGATTAACTACGTTATTTTACATTTTTCCGAATATATATATATTTCAAACAGCAGATCATGGCTTTAGCAGCCAGCACGTTGGCAGTTTCATCCTCCCGCGTCTGAATCTAGTGTACGTAGCTAGCTAGCCGTCACTGGGTGACAAGATAACTTTTGCACTGACCCCCTCTGACCAAAGCAAGGTGCACATTTATCCTCCAAAAATCTCATCGAAACAGACCAACCTCGGTTTTTGAATTAATAGCAACATTATACCACAGAACATCTTTGCTAAGCTACTTTTAGTTAGTTGGGTAAAAGGTGTGTCGTCTGGTGGCCCATGGATGAGAGAGCGTCCCATACCTGTCCGTTAGTTTTGACCGCAGCAACATCCGCGGCAGCAGCATTCGCCTCCACGACTACCTCTCCCTTGGACGCTTGGGAACCCATCGTTGTTCGGTGTTTTCAAAAGGAAATTTTAAAAGGAAAAACACACAAAGTGGTTTCAATTTAATCCAGCCCCGCGCAGTGTTATGGATCCAATGGTAAAAGAGGCGAACATGTAATTTGGGGGGGTCCTTTGAAGAAAAATAGCTAGTTTCTTAGGCTTTTCTTCGTAGTTCAACCTGTCGCTCCCGTTGAAAGATACCCACTAGTTTCAACACTGGTTGAACGCAGCGCTTGAAGATAGACCAAGAGACCACCCATGGGCGTGGTCACACGAGTCTATCCAATCATGAGCAACTTTATGAGTTCTCTCCGCCCTCTTCAAAAGACCCTCAAACATTCTCTCCCCCCCATCATATTCCAATGGTCTCTCCCCCCCATCATATTCCAATGGTCTCTCCCCCCCATCATATTCCAATGGTCTCTCCCCCCCATCATATTCCAATGGTCTCTCCCCCCCATCATATTCCAATGGTCTCTCCCCCCCATCATATTCCAATGGTCTCTCCCCCCCATCATATTCCGATGGACTGGATTGAGCGACTGAATGGCGAGAGTAGTGAGTCGCTATGAGTGAGTGCAGTTTAGAATACTGGCAAAAATGATTTCACGCTCATTTCTTTTTTTTAATAGTCGTGCAACGACGTGAGCATCTACCAAATCGAATACAGATTGAACACCATTACATTTGCCTGGAAACCCGATGTTGAATTGCATTGAATTCTATGTCTGGCACAAATGAGTGTTTGAATCAGGAACGTTTCATTTTATTCAACGTTCTAGTTTGTAGAGGTCGTGAGAGGAAACGTTGCTGATGCAAATGCACATTTCTGCCCAACATAGGATTCAATGCTATTCAAATTCGGGTTGCCAGGCAACCTTGACATCTTCAAAGGTTTGTTTGTTCCCCTCGGCTTGTCAACAACATGTGACGTGGCTATCACGCACATTCCAACCGTTTGCCCATACAAACATAAGCTACCTTCTACAGCCGTTTAGACATCCTAGCTGTTTACTCGTTCATGCTTGCTCCAGACTTCCACTTCCAATCACTTTTTTAACAACAACAACACCAATAACTCTGAATGCATTTGGCTGATTTAATGGAGAAAACAAGGCAAGCACAATCATATCAATATCTTTTACCAGAATGAGATTAACATTGACCTGTTGAATCCCATCGGACACACACTATGTCTGCCCAATGTGATTGCCTATGGGTGTACTGCACCATGGTTTGTAAATGTAAACCCTGGCCTGAAACTTGTTGTCTTGCAAGTTATGACACAATTTTACATCCCTAGTAAGAACGAAATGATGACCACGTTTACATGCGCACCAATATTCCGTTATTATTCGGGATACTCAAGTATTCTGTTTTTGAGTTGATGCACATACCATCATATCCCGTTTACAATAACCCGAAAAGACTTGTATCCCGGTTTTGAGAAAGCCCGATAAGAAGCCTGGGCTATGCTGATTTTAGGAATACTATGGCATGTTAACATCTTATCCCATTTAGGCCAACTGTTGTTTTTCACGGTCTGCGCAGGCTCAGTTTTGCATTTCATGGATGTTGGGTGGTTTTTAGTTTTCATCTTATTGTGAAACAAATCACTTATAATAATTCCATAATAATTAATTTAGCTGGTACTCCATGCTGGACCTTATAGCCACTGGCTACTTTCACGCCTAATTTAGACACGTTTCTGCTTATAATTTCCGACATTTGGTAGGCCATTTGTTTGTCAACTATAGTTAGATACATGCAGCTTCTCTTCTGTCATAACTTGTTGACCTATGAGAACAAATAAAGTAGTGCTCAACAGAATAATGTCTTACATTGATAGAAAGAACAGTAATCTAGTTAACACTGGTAAAGTTGTCTGTTTCGTTTAGGGACCGGGAGACAACACGGTAACTCAAAAACAGTGGAAAGATTGGTCCTATGCAAAATGTCCAAATGTCATCAATTTGACCGGTTTTAAGGAACTGAAAAGCTGAGAAAACGATGAAACACGTTTCTGATAAGACTTCAGTTGATCTTGGGTGCATCATTTATGCAATTGAAATACTGTCTGCTTGCATAACAGTGTCAAAGATAACACCTTACAGGCTTATTCACATTTTCTCAAGAGATGCTGAAATAGATACATCATATTTACAAAATTAACATTTGTTCATCATTTTAATGGAAGAAATGCATAATTCTGCAGGAGTTAATATGATATTAGGCTACATGTGAGAGGTTATAGTGCTACAGTCAGTGTCCATATTTCAGTAACTATTCCATTTAACCCATGTGAATTTAAATTAGGAATATTCAGTTTATTAATGAATACAGGGATACTGGTGAGGGGGATATCAAAGGTGCATGCAAACAGCTTATCCAGAATACAGTGTGCATGTAAACATGATCAATGAGAGAGAGAGAGAGAGGGAGAGGGGGAGAGAGAGAGAGAGAGAGAGAGGGAGAGGGGGAGAGAGAGAGAGAGTGCCAACCATTGTCACACTGATAACCTTTCTCACATCCCTCCTCTCTCTTCCTCCGTCTCTCTCTCCCTCACCCTCCTCTCCCTCTCATTTCTCTCCATGACATATAGTCTCCACTGTCTGGCTCTAGAATGCATGGCATGCCAAGTCCTTACTGCAAATTTTATAGTTCTCACATATTTTTGAGGGTAGAGAGAGAGGGAGGTGAAGAGAGACTGGGGTAAAGGGTTAGGTTAGAACAGGACTGAGGTGAAGGGTTAGGTTAGAACAGGACAGGACAGGGGTGGGGTGAAAGCTTAGCTTAGAACAGGACAGGACAGGGGTGAAGGGTTAGGTTAGAACAGGACAGGGGTGAAGGGTTAGGTTAGAACAGGACAGGGGTGGGGTGAAAGCTTAGCTTAGAACAGGACAGGACAGGGGTGAAGGGTTAGGTTAGAACAGGACAGGGGGGAAGGGTTAGGTTAGAACAGGACAGGGGTGAAAGGTTAGAACAGGACAGGGATGGGGTGAAAGCTTAGAACAGGACAGGGGTGAAGGGTTAGGTTAGAACAGGACAGGGGTGAAAGGTTAGAACAGGACAGGATAGGGGTGAAGGGTTAGGTCAGAACAGGACAGGGGTGGTGTGAGGGGTTAGTTTAGAACGGGACAGTGATGGGGGTGAGGTTTGGTTAGAACATGACAGGGGTGGGGTAGGTACATGGGACTATTGAGGAGGTGGCAGTGAGTAAGTGAGTGAGTAAGTTTGTTAAAGCCTGTGAAAATCTGTTACTACAGTACAGAGACCGAACAGACAGATGCTGATGTGTTCTCTCAATACTCACAGAGCTGGAATTAGTTTCCAGACAATTGTGAATCATTCCACCACAGCATTTACAGTTGAAGTCGGAAGTTTACGTACACTTAGGTTGGAGTCATTAAAACTCGTTTTTCAACCACTCCACAAATTTCTTGTTAACAAACTATAGTTTTGGCAAGTGGGTTAGGGACATCTACTTTGTGCATGACACAAGTAATTTTCCCAACAATTGTTTACAGACAGATTATTTCACTTATAATTCACTGTATCACAATTCCAGTGGGTCAGAAGTTTACATACACTAAGTTGACTGTGCCTTTAAACAGCTTGGAAAATTCCAGAAAATGATGTCATGGTTTAGAAGCTTCTGATTGACATAATTTGAGTCAATTGGAGGTGTACCTGTGGATGTATTTCAAGGCATACCTTCAAACTCAGTGCCTCTTTGCTTGACATCATGGGAAAATCAACATAAATCAGCCAAGACCTCAGAAAAAAAATTGTAGACCTCCACAAGTCTGGTTCATACTTGGGAGCAATTTCCAAATGCCTGAAGGTACCACGTTCATCTGTACAAACAATAGTACGCAAGTATAAACACCATGGGACCACGCAGCCGTCATACCGCTCAGGAAGGAGACACGTTCTGTCTCCTAGAGATGAACGTACTTTGGTGCGAAAAGTGCAAATCAATCCCAGAACAACAGCAAAGGACCTTGTGAAGATGCTGGAGGAAACAGGTACACAAGTATCTATATCCACAGTAAAACGAGTCCTATATCGACATAACCTGAAAGGACGCTCAGCAAGGAAGAAGCCACTGCTCCAAAACCACCATAAAAAAGCCAGACTACGGTTTGCAACTGCTCATGGCGACAAAGATCGTACTTTTCGGAGAAATGTCCTCTGGTCTGATGAAACAAAAATAGAACTGTTTGGCCATAATGACCATCATTATGTTTGGAGGAAAAAGGGGGCTGCTTGCAAGCCGAAGAACACATTACATTTACATTTTAGTCATTTAGCAGACGCTCTTATCCAGAGCGACTTACAGTTAGTGAATACATTATTTAATTTTTTTATACTGGCCCCCGTGGGAATCGAACCCACAACCCTGGCGTTGCAAACGCCATGCTCTATCAACTGAGCTACATCCCTGCCGGCCATTCCCTCCCCTACCCTGGACGACGCTGGGGTCACAACCGTGAAGCACGGGGGTGGCAGCATCATGCTGTGGGGATGCTTTGCTACAGGAGGAACTGGTGCACTTCACAAAATAGATGGCATCATGAGGAAGGAAAATTATGTGGATATATTGAAGCAACATCTCAAGACATCAGTCAGGAAGTTAAAGCTTGGTCGCAAATGGGTCTTCCAAATGGACATTGACCCCAAGCATACTTCCAAAGTTGTGGCAAAATGGCTTAAGGACAACAAAGTCAAGGTATTGGAGTGGCCATCACAAAGCCCTGACCTCAATCCTATAGAACATTTGTGGGCAGAACTGAAAAAGCGTGTTAGAGCAAGGAGGCCTACAAACCTGACTCAGTTACACCAGCTCTGTCTGGAGGAATGGGCCAAAATTCACCCAATTTATTGTGGGAAGCTTGTGGAAGGCTACCCGAAACGTTTGACCCAAGTTAAACAATTTAAAGGCAATGCTACCAAATACTAATTGAGTGTACTGTATGTAAACTTCAGACCCACTGGGAATGTGATGAAATAAATAAAAGCTTAAATAAATAATTCTCTCTACAATTATTCTGACATTTCACATTCTTAAAATAAAGTGGTGATCCTAACTGACCTAAAACAGGGAATTTTTCTAGGATTAAATGTCAGGAATTGTGAAAAACTGAGTTTAAATGTATTTGGCTACGGTGTATGTAAACTTCCAACTTCAACTGTACATACACTCCAACCCCACCCAATCAAGTCATTGGAAATTACCTGAGGGCCCACAGAT